AGTCCTCGACCAGCACGGTTGTGTCCTCGCTCAGGCGCTTGTCGAGCTCGAGGTCGTATGAGACGTAGCAGAGCTTCTCCTTGATCTGGCGGACCGTCTCGAAATCGGCGGTTCGGTTGAGTGCGTAGCCTCGGCGCAGCAGCAGCTTGATGAGGTTGCGGGTGACGTCTCGGCCGGCGACGTCCAATCGCTTGGTGAGGTGGTTCAGCACGACGGATTCGTAGACGGGAACAATGTGCGTGACTCCGTCACCAGAGTCGACAACGACGCCCGAGCTCAGACCTGCGCGGTTTCGACGTGACGTTAGCCATTGCGGTGACGAATGATGGCTGCCAATCCACAGCAGCGGCTAGGTGGAAGGAGACGGGGTAATAATCACTTACCCTGTGCATACAGCGCCAGGACGGCCTGAATGGCAACGTAGACTCCGCCAAAGCCGTACCGGTCAAACATGACCTCGCACATCTTCTCGCGGTTCTTCAGGGGGTTCATGGGCGGCTCCGTCAGCAGGATCTTCTGGCCCTGCGGGTTGATCTGGAGCTTCTCGAAGAAGGTGTAGTCCCAGAGGTGCTGCATGTCCTCCCAGTTCTTGACGATGCCGTTCTCCATGGGGTAGCTGATTTGCAGCATCGTGCGGGCGGCCGCCGCGTCGTCGCCGCACATGATGTCCTTGATGATGACATCGTTGTCCGTCCGCTCCTCAGACCGCAGGATGGGCCGGCCGACAATCGACGGGTACTGGTGCTCGGGGAAGTTCTGGGCGGCGTATCCGACCTTGAGGAAACCGGTGCCGCCGTCGAGGACTGGGAGAGGCGGAGAAGCGTTAGCAGGAGTCGGAGGCAGCAAGTTGGTGGCCCAGGAGGTAAGGGGAGAGAGCAGGTGGAAGCTCGGCAGCGGCAGGGAGAGCTTCAGCAGCTGCACCACACCGACCCTCCGAGCTTCAGGGGCGTCAGCGGCTGCTTCGACGTACCGATGGGAGGGACCATGATGGCGATTGTTTCAGTTCGGAGCCGGCGAAGGAGGCCGCAGTCGAGGCGAGGCTGTCTGGAGGTAAGAAGCTGGAGGCTGGCACGAGGGTGGAGGCGTCGTCAGTCTCTCGGTTCGGGCGAGGTGAGCCAGGTTGATGACAGTTGAGCCAGATGGTGGGGTCGTTTGGAGAGGCCTGAGAGGCTCCAGAGGCGCTCCAGGGGCCTTCCAGCAGCTTACAGGGCACTCGAGGGCCTACAGAGGCTGGCAGGGGCCGAATTGTCGTCACTGGCGGGCTATGGCGTCACGTGATACCCCGCAGCTCCATCACCGCTATGTACATGTACTCCGTATGAGCGCTATGAGTTGAAGCTTCATAATGCCAGGCTCCCAGCCCCTTCAAGCTGTTACTCTCGGTTCGACATCATTAGAGAAGCAGTCCTTTTCCACCTTCAAGCTTTTCTTCCCTCGTCCTCTCATCTCCTTTGATCATTCAAACTACCCTCATAACTGCTTCAACCTCGTTATCCACCATGTCTCTCTCGGACCCTCCTCGAATCAACTCCATCAGAATCCTCCTCCTCAACCCCAACTCTTCCATCGCCATGACAAAGTCCATGGAAGCAGCTGCCAACTCAATAGCAACTCTGTCTCCAGTAATTCTGCCAGCCCACCCATCGTAGTCCACCAATTGCCCAGCTGACTCTCTCGAGTCTGTCTCCATCAGCACCTACACGGCCCCAGAGCCGTCTCCTGCCAGCATCGACAATGCCGAGGGCATCCAGGCCAGCGTTGAAGCGGTGATCAACGACCCAAACTTCAACTCTCGTCTCCAATCTGAGGCCTACGATGCTGTTCTCGTTGCCTGCTTCAGCGTTCACCCTCTGGTTAAACACCTTGCCAATACCCTCAAGCCAGTTCCCGTAACAGGCATCTTCGAAGCCAGCATCCTGACTGGGTTGTCTCTTGTCCCCCTCGTTGAAGGGGAGCAGCTAAAATGGGGCATCGTGACAACGGGCGCCTTCTGGGAGGCTCACCTCGCCAACGGCGTTGCCTCTTTCCTGGGACAGACACCATCTTCGGCATCTGCAACAGGGTCCTCGAGCCTCAGTGACGGCAGATTCGCCGGCGTCTTTTCCACCGGCCTCAACGCAGGGGACTTCCACACAATCTCACAGGAGCAGATCAGCGTGCGTCTCAGGGAAGCCACCAAGCGCCTGCTCTCCTCGGGAAACGTCACCTGTGTCGTCATGGGCTGCGGTGGCATGGGCGGCCTGCAAGACATGATCCGCACCATCGTCGTCCAGGAGTACGGCCAAGACAGGGCTAGAGACGTCTCCATCGTTGACGGAGTCCAAGCCGGAGTGCTACAGCTGCAGCAGACGGTGCTCAGCCGGCGAGTCTTTGGCGTCAAATAGGCCGGGGCGGCTCATGTACGACTCGAGGAAGCAACGATGACACCCCCTGTTTGTTCATTGACTCGACCTGTTGCTGTCTTGCACTCTCTCCGGTCATCATTTATCCCCCTGTCGATGTTGCGGTGAGAAAAGCGTCCTCCCTCCGACACCCAGATTCTGGACGATGCATGGCCGGCTGTGGCTGTGTGTACGACGTCCAAGACGCATGCATACTTGATGTGCATTTACATCATTTACCGCCTCTTGTCCCGATTCCCCTTGCTGAAATAGCAAACAAACGTGAATACAACCTGAACACTTTAAAACATGCCGTGTCAAACGCTCGCTCCAATCAACCTCCTGCAGAGACCGTAGCCGGTGCTTCTCAAACACAGCGTCATCGTCACTTACAAGGCCGCAACTCTATTATTACTCTTGGGGACCCGGTCGGTTACTCGTGCTGTCTCTCGTTCTTCTGTCTTGGACCCGTCTCAGCCTGCCCAAAAGTGTTGCCGTCACGTCTACTTCTTGCGCCGGTTACACACGTCCGTATGATCTAGCCTTCATCTTCCGCTTTCTCCCCCTCCCCTCGGGTCATCTGCGCACCCTCATACAGTCAGTCTTAGCTCTGCCTTGCTTCTTCCCGGCGATATCAGATGCGGCTATCCCTTGCCATCTAGCTTTGCGCTCGCACGACCACGAGAGATGTGCGCTCCAAGATCAAAATCAGAGAAATGATTAGAGAGATGCTTCTTTTTACTACGTCCCTCCGGTCGCCGTATCATTGCACAACCTCTCGTAAAGCACGGGTTTTCCTTTGACACCTCGTGCCGTGTACTCGATTCATGTTGCTCATCCCCCCTATCTACTCACACGCCTCCCCTCTATTCATATTCACCCTCCGTCTCCAGCTGCCCCTCTTTAGAATCGAGACAGATGGCTCAAAGGACTCACGGCAAGCGACGTGATCTTCCAAAGAAAACACAGCAACCCCCAGGACGTGAAACAGATGGTGCCCTTGACGGCGCATGCGGTGCGACAAGCGCCCTTTGGGCTGGTGTGCCCCACGTAACCCGGTGTGCTCATGTCTTTCTCTGCGTCTCATCCGTCATCCAAGGCAGTTGTTGAAATAGTTTCATTGGCCATTTTACGACTGTTTGTATTGAAGCAGGGAAAGCCGCCTGTATCATGCTTTTGTGGAAGAAGAGAATAACCCTTGTATCATGGCTGTGTGAAAGAAAGAAAGGTGCCGACTGTATTATGATGTTCCAGGTACATTGTGCGCAAAGAAAGAAACTGGCTTGAATGTAATTCGATGTTTAATTTTCCCATATGTTCCCATCTTCTCCGGCTTGTATGTGGCTTCGTTCCATGGTACATCTGGCCTTGGCGTTGAGGAGGAGGAGGCCTGAGGAGAGGTCATGGAATTGAGCAACAGCCACTGCATTACATTCCCCTTACTTTTAAAGACAATAAGAACTGTAAGAAATCGAATCCTCCATAACATACACAAACCCAACCCATTAGGAAAAGGAGGAGAAGAGAAGAAAACATCCGCAACCGTATCCTCCACGTTCGCTCGCTCATCAAGGCTTGCCCCCCCTTTTCCTCTGAGCCACTCTTCAAGTATCTCTCGTCGTGCTTTTGTCTTTCTTCCCTCTTCCTTCACTCTCAAAAGATAGATGCGACCTTTCCCCTTCTCTCTGTCGTCATAGATGCCAAAGAAGGGACCAAGGGGTTTGAACAGTAGGTAGACGCCGGTGTAGGCTCGTAGGAGAAGAGCCCATGAGAAGAACCAAGGAACAAGCAGAACAACCGAAGAAAGGAAAAAGTGCAAATGAGGTAAGTCTCAAACAGAACAAGCGAAAGACCGAAAATACAAGAATACAAAGGGAAAATCAGGGTTCAGCTGCAGGTAGAATAGAGGAAAAAGTAACGCAAAGTTTCCGCAGTTGCATATGCAGAGTCTAAAACACGCTTTTGCCTCTCCGCAAAAGGCCAATCAATGGATGAGGCCGCCGACAGAGACGCGATGAAGTCGCATCTTGGCTTTTCGTGTATCTCTCAGCAATGCCGAGAGGGGTGGGAGACCCAAAACAGGCCGAGTAAGTTTGTGGGTGCTCGGCGGTAGGACGTCCCTATTCTCTTGGTCTTTACCCCTGAAAGTCTTGTGGCTTCATGGCCCGTCCTTCATATCATAGGCCGGTGGTGACCCCTATTTTGGTGTCATGTGTGGGAGGAAGAAGAAAAGGTGGGTTTCGCAATGGAGAGACACGAGGTGGCGTTGCGCCGCGTTGGGATTCTCTTTGGCGAGGAGGCTTTTGTTTTGGGTGTAGGGGTTCCTTTTTTGGTCCGTTTTTCGAATGTTTTGTAATATGTTTTTGTGGTCGTACCGTTCGCTCATCCATCCATTTATTTTTGCCTTGTTCTCTGCTCGTAGTTTGAAGGTGCATATTGGACTCTGGCGGGTGATGATGAAGATTAACTGAAGATGAAAACGTAGAGGTAGAACACAGGAGATCTTATTGAAGAAAAGAAAGAAACAAAGGATCGAATAAACCCAAGTCAGGCAATCAAAATAGAAGTGCAAATAGAAAGAAGTGCAAAAAGGACGCGGAAGGCAAGCACAATAGTACACACACACCAGTTCAACCTGGAAAGCAACGCGATAAGGAGGTCAGTAGATCAGCTCCGCATGCCAGACTTCCGCTCATTCTCCTCGCCGCTCATCCCATACGGCGAATGCCCATGGCTGCTCGTCAGATAGCCTCCCAGAGCACCAGCCCCAGTGTACGTGCTCGCGTAGCGCCTCGTCGTATCCGTGTACTTGTACGTCATCTCGGGCGCCGTCATGCGTAGCGGCTCTTCGGTCGGCGCCATGACGGAGTCGAGGGACGGGTTCGAGGCCGTGGTGTAGGACTCGCTGCGGTGGAGGTGCGAGTTGGAGGCGGTGGGCGTTGGGTAGGAGGATAGAGGGGGGTTTTCGAAGGGGGTATAGGCGGTTGACGGCTCGGAGAGGGCCGCAGGGGAGGAGCTGCCTGCTGAGGACTGGGACGTTTTGCTGTAGGCGGAGGAGATGGACTCTGCTCGATAGGGGTGTTGATGCTGATGCTGGTGCTGGTGTTGATGCGGGTGCTGGTGCTGGTGCTGGTGCTGCTGGGGAGCGCTGGTCAGGGGCCGGGCTAGCGGCGTGGGCAGCATTCTCTCGCTGTTGGTGAGCGGGTTGCTCAGAGATGCTATGCCTCCATAGGCGTATCCCGTGTTTGTTTCAGCACCGGCAGCAGGGCGATGAACCATCGTCGCCGTCGAGGCAGCAGCTCCAACGGCGGCAGAGGTAGGGCCGGTAGGATAGCCATAGGCAGAGGCCGGATCAGACTCGACGTACATGGACGGCTTCGACGATGCCGGGCTCGACCCCATGCGGTAGGCGCCCACCATGTACGCGTCCTGGGGATAAGACTGCGGATACACCGAATACTCGATGCTGCTGTCGTCGGCGTATCCGCCGGACCAGGCCGACATGGGATAGTACTTGCTGCCGTAGGCGTAGGCGGAGGCGGAGCCGTTCCTATACGACAGCGCCTCGCCGCTGGGCATACTGAGGGCCTCCGGGTACGGTGAGGGCAAGGGGGTCGTGGGCATCGGGGGCACGACGGCGGGACCGCGGGCCTGGAAGCTGCGGGCGACATCGAGGCTGTAGGAGAACTGCTCGTTCTTGAGGTGGGTTTCGTGGGAGGAGACCTGGGCTTGGGGGTCAGCATGTTTTGTTGACATGTCCATCGCCTCTGCCATGGAATCATCTTCATCATCTTTCTTACCCGAAGGAACTGGCAGGGCTCGTAGCCGGCGTTCTTGCAGTTGAGGCACGGCTGGCCGTTTCCGCTGTCTCCCGTGCACCGGATCTTTCTCTTGCGGCATCGCATACACTTTTGCCGTCATCAAAAGAACATAATTAGCAAATCCAGTTCTCTGTCTGCTTCTGCTTCTCTGGTTCCCCTATGTGACATGAACATAACAAGGGAAGAAAAGTGAATGAACTTACCGCGACTGCGATTCTCTTCCGCTGCGTGCTGGGCTCCTCAGTTCCGTCTCGGTCACTCATCATGCCGCCTCTCGAGTCGCTGTTGTAAGAGTTCGCTCGACGGTCCGTGTATGGTGCTGCGTAGGGGGATATGCCACCTCGAGGGGAGGAATACCGCGTGTGGTTGGTAGAGTGAGAGCCGCTAGAAGAACCCATCGTGGTTGCTAAAAGATTTAGGAGGCGAACGTCAAGGGCAATTGACAAGCAAGCTAGAGCTATGATGTTGTATCTGGACTGATTGTGTGTATGTGTCTGTGTGCGTTTGTGTGTGTATCCCACTTCTTTTTCCTTGTGGCGTTTGTTTCTCTTCTCCCCAGTGAATCAAGGACTTCCTTTTGTATTGGACTCTGACAAACAAACACGCTCTCGAAGTGGTAAAAAGCTTGATGACCGCTGTTTTTGGTTCGCTCTTGATCTCTGGCTTTAGGACCTGAGTGAGGGACAGGGCGAGATGTAGTTTTGGAGAGGCAGAAGGTGAGAGACGGGAAACGACGGGACTGACGTCTTGTGTCCCCTTGAGATCCAGTTGATGACTCGGTGATGCTGGCCACTAAGACAGAAAGGCAGAATCCAGATGGCTGTGTCTGCAGTTGTTCTTTGGACGTGGACGAATCAGGGAGGCTGCTTCAATGAACAGGCAGCCAAGGGGGGTAATTTGAAGAGGTTTGGCAAGGCAGACGAACAGACAAATGAGGCAATCTGAGCAAAGATTATCAGGAGAATATCTCAAGGAAAATAGAGGCAAAAGTTTGGGATGGATGGGATCAAATAATCTAGAATAAGAAAGCCGGGAGCAGAAAAGAAAAAGAAAAGAGCTGTAGCTCCGGCAATAGTTATACATGATCGGTACCCGCCCGTCCTCCTCGTCGAATCCCCCATGTTAACCATTTCTGTTTGTTTGCTTTGCTCCATCTCCCGGGATCAGCTCGTCCAATTATTTTGCATCCTGTGCCTTTCCCTTCTGCCTCTGTCTCTACCTCTGTCTACGCACACGCTCTCCATGCCTTCGTCTCGTTACAGACATAACTCAACAAAACGAGAAGCACACGGGCAAAAAGCCAAGCTGCCAGGAAGTCACTTTCTGGCCCGCAGATGCTACCCTCGGTACACAACAGTTGACAAGCTCGTCGGCCCTGTGTCATCCCTCCCCGGACTCAACTCCCACCAAGTGCCCCCTCCATCATTGTCTCTCTGGCTCTCTCTTTTCTTGTCAAAGGCTACGCAAGGCGGTGGAGACGCAGGTCCCATATGATGGCAGGGAGTGCGGAACTGAGAGGCTTGATGCAGATCGAGAATCGGCGTTGGTACATACCCGGACGGTATCTGTACGTGTTCGCCACAGACCCTTGCTCATTTCCTTCTGGTTGCTGTTTTGCCGAGCAGGGGAATTAAAAAAGAGAGACAAGCAAGACAACGTCGACACACGTGGGAAAACGAGGAGGACCCTCACAAATCGATCTCACCGGATTCTCGGGCCGGCACTTGATAAGCCCTTTTGCCGCCCCCCCTGGCGGTTTCTGTAGCAGCATTTTCCCATCTAGATTAGATTTACCCCCCCTCGTAAGGACGATAATGATTCATGGTAGACACGAGCTTCACTGTCACGGAACCGCGTCTTGCATATGTATGTTGTATGTGTTGTTTCTGACCGGCCAGCCTCTCCTCGTTCTATTTTGAGCGCTTCTTCATTCACCTCCTACCACGTTCTCTTCCTCCGGAGGGGCGTGTAAGTGGACAAGGTGCTGAATAAGGTCAGTGCATAGTCGACAAAATAACGTCCTCTTTGCGTCTCTTCGGGAAACCTCGTCTAAATCCAAGCAACAGCCGTCTGGTCTATTCCGGGAACGGAAAATGGATACCATATGGGGTGGAGGGAGGAGGAGGGGCCTCTTTCAGGACCGTGAACTTCTGCAAACCGGTCGTTTTCCATGCAGATAATGCTTGCGCTCATGAGACTACTGTTTCGCTTTACAAGAGATGGATCATCGTCCTCATACACAAACCTCACAACAAGCAGAGCGCAAATAGTCCGAGGAAATGCCAGGCCCAGTGTCAACACCCCCCGGTCCAGGGCGAAAGATACGCGCCGTCGCAAAAACCCCAGAAGCAGCTCGGGGGCCATCAAGGTCTATGTCGTGTACATATTCTGCTACGATAACGTAGCGGTCAGGTAAATTGAGATGCAAGTTATTCTCCTCCTGTGCAACTCCGCAAGCAGCCTGCAGAAGGGCCCCCAAAGGCAAAAGTCTCTTTGTATGTCGCACACACTGGAGCCACCAACTTGTTTCCCGCCCCCAGGCAGAAAAGAAAAAGTACAAGTCATCTAGGTAACTTTGATGTACATCATGCTTTGATTACAAGGGAGCTGTCCTTGTTCCGTGTGGAACTTGACAGCTGTGGAGGCAAAGAGATCCTGGAGTTGAACCAAGGCACATGACGAGCAACACAAGAGAAACGAGACATTCTCGAGAGAGGGTCCTTGGAAAGGCGCACAAGGTGCACGTGCTGCTCGGCAAGGAAATGGGCCATTGCAGTTCTGTTAGTACATGACAACGGATCAAGCAGCTTCCAGAAGAAATTAGAGGCATGGGGAAAAATGAGGGAGGTTGGGGAGAGTCATCTACCAAGTACAAGTGAGCATGTATCTCAATTTGTTTGACGGATTCACAGGCGAGATCTGCCAGGGTGTGTCTCTCCAAGACTCGACACAGAATGACACGCACACAGAGGATGAGGAGCACATACTGCATGTATACGAACAACTGCCCAGCGAGGAGCTGTCGTCCGTTACTCACAATGTACCCCTTTCCTTGGTGCTCCCTCCCCCCTTCTTGATCCTTGATGGCAGCAGAAAAAGAAGAGCACTACACCGATATGCCACTTGTGCCTGTCCAGAAACAGCTCCATTGCCAGGTGCGTCTCGCGTGTGGCAAAGGGCTGCATCCTTCAACACTGGCGTTTGGCGATGCAGTGACTGGATGAGCTGGCCACTCCCCCTCCCCCCCTTTACATAGCATGCCTTACACGCCTCACAACGCTCGCCCAAAGCATGTACGAAGTAATGTAGGCCGAGAAATCTGTCCGGGCACACGGCAGACGAGACACCGCCCAACGTCCATCTACTTTTTTATTTATTTTTCTGTCTCGACCAGAAAAAGAATGGGCGCATGCTGCCGCCCTCCCCTTTCTGGGCTACACACACACGCAGACACGCACACGCAGTCAGTGGCCGGGCTCTAAAGCAAGGCACGCCAACGCACAGCGTCTATTTGACGGCCGAGCACGGGGAGAAGGCTCTCTAGATGCCGGAGGGGGGGTGGAAGGGGACACCTGCAAGGGAACAAGAGGGCCAGGAAAGCTGAAGAAGGACGACGAAACGAGATGGCGCAGGTTTCCAGAAGAAAAGGAAGCAGAGTAGAATTAGTACAGAGAAGTACATGGTTGAGTGGGGGGCGCAAAAAAGGCGTGGAGAGTTTATACCGATTCAACCAAGTGAGAGGAACAGAGACAGGCTTGACGACATAGACGTAGAGATCACGGAAGTGAGGTACCAGGTGAGTCAGTTCGTCAAGGCTGTGAGACAAGAGATCGTACACGATGATGTGAGAGGAACGCACATGTACAGGGGAAAGGGCCTGAGATGCTGCACATGCAAACACGGGGGATTGGCTCACCTCTCTCGCTGCTCTCTCCCACGCCGTTTGGCAGCGGTGAATGCCTTCGCTCCACCAATGTCTCAATCCTGGACTATGCATAAACGCTGTTTTGCTCGTTTTCTGCCCGAGGCGGTATCTATTGCCGGCATCTGTCTATTCCTTCTCAGCTGTGTGTCTCCCCTCCAGCAGTAGTCCCCCTCTTCTTGCAGCCCCTTAGGCTAGACTCCGATCCTGAGAGACTCAGGCTTGCATCGCCATCGCCGGTTTTCAAGTTGATTACCTCGTAATTAACAACACTTTACATTCAGAATGTTTGGACGCCATCGGAACTGCCGAGTAGATTGTAGCGCCACTTGGCGAACGAAAGATCCAGTCTTCAGCTTATGTCTGAATCGGACGTAGCCCACAGCCTCATTTTCCACTCCCTTGCTTCCACTCTCCTCCTTCCCCCTGTCACAAGAGGTCAAACAGCCTCCCAGCGCAGATTTCGAATATTGCTTGTCCCAGCCTTCTGCAACACTATTCAAGGCTCCTCATTACTCCCCAGAAGAGTAGAATAAAAGGAAGAGGGACGAAAATAAGAAAAAATCCCTTTAGTCCCAACCAACCGCTGTTTTTCTTTCTTCTTCTTTTTTTGGCTCTTCCACCCCTCCCCTTCCCTTCCTCCTCTCCTTGTTTGAAAGGCGGGCAGGGCGGTCCTTTGCAGTTTGGGCTTTTCCCTCAGTTCCCGTCATGTTCGCTGCATGCAACCGACGTGTGCGACATGGGAATGGTTAGCGATTGGATATGCTCCGGGGCCCAAAAAAACGCAAGACAGAAAGGACCACGATGATAGTATGTTGCAGGTGTGCAGGGTACCATGGCAAAACACGACGGTTGTCCAATCCGCGAGGTGCTGGTGTGAGTGCTAGCCAATGAGCAAACAGAGACAATACGCAAGGCTGCGGGAAAGATCAACGGATGATCTGAGTTTCTGTCCGGGGTTCAGGGCAGGATGGGGTTGAGCAGCCAGGGTACAGGAAAACAAAAAGACATGAGCGGAGCGAAGGGACAGGGGCCAAATTCGAGAAATGGTCAAACCGCATTTCGACCAAATTGAGGACCAATCTTCAGCCCGTTTGGTTCGAGATCATAGATAATCCGGAATCACGTTGCTCAAGTTTCTCTAACTTCAGGAGCACTTACGTTTGGTGTTGTCCGGTCAGTCAGTGCCGACATTTCCCTCGTACGAGGTGACGAAGCGCTTTTCGAGGGAAAAGGGCCTTCAACAGCCTCAATGACAAGCTTCGTCTTTTTGCTGGTGACACTCACACAGGCATACACAAGGTCTGTTTCATCTGTTGGCAGCTTTATTTCCATCTTGTTCTCGTTAGCCGTCACGGAGCACTGGTCCTATTATTATCACCCATGTACTTGTGTACAGGCCAGAAATGACTGAAAACAACAAGCGTCACTTTGGCGCAACGATGCACCATCTTGTGACTTCTTTGACAACCGGTGTACGAGTATAGACGCACGTATACCGTAACGGTATGCCCATCTTCTGTCCCGTGACACCAGAGCAAGGGAAAGGCAGTGACTGAGCTGCATGTCCTGTCCATCCCACTCATATGCATGTCTATTTTCTTCGCCCCAATGATTTCAGAGCGTCACCGGTTCTTGTAGACTGGGGGTTAGTGGTCGGGATGAAGCAGAGCCAATCAAACAGGAAGCAAACGAGGCGGTGACTGGGAAGAATAGTCCATTTCGAGGACTCTCTCGCTCGGAAAGAGACGCATGTCTCGCCTTTTGGATCGTTAATTGCTTGCTTGCTTGCTTTTTTGATTGCTTGTTTTGCTTGCAGTTTAGAGATGGAAAAGTGCCCATGCGGCTCTTCTGTCGCTTACACGGCGAGGCCGGGTTTGAACTAAGCTCTCTTGTCGATCCAAGCTCATCTTCAGCTGGTAGCAGCTTCGTTGTACCTCGTACATGTAGACACAGCCTGGAGATAAAGAGATGGGAGCCCCGTGGCTGGTATTTCGTGACACTCACCGACAACGATTTGCATCGGAGATGGGATGCGGTAGCACCAGGCGGGTCCCTTGCAGCCCGTAAGTAAAATGATGGGGGGAGGGAGGGGGGAGGGCAACAGGTGACATGGGCGTACGAGTAACATGTGGAAGCCAGCTCACAGGCAGGAGAGGCTGCTACCTGGTACTTCGTCCGAGGAGATAGATTGACTTGTAACGGATTCATCTAAACACTTCCGATTTCGATTTGATTTGGTTCGATCTCGGCTCACAGACGAGACGGAGAACAAGGGCGTAGATCAGCGCCGGACAAGAATCGTGGAATCGACAAAAGATAAAGGCTGTAATATCATCAACACCATGAACAACAAGCGGAACTCGTATAAGCGTAACGGCGTAACGGCGGCTCGGCAAATGGCGGTAACGATAAATGAAAGGGGAGAGCCTCTAGAAGCATCCACGGGACGAAGGTCTCTTCTTGCTGCAAATCAACTAAACGGCCCCAGAGAGACGGCTATCTGAGATAGTTGCCCCCGTCGGTTTTTTGTATTTCTGCGGGGAACCTGTCATGTTTGACAGCATCTCGCGACGAGCGTGTGAGTCTTTCTACCTGTGAGTCTGCGTGTGTATGGATGAGTAGGTAGATACGGAGCGGATGGATGGAGAGATGCCGGTAGCCACTTGCAACGAAAGGAGTCGTTAAGATCAAGGAAGAGGAAAACCGGGGATTCGGGTGCTCGAGATGGCCATGGCGTCATGTCGTCTGCCTGCCTCGGAGACTGGGAAAATCATGAAGCGTCAGGTCTCATACGTCGCGTATGTACCCTTGTGAGATGGTTTATCATTTGCTGACGAATTTCCTATATTCTAATTCTGGAGTTCAAGCAATCAGCGGTCTGGATGCGAGTTGATCCCCGAATTTCAGGGGATTTTCGGGGTATGAGGGGCAGCAGAGTCCAAGTCCCTCAAGAGTGAGCTTAGGGCTACTACCATATGGTTTTGGATTCGAAACAAACGCCGAGGAAGTGGCTCGAAAGCGTGGACGGTTTCGGTGGCATGCTTGAAGCGTCTGCTTCAAACTTTGAGTGAATGTTGTGCGTAGACAAACAAACAAGAGGCCGGACCGGGAAGCGCGGCTGCCATCTATGAGAACCGACCGTGACTGCTTCTGAATAAGCCCTTCCAAGACTAAAATGTTCAAGGCAGGTTCATTCGGGTTGGCATGATGGTACATCTGTCAGCTAGGTTCAGCTAAGGTGCTTGAGAGCATGATGGCCGTATCTCAAACACAGAGATCGTCGAGTCGACATATGCCTTGCCCTGGTGAATGTAAGACTATGTATGCTGTTTTGTTATGGATCGTTCTCCATTCTGGTTTCGAAACCGTTCTTGAACATCAGTATAGAGAACAGTGACCGTTGTGGTAGATGAGTGATGAGTCAAAAGCCAAGCGTCTTGAAGAGTTTTTATTAACCATGTCATTATCGTGCCCCTCACCTGTCTCTGCACCTATATTCATCTCGATCCCTCCTATCGTGTCGATGGCCATCCCGCGACCTGTGTCCATCATCGTCTCTGTTTCCTCGTCGAGGGCTCCGACTCCTATTCCGGTAGTGGCGCCCCTTGTCTCGGTCTGAAGGCCGTTTCTGTGATCTATCGTCGTTCCTGCGATCATGCCGGTCGTCGTTCCTCTGCTCATGCCTGGCCTCACTTCTCCGGCCATTGGAGCCTCGATCGTCGTGTCTCCCCTTCATCTCGTCCTTGCTATACACCATATTGTAATTCTTACCAGAACTCCTCTCATCCTCTTCTCGATACTGCCGTCGTTTCTCGAGCTCCTGCACGCCACCCCATCCTCCCCGCGCCCTTGCTCTCCGTTTGTTGTTAGTGTCATTCCTCCAGACGTCGCTGAGCTTGCTGACGCTCTGTGAGAAGTCGACGTGAATTCGTCGATCATCGATGAGCACGTCTTGCATCTTGGAGTATGCGAGTTCGCACGATGCCTTGTCCTCGTATTCTATAAAAGCGTACTGGAGACTATCTCCCGTCTTCTGGTCGCGGATGACCTCGCAGCTGAGAATCTTGCCGAAGCGACCAAAGATGAGTTCCAGGTCTTCGTCTTGCGTGACGGGGTTCAGTTTGCACACGAACAAGACGTTCTCTGGAGGCTTCACCTCAGCAAAGGGAAGATCGCCCATCAGTTCGAGTGTCAAGGCTTGCGCCCTGGCTTCTCTCTCCCGCCTTCTCTTTTCCAGCTCCTCCTCGTCTACGTCATCGTTCTCGTGAAGTTCTTGTTCATCGGCGATTCGCACCGTTCGCAATTGCTCGTCTGAAGGGGGAGGGCTGGAGCTAGGTTCTCTCAGACCGGGAGGATCCGGATAGGGATCATCGAGAATGACTGTGTGCTTGATGCGTATGTCGACAAATGGATACTGCTTATCGTCGACCATGGCTTCGTTAATCTTCTCCAGCGCATCAAAGCCCTCCACGACCTTGCCGAAGATGGCCGCCTTGCCATCGAGGTAATCCGTCTCTTCGCCCAGCGTGACGATGAATTGCGATGCCGCGACCCTCGTGTCCGGGTCTGAGGCCAGCGGTACCGTCGCCATGCTCACAGTGCCTCGCTCCAGATGCTTCAGCTTGGGGTGAAAGTCAGCTGTGAATGTGCGCTTGGCCGGATCGCCCGACAGGAGGCCCCATATTGAGCAGCCGCCATCAGATTCTTTCGAGAGAGGACCAAGGGGATCGCCGGTTTGGAAGGAAAAGTTCTTTTGGACGGAGTGAACGGGCGAGAAGTTGTAGTATTTGACCTTGCAGAGCTTCAAGAAGCTGTGGCCATATTAGCAGCTTGGAGCATCAGAGAGAGAAGATCGTGACGTACTTTTCGCAGAGCTTGGGAGCGTGATCAGTGAGCAGGTCAATGACAATGTCACCGACAGTTGTTTCTAGCAGGACAGACATGCTGATTCTGTTGTCGTGGGCGGCATTGACGGGGAGGAATGGGGAAGAAAGAGGAAGAAAGCAGTCGCGTGTGCCTGACGCGCGAGGCTGCGAATTGCCCAAGCTGCAGCAGTGACGATTTTGTGGAGAAACAGCCTTGCCTGGGATGTGCTTACATAATGTGGTGATGCTTCGAGCTTGAAGACATCTCCACCAAGCAAGTCGAAGCTTGACAGAGCACACCTCAGCCAAGAGATCAGATAAGCTTCTAATTGAGTTTGTGGATCATGCATGCAAGTCATGTAGTTTCGATCTCAAACTCCATTGGACAAACCCCGATTGGTCCATGTCTATTCAAGATACTAAGAGATCGAATTACTTCCCTTGGCTAATGTTGAATGCTGTAGGAGTCTATCATAACCACACTCACATTCTAAACTCGGTTTCGTCTCATGTTCAAAAACACTATCAAAAGAGTCAATCATCGTAAACCGCATGGATTCGACACCAAGAAGCCCCCTCTCCTATCTTCAGCTGGTCGCCAAATTGCAGGCCCGCTGTTTCAGTCACAAGACGCACACAGTCAATGCGCAACGCCTTTCGTCCATGAAGCATGTGGCCTAAGATGCAACTCTCTCAGCTTTTGCCGTCAGTCTAGTCATCACCTTTATTGCCTTGCGTAGATCTGTATGTGTCAAGGGAGATTGGTTGCACTGCTGGAGAGGTGTAAAGAGCATTCAAAAGTTCAAGTTGTCAACGCAAATAATATGAATTGTGACCGTCTCAACAGCCTACCTAAGCTTGTAACAACGCTAAATGCTACAATGAAACAACAGAATACAAGAACATAGAGAAGAAGGAAACCCCCCAGAGGACTGAAGAAAATACTAGAGCCATCAGATGCAATGAGACGCAATTTATGTATACATGTTTATAACCAGACAGTAGGCTCGCGTTTTCCCTATACAAAAGAGCCGATCCACAGCATACAAGAAGTGAAATGCCTATGATAACACTATAGAAAAACAAACAAGGGTAGAAATGCACCAGATGAAGGTGCTGTGGTATGTACATAAAGAATATGTACATTGTCAAAGAACTGATGGGCGCCGCACGCAATGCAATGCCAAAGACGAACAGCACTCAGCCTCATGTCTGGCTATTTTGCAACGTCTCATGCAGTGAGTAAAACAGCACGGAGTCGGCAGTATACCCAAAACGGGTAGGTAAGTGAAAGCATCCATATGAGATGGACCGTAAAGGAAATGGATGAGACGCGAAAAAGACAAGAAATGAAAGGCCCCAATTTTTGCACTCCATTTCTATATTCCCCCTATCGCGATAAACAGAAGAAGTAAAGAAAAATAAGGAAATCTCATCTTCGTCGCATGGTGTGAGCTCTCCGGCTTGAGCTCCTGTGGTATAAGTTTTGTTTTCCCCGTAGACACAAGAAAGATCAAAGACAAAGAAATTCCGTTGATAAAGCAGTGGCATGCCCGTATCGAGAGGGTCTCCAAGTGGTATCAAGGCTAAATCGGCTAGCCATGAATGGAATTAGAAATTAAGGCTGTTGAAAGGAGTGACGTTGTGGCTCAGACAAGCTGAGCTGGTGGTGATGCCGGATATAAGTCGATCATCGATAAGGGGAGTGCCCGGTCATATTCCGGACTTCCCGATAATGGCCGCGTAATGAATGCCACTGTCGATTCTTGATTGCCTCAACGCAGTCACTCTCTGCTTGGCGAGCTTCGCCTCCGCCGTCCTGACCGAAGCTCCTGCTCCGTCTCCATCAGCCTGGCCTGCGCCCACATCCGCGTCGTCATGTCGCTGCGCACGGCATCGCAGTTGAGCAGCTCCGTCAGCGCCCGCTTGATGCTCTCGTTGACGTCAGAGAGGCGCTGTTCCTCGGCCGAGATCTGGTAGATTGTGTCTTCGTCGACGATGGTGTCGAGGGAGTCCTCAAAGCAGCGTGGGTGCCTGGAAGCTCGACGCGAGCTGCCGGAGCGCGAGTGTCGTCGTGATGACGGTGCTGGAGCCGAAATTGGTGAGGCGGCCAGAGCATGGATGGAGGAGCGGACGGGCGACGTGCTGGGCGAGGAGATTGTGGAAAGCGTGCCGGTCGAGGCGGTGCGCGGGCGGATTTGCTCGAGGTTGCTGCAGAGCTGCTCGTGCTGCTGCTGCAAACGCAGGTACTTTTGCAGCGTGTAGGCGTAGTCGTGTTGGTACCCTTCAAAGTCCATTGTGAAGGAAGTTGTGATGTAGAAGATACTACTCGAATGTATTGATGATGGTTGGGTTCGTTATTGACTCGGTGCTCTTGCTTTGCGGCGTTTCGTTCAGCGGCTGCAGCGATATGATCGAGGTATTGCTCTTGTTCCCAGCTGTGACGAAACCATCGGACACTCGACGAAGATGTAGTAAAAATTCACTCCGCACAGCAGGTGGTGTCGAAGAGTAACGGCAGAGGAGAGATGAGCCGGCAATGTAATTGACTTGTTGAGCTGCGAGTGACGGAGTCGAGACCACCAGGGTGAAGTGCTGGCGATGATAGGAATAGCAGCACTATGGAGTCCTCGCTTGGTAATAATAGAATTGATGGGTATGTAATAACGTGCGTGTGTCTGTAGAAGACGGCTGTTTGGAACCTTGCTTCTGGGTCCAGCAAGGGGGGAGCTTCCGAAGACGTTTTAATATTAAAGGTGCGCGAAGCAGCTTGTTTCTGTGACTCTGGGGGGCAAGGTAGGAGATTGCCTCTTTTGCCCAAGCGTAATGTTCCGCCACGGTATGTCGTAGGTGATTCTGGGTTAGGTATTTGTTCGTTGGTAGGATTCAATGAGAAGCGTGCCGATCTCGAGGAGGACGTTTTTGGTAGGGCAGGTGGCCTTGGTTTATATCGACAGCACGGGGGTGATGGAAGACTGACGTCGGGATGGCAGGTCAGGTCAAAAGCACGGAAGTTGGCGTGATGAGGAGCGTATAAGTGGGCGACTGGTAGCGTAGCGGCCAGCGCCAGGAGAAGAGGAAAAGGTGGACCGGGGGTGGAATCGAATACTGGGACTGGGAATGGGAACGAGACCCGTTTGCTTTTTTTGACGCAGCACTAACACAAGGGCTTGCTTGGCCTCTGCCACTCACGAGATGCCCCGGCTAATGAGGGTGTGGAGCGAGAAATAAGGCACGGAGTATCGATAAAATGAAGCGGGAATGCTAGTGGCAGCATGGGATGGGATGGGGTGAGGAGGGCAGACGAGCAGGTAATATACTTGCAACAAACTGCCAAGATGGTTTGGCGATACGAACCAAGTGCTACAGGTATAACGAGGAGACGTCGAGTGTTGGGGTTTACCGCCAAAAGAGAAGACGAGAAGCTGGCAAGCTGCAAATATCGAGATCAATCATGCGGATGTACTTGTACAGCTGGCTGGCAGCAAAAGCTTACCTTGCCTTGGCTTTGGTTCCAAGCCCTTGCAACTACATAATCGCTCGGCAGCATGAGCATGGGTTGGTTGCAACCTTGCAGGGACGCCAACCGGCCAATGGGAGCCTCGGGCTGAGCTCCGTGAGGGCGAAGCTGAAGGAAGGGGGATTTTTCTGCTTCGGATGCCCTTCTCGTCTAGGTTGGCCGTTTCCCTGGGCCTCTAGCTTTTGATGCGCCGGGGCCCGACAATCTATTTTGCTGCTGTAGCATGCTTTTGGGCGCCAAAGTAGGGGGTGGGTTGGATGAGGGGAGGAGGGGAGACGGATTGGATGCCATACAAGCATGATCATGAAGGTTCTCGTACGGAGTACTAACCAAGAAGAACGCTCTTTGTTTTCTCTTACGATACTCAGATGGTGTATTACTGGATAGCTTGCTCTTCGGTTACGGTACGGTATCTCTAGTCCTACAACGCATACAGTAGCATCATCGCTAGCCAAAGTATAAGCTTCTGCGGAGGCAAAACGACAGCCTACCAGAAGGCGTAGAGTTGCTACAGAGACACTCTCCTCCAATGGCGACGCGGCGGGTGGCGAACCGGCTTCTGCTGGCAAAACTTGGCTTTCTGGATCCTTGGACAATACGGGGCCCCTGCTTGCTTAGCTTGAATTCCTTCTGCTGGAACTTTTACCGTACCATACGGAGCACATACAGTACCGATAGGCATGGGTAGTACTTGTAGGTAACAGCTCGGCTGCGGACGAGTTGGACGATGGCGCTGCTGCACGTTGCGATGAGATGGCTGCTGTTCTTGCTTCGGGGCTGGCCGGGTTTGTGGGCCTGAGGTGCCGTGGTTCTCGACGGCAGGGATCTCGCGTTGTTTTTTCGGCTTTGTGATCAATTCTTGATTGTGATCACTCTGGTTTTTCTGTGTGCTCATGAGGAGGCAGCACTGTGAACGCTTCAATATTCATGCCATCGCCAAGTTACATGTACGAGCACAGCAGCTGTCACCGCCTCAGCCAGACACAGGCACGGCTCGGAGCGGAAGCAATCTTGTGAATCAACCTCGACAGCGAGTCACGAGGCCACGCCCTGCTTCTCTTCCGAGTCCCAATCGCTGCCGAGAGGAGTAGTATATACACAGGCTGCATTATGCCCTGCAACATTGCGTCGCCGAACAGGGCGCCGGTTTGTCCAGTTCGTCTGTCCGTGTCTGTGTCCGTGTCTCATATCCGGATCTTATACATACATACATAGTACAATCCGGCGTTACTATGCGGCGACACGGAGTGTGTGCCAATGAATCGAAATTAATTGACTTTTCCTGACCTGCGTGTGCGCCTGTGGAAAGGAAAGCAACAACAAGCTGGGCTGAGCTGAAATACTGAATCCATTGGGCTGAATGCTGCAATTTGCGCCAGAGATAACGAAGCGCCCTTGTGCCGTTGCCTTACCACCCCCCCTTTCCCGTGAGCAGCACGCCAGTGACGCCTGAGATAACGGCAAGCCATGGGAATGAATCGACTGGCGGACAATGGGCCCGCGGGATTATCTGACGCTACTTGTATCCTGAATCGCATCTCCCTTACATTGCAAAAAAACCGGTACGGAGTACAGAATATTATGGAGCACAGCACGACAGAGATAAGCCTCGATGCGTTGAGGACGGTCAACGCCTGTGTTTCCAGAGCCCTCTGTGCCTCAGGATCAAAGACATCCCACGTCCGCGGCCGTTCTAGTCAGTGATCAGCCCTCAGTGTTACAAGACACCTTCTATTTACGCCTCGTGATCCGCACTGATCGGCGGTTACTCCCAGAGCTTGTCACCCAGCAAAAAAATGAGTGCTGATGCTATCATCAAGCCCCCCTGACCATCATTTCCACAACCCACGGCCGATCACTGGGTACAAGACCCAAAACGGCGGCAGGATTTGGCAAAAGAGCCCAAAGGTGAGGTTACAACTAACTTTTTTCTTTTCCTCTTCTCTCGGCGTCCAGTCTAGAACGCCTCCGAACCTTGGGCACCGAGACAGAGTAGCAGCGCGGGTTGACTCGTCTCATATGAGTACAACTACCAGTCGCGGCACACAGTAACACCGGTGAAGGCTTTGGGCCGGGACTGGGCTTTTGTTTGCAGCGTTGCAATGCAGATTGTCTTTGGTAAAGTGAATCCTACATGAGCTTTTCGCCTCTCAGCTCAGCCCACCACGGAGAAAGCTCGATGAAAGAAGACCGTCGTCGTTGTACGTAATTCAAGTGCATGTACTCCAGATCGTGTATGCAGATGCACTTCACCTCACGGGACCATCGGCTAGCGATCCGCACAGCAAAGACGAAAGATGGATGATAGCCTCCGAGCAAACGGATGCTCCTCACAACGCGGAGTGTTGCAGTGCATCTCCCCTCTCGATGCCCTCTCGATTGGCCAATGCCGCACGCAGACCAGGGGCGGCTCAACAAGAGGTCCGCTGTTATCTCGTCCCGTCAACACGTTGCTGCCCCAGTGTCCGTATGTAGTCGTGTGTACTCCGTGCATTCTTGCGGTGACCGGCCTCTTCCCGGCCTCCTGGTTTCTTCAGTCTCCATGAAGTTTCTTCAACCTGGTCCTTCTGGCGGTCACGTCGCCCGAGACTCTGTGACGCTTCTTTGCCGATCAAAGATCGTCTCTGGCCAGCGTGGGCTCGCTAATAAACGCCACAAGATTCCATCGACGACACGCAAGCTGGACCGCTTTTATTCCCTTTTTTTCCTCTTTATCTCGATTTTCGTTTCTGGCTTTTATTAGAAACTCACAGCATCACTGTGCTACGGACACTCGATCACAATTTGTATTGGAGAGGCAAAATCGATCAATCTCCTCATTGGGGTGGAGCTTGGGAAACCTGCAGGACTGCTGCATCTTTACGGAGCAAAAGGGTGCTTGTCTCGCTTTTTCTCCATGCGCCCAGTCAGTCAGCCCTTCTTCTTCGAAGTACTACTACCTGTACCAAGCATCGTCGACTTCCGAACCAGGGTGTTTCAGAGGCTGCAACTCTGCACGCTGGCCCAACCTACATGTAGTATTCCCCTTTCCCCTCCCTTTCTCCAACCTCCGGCTCCCCCGCTCATGCAAAGCGTGTGCTCACACAGCTCACGCCATCGAAAATGCTTCTTGGCTTCCGGCTGAAATATTACAGACCTGCAAAGAGACCCGATCACAAAAGGGGGATGACACAGAGAAAAGACTTCATGGGCCGCTCGGCCTCAACAACCGGTCCCAGGCTATCGCTTCTTGATCCCATTCGCTCCCCGGCTCCCCGTTGGTGGCGCCTTTGTTTGTGTCCCTTCTTTCCCCGCAGCTGGCACCTCCCGCTGCAACAAGCCGCGGAATGGAAGGTTTCGAAACTCGAGTGATGGACATGCCACCAAACGTAAGATATTTGCAAATCTCAAATGCCCGCTTATTCGAAATCTCCAGTTCATCCAGTATTCGGACTGTGCATGCACTGTAGCCGGATTGAGTTTCAATCCCTCCCTTGTGTTTGGCTCACTTGTACCTAACCCTGTCCTCCCCGGCTGTTTGCCTGACTTCCCCAGACTTTTGTTGCTGTCCTGGTCATGACTTCATCTTGCCGGCTTGGCCTAACATGCATGGTCGAGGGGGAATAGCTCCGGCCAGGACCAGGGTTCTAGACTGTTGGAGAGGAGGAAACATGAGAAGACGGTCACGCTGCTCTACGTGACGTCAGCCATCGGAAAAAGGATCGTGATCTATCTGCAATCTCTGCCTGCTGTTATCAAGGATTGGGCATGATAGGATATGGGGTAACACTGCGAATGCAAATCCCCGGGCATCCCAACAGCTTTGGGGAGGCTGAGATGGCTTGAATGGCTTCAATTTGTCGTCAGGATCGTCTGATGGGGACGAATGCATGGTAACAAGCCACAATTCTCAGAGGCTCAAGACGGCATCAAGCCAACGGCAAGCCAGTGATGATTGTGGCTAGCACTCCCCAGGCGCTACAAAAGTCGCCTTGTCCCCTGGAGCTGTGCGATAGCCGAATAGTCTGACGCCATCCACCGCCATCATCATTCCCTACCCTGAAGTTAACCAGGTCGACGCCGCTTTTCTTGACGAATTGAATTTATTGGCGGCGTTTGGAGGGTGGGAGGAAAGTAAGGAGGCGACTTCCAGAGAGATGTGTCACATTTCGCCTCATGGGTATTGGCATCAAGCCAATGATAGTTGATGATGGCCGTTGAATGATGATGATGATGGTGATGATGAATGATGGTTGAGTTGCAAATGAAGTTTGCACCCAAAGTATGCTCACAACTCTACATCGTTGATCCTTACCTCGTCAAAATATGTTGATGCATCCCAGCCGATTGATTGATGACATTCGTATGTCATGATTTGGAAACCTTACAGATCCTAATGGCTACTTGGTCGTTGTAGAATGGCCCTTCCTGTTGATCGCGCGGCGGTATCTCAAACGAGACATCTTCCACTTTCAATCCCTCTCCCTGACACCGTTCCAAAAACACCTGGAACGTCTGCAGATTCCGCTGCGTCGCCGCAATGATGACCTCAACATGAGGGTACAGGCCAAAGAGGTCCAGGAGTGTGCTGACAAGGTCCGGGATTATGCTTGGGTCGTATGTGATGTCGGCCCCGAGCACAACATCGAGCGGACGGCCGCCGTTCCACCGCTCTTCTTCCGTGCCTACGAGTGCATATCCCCACTTGAGATCCATGAGACGTATGGCACTCGAGCCTTGGAGTTGGTTCAGGAAGAGGTTTTCGGGCAGGTTATTGATGACATCGTCCGACCCATCCGATGCTATGACATGCGTCGCCCCCAGGTACTTGACGCACAGGATCGAAAGGTACCCGGTCCCGGCGCCGAGCTCAAGGACACGTTTGCCCGAGATAATGCTGGGGTCATGACAGAGGAGCTGTCCTAGGTGCAGTGCTGCCTCCCAGGTCCTCAGCCCCGTAGTGCCGCCGGCAGCGATGAGGGCGCGATTCTCAAACAGGTTGATGTGAGCCTCGTGACCTGGCAGTGATGCGAGATGATAGACAGCGGGGTACTTTTGCTGCACGGCATCATCCTCGTTGGGGGCTGGCGCGGAGAATAAGACAGAGAGGGACGACATGAGGTCGTCGGACACTCCCTGCTCCGGAGGTTAGAGAGGGATGACACCTTCAAGTAGAGTGCAGCAAGGGGTAACACAACTTACATGCTCGTCCCAGTCTTCGATGCTGGCCTCAATGCGGGAGATGAGCTCTTTGAGCACTCTCAATTGGTACCGCAGCGGAGGAGAGCCTCCGGGAAGAGCATCTTCAGCAAAGAGCCTCTGGTAAATGACATCTTGGACATCGGAGCGTCTGATGTTTTGAGGCTCCGGATAGTCCAGCGTCTGCTCCAGTTGGAGATATTGGCGGCAGAAGCGGTCGATTTGCTTCTGCACTGAAGCTTCCATGGCTGGTGATCAACACGCATATGCATGTAAAAGACCTAGAATATGAACCACCAATGTTTCACTTCTTCGTCACATCTTTTCTGGCGACAATCATCAAGCTCTCCGAACAAACATGGCGATACTCCAGCATGTAAATCTGGTGGAGAGATCTCAAAATCATTCTGCGCAAGCCATTGGCTGACGGGAGCGGAGGCACTCAAGCTGCAAAAATAGCAGCAGTCCACTGGACCCGAACATTTTCCTCGTCCACGTGATCGTGCACATGCCCCTCTGAGAATTTCCCAGCCAATGTGGGCTCTGCTTATCTAACCCGCACACATTCTTAGGGCTTGGGACCCAGCCTAAGCGACACGAGTGGTGGCTCGGAATTTTCGCAGCCCCGGTTTTCACTTTTGCGGCGAGCCCTTTCTCCCACGACTGAAGCAACGACGCCAAACCGCCGAAGTCTCTCCCCCTTCGCTCACTTTTTCCACAGAGACAACCAGCACACAAGACCGCAACCATGGCGGATAACGACGCTCCCGTTACCCTGCGAACTCGCAAGTTCATCCGCAACCCGCTGCTTGGCCGCAAGCAGATGGTGGTGTGAGTATTTGCCTTCATCTTCTCTGCCTCGTCGTCGCCAGATTCGATCCGCCGCCTCTTGTCAGATCCTCTATCCACGAGATTCGTCCATATGGGAACTACCATCGAGCATCGACAATTTCTTCGGCTACGGGGGCACTCTTCGCCTCCACGTTGCGGCTATGCACCGGCATTCAACTCGCAGAATTGGCAGCGACACAACTCGATTGGACCGGATTCGAATGGATAGAGGAAATGACGAGGCGGATGAAAGAATTGAGAGCGACAAACACGCGCCCACAGTCTCTCCATCCCAAAGCACGTCGTCAGGAGGAAACATGGAACCATGGACTGATTGTGAAACGCATAGTGACATCCTCCACCCCGGTCGTGCCAACATCTCCAAGACCGAGCTGAGCGAGAAGCTCGCCAGCCTGTACAAGGCCCAGAAGGAGCAGGTCCAGGTCTTCGGCCTGCGCACCCAGTTCGGTGGCGGCAAGACCACCGGCTTCGCTCTCATCTACGACTCCCCCGAGGCCCTCAAGAAGTTCGAGCCCAAGTACCGCCTGATCCGGGTCGGACTTGCCACCAAGCCCGAGCGTGCCAGCAGACAGCAGCGTACGTCCTCTTACCCGCGGCCAGCAGCGACGCTGCTGCCATGTCCCATTCTTATACTCCCGTGTGGTTCTGTTTGTTTGCTAACTGGGCATCTTCCGAAATACAGGCAAGCAGCGCAAGAACCGACAAAAGACCCTGCGCGGCACGGCGAAGGTCAAGGGTGCCAAGGCGAAGAAGGAGAAATAAACGCAACGCTCTCAAACAATATTGTTGGGGCTTGCTGGTGGAAAACTGTGGGCGCGCTTCTTTGTGGTACTGGGGCCATCGTGTTGCGACAGTGCTGCGGACTTTTTTTACTCTCTCTCTCGGCAATGGGTGGATAGAAGAATGGAAAATATTCTTCTCTGGTCCTTTGTCGATGAAAAATTCCTCTAGAAACGGCTGGGATAGGGGAGTGATGGCTCAGCCCCCTCCCCGTGGGTGTGCGTGTGCCTTCGATACACTAGCATGAAATCAACGGTGTTTTCGGGTTTCGGTCCAACATTGCGTTTCATTGGTTTGGGTGAAACATTAGGTGATGTGATCATGGGCAATTCAATGAAGAAACGAAAAGAAACAACAATCCTGTTATTGAATGATGTTCAGACTATGAGGCGTAGCATGTGTCTTTCCACCATGGCTTTCCCAACTCCTGGACCCAAATCCTTGATAACACGCCTCCAATTCCTGTCAACCACGATTGTAAAGAGCTCTAACAATTCAATAAAACGCGAACAGCACGAAGGTCGAACTTGTCCCAAATACAAACGCCAGAGTACTATCATCCAGATAATTACGTTCACGCTCAAGTCACTTCAGTTACCGGTAGCACCATGAAAACGCAGAGATCTAAACGACCAAGTCACGAAAACAAATGAAATGGCGGCCAGGCCAGCAAAGATAAAGTACACCCAGCCCTGGCCGCCCAGCCAAGAGTTGAGGGCCTTGTTGACGATAGGGAAGAACTGCGCCACCAAAAAGGTCGCGATGTAGTTTGCTCCCAAGCACCAGCTCTGGGTTGCGCCAACGGCCTCCTGGCCGACCAGCTCGGACGCAAGGATGAAGGGCACAGGACCCAGGCCCACAGCGAAGAAGCCGACGAAAAAGAGCACGGCGAATGCTGATACAATCTTGAAGCCAAAGACGATGGACAGGGCCAGCACAAGAGCGCTGCTGCCCTGGCCTACGATGGACATTATGAGACATGCCTTGCGTCCAAGCCTGTCAGGCAACGGGGAGCAGGCGACGGTCGTGACCAGGTTAACCAGCGAGACCAGGATGCTGAGCAGCGCAGAGGAGATGGGCAGCAGGTCGGCGAGTAGGGAGACGGAGTACATGATGACGGAGTTGATGCCGCACAGCTGCTGCACGAACATGATACCGACCAGCGCGATGATGACGGGCCGTGTGTTGGGATCGCGGACGACCTGGAGGAAGCCGAGGTGAACGGGCTCGTTCTTTGCCGACGTGGCGTTGGGCGGAGGTACGTTGTCTGCATCTTCGTCTGCGTGCTGGGCGAGAAGGCCTTGCTCTTCCTCGCCGGCACCTGAAGCATCTCGGCCCCAGCCTTCGCCTTCCTCACTTGTGTCAACAGCGTGACCGCGAATCCTCTGCAGCGTCTTGTTTGCTCCAGCCACGTCATCGTGCGCAGCGAGCCAGGCTGGGCTTTCGGGGACAATCAGCAGCCCAAGGGCCTGCGCCGCAGCGATGAAGGCCCCGATGCCCAGGTTCCACCGCCAGGCACTTCCGTAGCTGAGGAAGAAGCCCAGTGTCTGGGTGATGAGGATGCCGACGTTGATGGATATCTGCGTCATGAAGCCAAAGAAGCCCCTGCGATCGGGCGGGCAGACCTCGCTGATGTAAAGCGGCACGATGACAGTGGCCGCGCCAGCCCCAATGCCGGACAGGAAGCGGCCCAGGGCCATGACGGGGACGCTGTTGGCGACGGACTCGATGACGGAACCGGCGATGAAGAGGAGGGCCGTCACACGCATGGCGAGCAGGCGGCCACGGCGGGAGGAGAAGGGACCTGCGGCCAGGGCGCCGATGAGGCCGCCGACGGTGAAGATGGACGAGACGGTGGCGAAGGCGGCCTCGTCCATGGGGATGCAGTCGTCGACGGCATCGTGGGTGTCGTGGACGGACGTCAGGAAGCGGGCGAGACGTGCAACGGCCGAGACGGATTTGCGGTGGCAGGTGATGACGTCTTGGGGAGCGTTGAGCTCGGCCTGGGCTGGTCAGTCTATTGGATCCTCTCTATAGGTGCACGATTGGGCAGATCGGTAGGCGAAGATTCGAAAGTGAAGCTCAGGCTGAAGCTTGCATCGACGGGATGACGGGCAGGGCAACAGCGGTGAATGGATGCGACAGGGACGTACCAAGTGGAAGCCAAACTGGAGAGACCCAAGGGTCGAGATGGCGATGAGGGTTATGAGATACGGCGTCACTCCTTGGCCCGCCATGGTTGCGGATTTGCAGGAGCTTGACCTGAAGTTGAAAGGTCGAGGTCAAAGCTGTGAAGGAGCTGAAGCTGGAGTTGAAGATCAGTTGCGTCAGCTGGCCCTAAAAGGTACCGCCATGTGCTGTAGTCGCAGTAGGTGGGCAGGGGAGGCGGTAAGGTCCCAGGGGTCTCAGATTGGCTTAGGGGATTGGAGGCTGATTTCGGCTGATGACATGGCGAATGAATACTGATAATTTGAATGAGATCCCTATCTTTGGGCGCCATCACGAGACTTGATCTGTCTCTTTCGTAATCGGTGATAGGGCAAGAAATAATCGTTATCTGTCCCCCTGCAGTGGTGGTGCAATGCGAGTAACGTGATGCCTTGTATAACATGAAGTGCTTGATTCCGATATGCCGCCTACCCTAGGAGTTGGCCGACTTCAAGAGCCTTCATCATGTCACATCCATTTGATATGCTTATATAGCTGATGATGAACTTCTGAATAACAAACCTTTCTTTTTTGGTTGGTGATTTGGTCAATAACCCTGAAGAATCGCATCTGGATTACAATGTTGTCTCATGTATAAGCGAGGTCTTGTCTACTAAGGAGAAGGTCGCCTCGCATAAAGTTGGATTGTAAGGGACGAGCTATGGAGATTCAACACAAGATGCTTGCTTTATATCATGATATATATGGTGAATTGATACATTATAGAGGCCAAAGTATTCACATACCGGATCCAAACCCCGATTTTTTCATCATATCCATCTAAACCATCAATACTCTCAAGCAGTCTCTCCTATTCCTACCTGTCAATCATCGTCACGGACCCAACTGATCAACATCTACTCACCCAAATTCTTCAATACCCTCCTCCCTCGAATGCTATCATCCTCGAGACGCTCCAAAGTCGGCTCGACAAGGCCACTCTCAACCCACGCCTTCACAGCAGGATGTTCATACAATCGGTCAATGTACTCTCCTGCAGCCCCCGGCAGCTGGATCCCAAACGTCTTGAACCTCGACGCAATCGGCGCGTAGAAAGCGTCCGCCACGCTAAACTCTTTGCCGGCGAGCCAAGGGCCACCAAACTTGGTAATGCCCTCGGCGAAAAGCTCCGTCAGGCGATCAATGTCCCGCTGGAGAGCCTCGCTCGGGGTGCCCAACTCGATGCGCAGGGCGACGTTCATGGAGCACTCGTTGCGGACCGCGCTGAAGCTCGAGTGCATCTCCGCCGCGGCAGACCGGGCAAACGCCCTCGCGAGTTTGTCCTTGGGCCACGCGGCGGGGAACTCTTCGGCGATGTACTCGGCAATGGCGAGCGAGTCAAAGACGACGGCCCCGGTCTCGCTGTCGACGAGCAAGGGCACCTTGCCGGAGGGCGAGAAAGTGAGGAACTCGCGGCGCTGCTCGGGCAGGTTGGAGCTGAAGAAGTGAAGCTTCTCGTCGAAAGGGATGTCGAGCGCCTTGAGGAGAACCCAGGGGCGCATCGACCATGACGAGTAGCGCTTGTTGCCGATGTAGAGCGTGTAAACCATCTTGAGTGCGGTTCCTGTTGGTGATTGGACTGTTGAATATTGAGTTACTGGTTTGTTCTTTCTCTTCAAGATGCCAAATTGAAAGACAGTGTTATATCTTCGAGACCGCGCTCAATTATTGCCCAAAACAGACAACGGAGTCTCCTTCAGCTCTGACTCGAAGAGTTCCGATATTGACACTGGTCTCATGGGGAAGACGCCCTAGGTTTGACCACGGCACACAACTCCAATTTTCAAGCCACCAAATGCATTTCGTACTGGCGACTGTGGCCTCCCTGTCCCAGGGACAAATGCCGGGTCTCGATCCATGGTAAAAGCCCTGGATTAGACCTCTTTACTCAATTGGCAGACTTCTTCTTCAACGGCCCGATCCGAAACCGATAGAAAGCGAGGCTCCTGAGTCGCATTCATTGTTCGTGATGCAGGATCTGAAGGCGCATTTGTAAGCAAAGGCAAGTCTCTAGCCTAGCTCAGCATTTCACAACGCTCGAGTCCCATCTCGACCTCACTTTATATGAATCAAGAAACGAGGCGTAAGTACAGCTTCCAAGTCAATACATATAGACTGACCTCAAGAAGCCTGTGATCTTACATCTTTAAAAAGATCCTGATACGCTTGATTATTCACCCGAATGCTTGGGTGACAATCTCCGTATACCGGCCACCAGTTTCTCATGACGGAGGCCAATCCCCGATTTGGTGGCGGCGAGATGCGGCCTGTGCGGCCTAGTGATAGTACGATACGTAAAAGGAACAAGCTTACACTTTGAACCGATGTTCGATTTAACCATAACCGTGGGCCGGAAGAACGACGATTTGCTAATCCTCTTTACTAGCAGATTTTAGGATGACGGACTTGTTCCTCCGCCAATCCTGTTGCTAGACTTGTTCCCTGATTATACCCATTATTGTCGTCCTGGCTTGCCGCAGAATGGAAAAAGCCTTTTCTGCATTCTTGTTGTGTTTACAGTAAACATTGTGATTCGGTCGTTGATACTCCGTAGAGCGGCATTGACTTGCAGCTGCTCCACTCTCTCGTAAACTTGTAAGCTAGCTGCGCGCCTTACCATCGACCTCCTTGTTGCATGACGCCTTGCCATCGGCCTCCTCCCTATGTACATGGATCTTGGTAGGGATGAGGAGATGTCACTTGAGCTTGTAATTGGGCATCATGACATCCTGCTCTTTGACAGAAGCCCTTCTTCAAACATATAGACAACATCCAAAGACACCGGTGACTCACCTGGCAGCATCTTCACCAGCATCACCGGAATCCAACTTCTCACGGCTGGAAAACTGGACCAGCGGACGACGAACGCCGAGTAACGGGGGTCCACAAAGACTCACAAGCAACCCAACATGATCGGATGTCGGCCGCACGTCTGCATTCGTTCCCCATCCTGATATATGATTGACCCTGCTCCGTACTCCGAAAGACCGTCACTCTCGCCTCATGTTCAATTGCATGGTGTGACCTGGAATTCGGCACCTTCTTGTATCCTGACCTTGTCGACTTCTCGAGAAAGGTGTCGTGAGCGCTTCTTTTACCCACTTGATCTCCAGTGCTATAAAACTGCCGTCGTTCACCGCGGAGATTCGTTTTCATCTGCCGGGATTCTCACAGCGACATCGGCATAACGAACTCCAAATACCTGTCGTCAAAAAAGGAGACGCATAAATAATAGAACATCTTCCTCTTGGTTCTGATACTTCCACTCAGGTGCCATTTTAAAGCTGGTGAATGCCGACTAGGGCTACAGGCCGGGGAGAGAGGGAAGCAAAAGAGAGAGCATCTGTCACATTATGGGACTTACACAGCCGGCCCCGACAGGCCTATCATCAACCGAGGTGTCTTCGATCGACAACGACGCCGCCTTTGAGCCAAAGATAGAACCCGCAACTCCCCGACCTCGATCGATACATTCAGTCGAAGCACAACCCACAGATGCTGCCATCACAATAGGGCCTCCGCCGGATGGCGGCCTTAGGGCGTGGCTCCAGATTGTCGCTGGCCACCTCGTCGTCTTCACTACCTGGGGCTACATCATCAGCTTCGGCATCTTCCAGCCGTACTACATGCAAGAGCTCCACCTGGAGCCTTCATCTGTGTCTTGGATCGGAAGCATCCAGACGTGTCTGCTGTTCGTCATAGGCACATTCACCGGACGAGCGTTCGATGCCGGATACTACAGGCTCTGTCTGATAACGGGATTCATCATGCAGTTAGTCGGCATTTTCACAACGAGCGTGGCGACGACGTACTGGCAGCTGTTCCTTTCGCAGGGGCTGTGTCAGGGTCTAGGCTGCGGGCTTGTGTTTGCGCCAACTATTGCCAACATGACGACGTACTTCTCCAAGAAGAGGACGCTGGCCCTGTCGGCGGCGGCTTGTGGTGGTGGAACTGGCGGCGTCATCTTTCCCTTGATTGCGCAGCAGCTGATACCGCAGGTTGGATTCCGCTGGACGGTGCGAGCAATGGGATTAGTGGTGCTGGTATGCAGTGTCATTATCGTCCTGCTGGTGAGGACGAGACTGCCTCCGCGAAAGGCTGGTCCTCTGGTAGACTGGGGCGCATTCAAGGAGATGACATATGTCCTGTTTGCAATCAGCATGTTCTTCACGCTCTGGGCCACCTATTTTGCGTACTTTTATGTGAGCTTCTTCCTCCTTTCTTCGCTTTGTGAGTCTTCTGGATTGTTTCTAACATGAATCATCAGGCACGGGCGTACTCCATCGACCGGCTCGGCGGCTCTCAGGCAACGTCGTTCAACATGCTCATGATCATCAACGCCGTTGGCATTCCGGGACGACTCATACCGGCTTTTCTGGCCGACAGATTCTTCGGAGCCGTCAACGTCTTCATCCCCACGATCCTCTCGGCAGCCATCTGCATCTTTGCGTGGGCGGGCGTCAACTCCGTCACTGGTGACTATATCTGGGTCATCTTCTTTGGCTACTTCGGCGCCGGCATCCAAGGCATGTTCCCTGCGACGACGGCCGGGCTGACCAAGGACCTGAGCAAGAGCGGCGTGCGAATCGGCATGATTTTCACGATCATTAGCGTTGCATCGCTGACTGGGCCGCCACTGGCCGGAAAGCTGGTGGTGGTGGCTCATGGAAGCTACATCGGGGCGCAGATCTGGGGTGGAGTGTGTCTCGTTATTGGAGCGTTGTTTCTCATTGCGGCGAGATGGGCGAGCCAGCGGGCGCTTGCGAAGGAGAAGGAGGAGCAGTCTAGCTCTCCTGAATAATGGCACTGCAGGCTGTGACGACGAACTGTTAACAGGAGGATGATACAGAGGTAATAAAGGGAAGAAAAAGCATATAGAATCGGCTGCTTGTTTGGACGGCGTTATCAATATCTTAGACCTCACTATCGATAACGAAATTAATAGAGACATATCCAACACCATGAGACTTCGACAATTGTGAACAACTCTCTGTGATAATTCATATGACAACATGCCAAATTGAACCGATACAATTAGTTAGATATTGAAAATTCTGAGAATTTATCTCTTTCGATTAGCTGCGTAGAGCACTTCGAACGTTGCCGAGTTTTCCAGCAGACTGGATGCCGAATTAACTGCCCCGCCATCTTCAACCTGGAACGAAAAATCTCAAGCCTTGCCCTCACCAACTTCGAATCGACAACTGCGGACAATGTCAGCGCCTTGGATCTGCCGCAGCTGCGTCAGAGCTCTGCGACGGTCTCATCAGCTGCAGCTTGCCCGATTCTCCTCCAATGGTGCGCCTCTTTCTGTTCGGAGGCGAGCAAAGACCTTCTTTAGCTGACTTGTATGCACTTTCAGATGCCGCTTCCACTTCCTCTTCGCTGGCCCCGAGCCTCCTCCGTCGCGCCCAATCGCTGTCCGCAGAACATGACGACCTCCAGAAAGGCCTCAACAGCTCCTTCGATGCCGCAAAAGCGAAGCGCGCCGGCGAACTGGGCCGCGTAGCCTCCGCCCTACGAGAGTGGGAGACGGCGCAGTCCTCAATTTTGGAACTCACATCGATGGCACAAGATCCCGACCAGGATCCAGATCTCGCGTCGATTGCTCGAGACGAACTAGAAAGTGAACGCGCCAAACTCGATTTGCTGGAAAAGAAGCTCAAGGAAAGCCTGACGCCGAAACACGCCTTTGCCCATCTGCCGTGCATGGTAGAGTTTCGCCCAGGGCCCGGAGGTCTCGAGGGGAGATATTTCACCGATACGCTGTTCAAGATGTACAAGGCGCTGTGCGCGCGCAAAGGATACAGGGCAAACGTGCTCAAGTACGAAATGGCCGAGGCTGCGGGCGACCAGTCTTCGTCGTCAGGCGAGCAGCCGGTGCAGGAGGCCATTCTCGAGATCCAGGACGAGGGTGCCTACGACCTGTTCCGCGGAGAGGCGGGCATGCATCGCGTGCAGCGGATTCCGAGCACTGAGAGCAAGGGCCGCGTGCACACGAGCGCCGTTGCGGTATGGGTTCTGCCGTCTTTCCCCGAAGGCGGCACCGGAGGCGACAATGTCGACGTCGAAGATCCGGAGAGCGATCTCTACATCAACCCGCAGGACGTCAAGATCGAGACGATGCGGGCCAGGGGCGCAGGAGGCCAGCACGTCAACAAGACGGAGTCAGCCATCCGCATGACGCACATTCCGACGGGCACGGTGGTGTCGATGCAGGACCACCGGTCGCAGCAGCGCAACCGCGAGGATGCATGGAAGGTGCTGCGGTCGCGTATCGCCAGTCAGCGCGCGGAGCAGCGTGAGGAGGAGGCGGCGCGGCTGAGGAGCAGCGTGCTCTCGCAGGCGCAGATCACGCGGGGGGACAAGATCCGGACGTATAACTATAACCAGGACAGGTGCACGGATCATCGGGCGGGTATAGACGTGCATAACTTGCCGAATGTGCTGGAGGGAGGAGAGATGCTGGATAGGGTGATGGAGGCGGCGAGGGAATGGCTTGTGGGTAAGGAGGTTGAGATGCTGGTCATGGAGGAAGAGGCCAAGGCGAAGAAGTGAGCGCGGTGGGAGATATAGCGAGGTGTACGATGAGAGATCACGAGAAAGACTTGTAGATTGTAAAATCTATGTTTTATATCAGGAGTGTATATAGATATCAAGCGAAATAGACACCATTCTCACAGAGAACTGACGACCATACACACTCTGTAAGTCATGATGCATGCAATGCGCACCAGCCTTGTCTTGTCTGGTTACCTCTGCAGCCATGCAATTGGGTGTAAATACCTGGCAGATATACACCTTCAAGTAGATTCCCATCAACCATCCCACCTATTGTTTCCACGCCGTAAACTCCGAGTAATTTGACAACAAAGCCCGCTTCATTTCCACGATGACGCGTTGCAGATATACCCCCCAACTGCATGATCCCAATAATCGCACAAATCCCACGCAAACAAAGCTGAGGAAAAGACAAACAAAAAGCCACAAATGAGTAAAAGCAGGCAGCACCACTATGTAGATGTCCTCACATCAGACCCCCGAGAACAAGCTTACCTATGCCCGCCACCTCAGACTTTGCATGCGCCCTGCTATGGTCCTCAAAGTCTTTGACGACGCCCTGCACAATAATCTTGCGAATCTTAGCATCTGCCTTGGTGAAGAGCTCGGCAATCGGCGCAGAACACTCCCGCGGCGACGGCACCATGGCCAAGAAGCGGGTATAGCAGTCGATCAGCACGTCGCACAGCGTGGCAAACGTCTCGAAAAAGTCCGGGTCGAAGGGCAGCGACGGCGTTAGCAGGTACGTGTACTCCTCGCCGGGCAGCAGCTCGGACTCGGAGGCGGCAAAGTTCATGACGGCGGGCGCGGGCCCCGTGTTTGTCGAGCCGGCGGTGGGCGAGTTGTGACCGAAGGCCGCAGAGGAGTCGTCCATGCCGACGTCAGCAGACGCGGAGCGCCGAGTCTTGGCTCCCGGACGGCGGAACATGTTGGGGATGCGGGCGCGCGTCAGGGCGGCGGTGGATGAGTCGCCGTGCAGCGTCTGGAAGGAGTCGAACTCGGCCAGCAGGGCGTTGAGGCAGCGCAGGAACTCGAGCGGCGTGGACGAGTAAAGATCGTGGATGGTGGGGATGGAGAGGCCGAGAAGCAGGTAGTTGGTGGCTTTGCGTGAGAGCTTGCGCGGGTCGAAGCTGGGCATGCGGGAGAGGTCGGGCTTGTCGAAAAGATATGTGTTGAACCAGTAGACGCGGCCTTCATGGCTGTTGAGAGAAATCGGTTAGCTTTGACATCGTCGCTCGACAGAGACGAGGCAGAACGAGACTCACGCTTTTCGCAGATAGTCCAGCGTCGAGACGCGCTTCTGGGCCGTCTCCGTCATCTGCTGGTGCAGCACATGTGCCTCGCCCTGCGCCAGCGCCCACATGGTGCTGCTCATGCCCGGGCGGGCCTCGACGGGCGTTGCTGGCGGTGCCATGGCGTTGGAGCTGCCCGTGGCCGTCCGCGAGGTGGTGATGGGCTCGGGGGGAGTGGCCGGCGCTCGAGGGCCGTCGGTGGCGTCTCGCCTGCCCCTGTCGGTGTCCGCGTCTCTCTCCCTTCCTTTTGTGTTCTCCTTGTCCTTTTCCGTCTCCCTGTCCTTTTCCTTCTCTCGGTGGATGTGGACGCCGCCGTCCTTGGTCACGATCTTTGCAAATGCGTGGGCGAGATCGGGCAGCGCAGGCGCACCGGCGTCGGCAGCAGCGGCGTTGGCGTTGGCAGCGTTGCGCCGTCGCGAGCCCGGCAGCGACGCCTTGAGGGACGAAAAGGACGCCTTGCGCTCCTTGCTGCTGCTGCGGACGGCGGACAGCGACGACGGGTCAAGGCGATGGTCTGGGTCTCGGTCTCGGTCTCGTCCACGGTCACGGTCACGGTCACGGTCGCGATCTCGATCTCGGTCTCGGGTGGTAGGTCGCGGCAGGTTGAGGGACGCCGGGCTGAAGAGAGCGGTTGAGGCGCTTGACGGCGCCATGGTGCCCTTTATACGGTACCTGACTCTAGTAATAAAGGAGGCTGCACTATTGGATCGGGTCGTGGGGGCTTATTTTTTGGTATGGAAGCCGGTTCGTCGAGGATCGATGGGCGATAAGCGGCGCTTAATTTTGGTGGCTTCAGATGGTTTGTTCTGGGTTAGCGAAGGGGCAGATCTGGCAAGCTCGTACGACTCATGGCGGCGACTCGGCGGTTTGCAGTGTGTAATTGCCGGGAAATTGTAGGCTATGCGGGTGTGCATGAAGATGGAAAGCAAGGGCAGACGATAGACGAGATGACAGATGACAGATGACAGACGACAGACGATAGATGGGGGAGTGGACGATGATGGCAGAGCCGGGAGAAGCAGCAGAACGTAAGATAGCAGAACCTACGGGGACAGCGTATTCGCTAACAAGACTCGCTGATAGTTGAGCCGTCAAGATGCCTTTCGTCGTTTCTCGTGTCTTCGTGGTTGTTTTCACGCATGCGGGATTGGGAAAAGGATTAGGATGCACGAGCTATTAATGGGCGATATAAGGAGAAACAGACAGGGTCGGTGTCTTTTTCTCTCTTCCGACTTTGCTACCTGCCCATGAGGTACATGCAGCTGCTTGGAGACACCGGGCTCCGAGTTGTATTACCTTGCATGTCTGGTTACATTCATGGTCGGGAGCATGCGACCGACACAACTGCAATGAACCGAGGAGAGGGGAAAGGGTCAAGGCATCATGAATAGAGTATTATCCCAGTTAAATCGGCAGATTTGCAGCAGGAAACGACATGAGAATCCTGCTCTGAAGAGAGTGCAATGACTGCCGTGGACATGAGCAAGGAGGATGGACACAGGGGGAAGAAAATCACATGGGTTTCAAGCTGCCTGAGAATCTGGACGTGCATTTTGAAGAAGAAAAAGTGGGATAAGCTTTGTGTCACTGACATTGACAACTCCCAGCTGCTGAGATATCACCTCGATCGTTACATTGCACACATTGACTGACTAAAGCATAGTAACAAAGAGGTACCATTTTCTCATTCTTGAATACTATTTAACTTCATCACAACCACATCATCATCATCATCATCATCATCATCATCATCATCATCATCATCATTATACAGCCTTGTCCGCAGGTATTTCTTGCTCGACATGCTCCAGCTCAACGCCCTTGTTCAGCACATGCTCCACGTCCGCCTGCCGCTGGTCCTCGCTGACGACGCCAAACAGCACGTCCATGTCTTCGAGCGTGAGGCCCTTGGTCTCCTTGATGAAGACGATGACAAAGACGCACATGCCGATGCAGAAGCAGCCGAACATGATAAAGGTGCGCCAGCCGATGTGGTTGACGGCCGCGGGCGTGACCTCGGTGATGACAAAGTTGAACAGCCACTGCGTCGAGGCGGCCAGGCCGACGCCGTACTCGCGGAGGCGTGTAGGGAAGATCTAGGCAAAATCATCGGTCAGCAGTTGAACGGGTTTGGTAAAAAAGAGTATCTTCATCATGACTCACCTCAGACACATACACCCAGGGCGTCGGCCCCCAGGACGCAGAGTATCCAATCACATACAGGTAGATCATCACCACCATGGCAATCGACGCCTGCGAAACCTTTGAGCTGTCCGGGTTGGGCGGATGCGTTGCCAGCACGGCACCGATAATGAACATCATGCTGGCCATCCAGATGGAGCCTCCGATCAGACTCTTCTTGCGGCCCCAGCGGTCGATGCCCAGGATCAGGAACAGGGCCGTGGCGACAACCTTGACGGTGCCGTACACACCGGTTGCAAACAGCGACGAGTTGGTGCTGCTGATGCCCACCGTCTCGAAGATCTGGGGTGCGTAGTAGCCGATGCTGTTGGTCCCCGTGAACTGCTGCCAGAACATGATGGCAAACGCCAGCGCGAAGCGGTTCCAGTTGCCCTTCTTCAGGCACTCTCGCCAGGTGACGCCCTCGGTCATGGCCAGCTCCTCTTCGATCGATGCCCGGATCTCGGCCAACTCCTTCTGCACCTCGGGGCTGTCCGGGTGGTCGTTGCGGATGTACGCCAGTGACCGCAGGGCCTCTTCGTGGCGCTGCTTCTTCATCAGCCACCGCGGCGACTCCTTGAGAAACAGCAGACCGCAGAACATGAGGCCGCCGGGTATCATTTGGATGGCCACGGGCACGCGCCACTGCTTGGTGCCCGGCTTGATGTGCAGCGACACGCCGTAGTCGAGCCAGTAGGCAAAGGTGCTGCCAATGACGAGGAACTCCTGGAACAGGCCCGCGACTCGGCCGCGCGTGGCCGGCGGGCAGTTCTCGCTCACGAAGACGGGTGTGATGGAGGACATGCCACCGACGCCGAGGCCGGCGATGACTCGGCCGGCGTAGATCTGGCCGATGCTGTGCGAGGCGCTCGTCTGGATGGCGGCGCCGACGAGGAAGATCAAGACAAAGAGCATGAGCGCGTAGCGGCGGCCGATGCGCTCGTTGACGAAGGCGGCCGCGATGGCGCCGAAGAAGCAGCCGGCCGTCAGCAGGGAGACAACGTTGGACGAGACGTGGGCGTTTTCGGCGGATGCGAAGCCGCCTGAGTCGGTGGGGAGGCCGAAGTCTTGCTTGAAGCTCTTGAGGGCGAGCACGCTGCCCATGACGCCGGTGTCATATCCTTGAAGAATGATGTTAGCTTGCGTATCGATCTCATGGCGAGGAGGCTTGAGCAAGTCATGGTGATGAAACCCCAGAAGATGGAAGCAATGAACTCTGAACTTGGGAGGTAAAGGGGGGGAAACAAACCAAACAGCAGTGAGCCCAGATAGGCCACCGACGTGAGGATGTACACGCGGTAATTCTTGAAGAAGTGCATCTTGGCCATCGCGATAACCAGACAATTCCGCTTCAGACACTTCTTCTTTCAATAAGAACGAGACTGAGTTCGAGGAGAGGGCCCGCCTGTCTAGATATATATCCGTACGAATCGAGAACTCTCCATCCTGTTGCTACCTTGAGCTTCCCCATCATTCCTTGATTCCTTTTTGGAGGTGGGCAGCACCCCCCAATCAGCACAGGCCGATCCTCCATCTTGAGGGTGTGTTAACAATAATTCGCCCGGAGCTGTGCACCGGTTGGCTCGCTAGAGGTGGATATTGAACACCATCCTGGGCAGGGCTATTTGTCCCATGATCTGCTATGTAACCGTTCAATTCTACGCATACAGATGCTCTCTCGACCTTGGTTCAACCCCAGACGGGGCCTCCATTCCCAAGACCTGTTAGCCCGGGGATGGCATGGAGTTGGTTTGGGGGAGTGGGACATCGTGGAGTTGGCCGGGCTATTAGCGACAGCACCAACCACCAAGTAGCAAATCAAGATGAAAGAAAAGTAGCTCCCCCGCAGAAGGCAAGCTGTAATTCCCCGCACTCGGTCCGGCTCCAGAATTGGCTCTTTTTACGCGCGTGTGTGACTTCTTCGGCGAAAGGCTATCGACGGGAGCGAAGGACGACTTTCCTGTATTAGTGAGCCCCCTGGTGAAAGACGGCCGTGGCCTCGCTGGAGAACAACCCGAGATTGTGTGGGGGACTTGGCTGAGTTGCCGAGATGCCGGTGGCTTTTGGGTAGGATTTCCCGCCAATCGGGAGGAGAGTTGGAGGATGGCTGGATTCTGGAATGTTGTTTGCTGGCATCATCGTTGGACTGTGCTTCGTACGTGTGATGCTTTCCTTTTCTTTCTCGGATACTTGATATCAGAGAAAGATCAGATTCTTTATAACAGGAGTGTAAGGCGATGATAACAACGGATCATCAAGCGCCGAGACAGGGCTTGTACAGTTGGGGGAGGTTGGCCAGACAAGTCAACTGGCCCGTCTTACTCCCATGCCCCCGAGGCAACGGAACACTTCCCCCTCGGATGTGCTAACGCTTCGGAGTTGGGATAGCTTCCATACTGGGGGTTGTGCATGGCTGGGGTGACATTCGATGTCACTCAAGCACATGCTGAATCCAGCTGAGGTTGTGCTGGGATTCATGCCAAAGGGTAGCTTTCCCATAGGACCGGCAATAGCTTGTGATTACTGTTCACTGTTCTCTTTTTGGGCTCTGTAGTTGCAGTCATGTTATCTCGGCTGTTCTCCCAAGCTTTAAAATGCAAGCTCTGGTATTCACAGCAAGTATCTCAGGTCAAGCCCAAATTGCTGTGAAACAGTGTGAAGCAGCCAGTAAGGAGCAGTCGGAGATGGGGGGGATTCGCGAGAATACCCTTCCACACGCTGCCTCAAACGGCCGAGCTGGCTGCTTTCTCCGACGTGGAAGCAACCTATCGGATGCTAAGCGACTCATTTGCACCCTCAAAGTAAACCCTTCTCAACGTTAAGGAACCTGTGTCTGTTGGCTGTTCATCGGGCGTCCGCAATGACACACAACCACCTCCCCAACCAACGGCGGCTTGCCCCCGCGAGGGAGAGCGACTGCCACGAGGAATCAGATGGTATCGGCAAGATCAACTAGACACCATCTGCATTTTAACCATCTGCCCAAGCTTGGTAGCATCGGTGGTGTCTGTAAAGACGTCGGGGGACATATTGTCTACGAGAGACACACCCAAATGCACAATGAATGGTGAATCAGATTAAACGATAAATCAAAATGGTATATCCCAAACCATGTATGTCTATATACAAGCCCGATCTTCATGTATACGGGCATCCTTTCTATCATGAACAACGAAACATATATTTTATCCGCGCAGTCCTTCTGCCATGGCCAACAGCAGACCAAGCGCCTTGTGAGCCGGCGCCTTGGTCTTCTTCTTCTTGGGAGCGGGTGTCTGCGTCTCCTGCTCATCATCATCGGTCTCGTCTGTCGACCCTGAGGCGGCAGAAGTAGCAGCGGCCTTGGAAGACTCAGTCTTGGAGCCGGCAGACTTGATGGCCTTTTGGGGCACGCTGGTGAAGACGCAGTCGCCGCCGCCCCAGACAGAGTCGGCGACGTTCACCCAGAGGGCCTCGGGCTTGATGAGCGCCTCGGCCGTGTAGAACAGGCGGCAGTCGGCGGCCTGGTAGACAAAGTGTGTGGGAGTCTGGTCGTCAAAGGGCGAGAAGGCGTTGCGGAAGTTGACCGAGCCAGTGGTGAGTCTGAGAGGCAGGTCCTCGAGGGCGAGGGGGATGGAAGGCGAGAAGACGGACATCTCCTTGTCGGTGAAGAGCGGCTTCTTTGCGTCGGTGGCGTTCTGGACAAGTTGTTGGGCGACTGTGCTGTAAAGCGAGATGTCTGAGAGTTCGAGCACCTGCGCGCCTTTGACACCGCCGATACTCTGCATGGGGCCGGCTTGGGGCCGGCCTCCGGTAGTGACGACGCGGACGCCGTAGGGGATCATGTGGTTGACGAAGATGGTGCAAGTCGATGAGCACTGTCCGTCAGTGAGCTAATTTAGAAAAACGGCGTGTCAGTAAAAGCGGTGATGCAATTGGTCGGGGGAGAGGGAGGGAGTGCTTACAATGACAATGTTCTCGGGCGCATACGGCGGCGTCGTACCGTTGAGGATTCCTCCCTGACCAAAGATGTTGATGGGAGTCTGCGTTTCGTTGGTCAAGGCAAAGTTATCCTCAGCAACAATTGCAGTGGATGGAACGCCGAGAACATCAAAAGGGCCCAAGAAGTCCTCGACAGACTTGAAGGTGGTCTTTTGGTCGGGTTGAACAAGGTCAGGCACAAAGAAGGGGGTCCCATGGAGTCCAACCTCTTCCACGGCTGCGTCTGAGGCACGGCTGAAGGCCTCGGTAACGAACTGAATTCCGGGAGTGGAGCGGTATCGGGTCGCCGAGAAGATGGTCATGTTGGGGAAGAAGACGCTGACGAGGCCGAAGCCAGAGTCCACGGATCCACCAGGGTTGTTGGTCACATCAATGATGATCTTGGACCTGCCGGCGGCAATCGCCTTTTGGACAAATTCTTGAGCCTCGAGGGCAAAGTTGGCAATCTCGTTTGTCGGGATACCGGAAGCCGCGTCTTGCGTTAAAAACGTGGGCACCGTCAAGACAGCAACGTCCTCCAGCCCCTTGTCGTCGGGCAAGTATCCGGTGATCAGGTTGAAGGGATCCTTGACTGTGGGCTTTGGGTACGTTTCCGGAGCTGGTAACTCTTTCGCGCTTGAGCTTGAGTCTGCTCGCTTCTTTTTGCTGGAGTCGTCCGACGAAGCGGGCTGGGGCTTGCAGACGGCGTCCCACAGCGCATCGCCAGTCTGGAAAGTGAACTCAGTTTTAAGACCTGCGCCGATGGCTCCATTGAGCGGGATGCTCTGCTCGGTTCCGTTGGCATATGTCACGTTGAACTCGTGCGCTCCCGGAAACGTGGCGAATGCCCCATACCCTCCAAGCGTCGTGCTGCCATCTCGGCCAATTGGTACGTTGGTCATCATGCTATTGTATCGGGCATCGGGGTCCTGCAGACCAGCCGTCTCGGACAGCTGTTCGGTATACGCCTCCGCACCGACTCCGTTGATGAGCGTCACGGGGGAGACGTCCTTGTTGCCTTGGGCGAGAAGCTTGCCATCACCTGGGTTCCTGTTAGGGATACACGCGCCTGAATGATGTGGCACAAGAAAGACGAACCCAATGTGTACAGACGAGGGACTTCTATTCCATCGCTAGAAATCGAAACCAACTTCAGCTGGCTCTCGAAGACGAGGACAATTGAGCAAGGTAAGATGCCGAGATGGCCATCATTCGCGAAGCTGAAGAGGTGGAAGAGATCCGCGTCGAAGTCGTACTGCGACTTATACGCATTCGCTGATGCCCTGTCGCGGATATTGGACAGCCCACCAAGAAGATCGACTGTAGCAGAGAGAGAGGTTGGTGGAGGATCTGGTAAACTCAAGTTAGCCTACGACTCAGTGTCAAGAGATGGCAAGAGACAAAGCCTTACTTCTCAGGATCTCCGTGGTTGAATGCCACTCAAGATATTTCCTGACCTCGTCGATGAAGCTGACTGCCAGGTCGGACTTGAATGGCGTAGACTGCAGACAGGCGAGTGTAACCTGACTGGAGAAGGTTGATGCTAGAAAGGAACTGTCAGACAAAGGCATGTACAACACAGGCCTGCTCGGTTCACTCAGGACTTACTCCCTGCTTTGACCAATTTGGCAATCTGCGCACATGGCTCGGCAGCTGTAGAGGTTTTGGAGGAAGTTGAGGCTTCTGCAGCCAAGGCCGTTGTTGCCAGGGCCGCGGCAGCAGACAGACGTGATAACCAACCCATGGCTTCTAATAGATACAAAGAAAAGAAACGCTGAACAAGAAAGAATAAGCGAACAATGCCAATGGAGAGAAAGGCCACGACACTACTCTTAAGTGTTGTGGTTCTCTAGGCACTGGACCTTGGTTGGAATATAGCTCAGACGAGAGCCGAAGCATGTGCTTGTATATATTATCTCGAGATTTAGATCAACCCACAAGCCGTCATTATAAAGCAATCTGTAACTCGACTCACCTTCAGCAATGCCATTTTCTTTTTTTAGGGCTGCTTGCACTTTCCCCAAATAGTTCCAATAATCGAGCCAAACGATGGGGTTTGAACGACCACAGCCCACTTCCACCCACGTTCGTCTCCCCCCTGGGCTGACGCGACCCGCAAGCTCAGCCTAACCCACTGCAAAGCTGCGGTGTAAGTTGGGAGCTTACACCTTGTGCACTACGGAGAGCGAGTCCTGAATTTCGAGTCTCGATCAGTAGCTCCGTGTTTGTGCGTTGTTGAATAGTAATTATCCAAGCTATGACGCGAGAGAGCTTCTTCTTTGCTTTGGACTTCGCGGGCCATGGCTATAGTCGATGCCTACAGTTGAGATGAGTCGCATGGTAGTATATTTTGGTTTTATTCCAGCCAAAGGTTTGTCATCGCCCGCCTATATTAAGATCTGCCAGACGCGGGCATACTCGGATATGTGTCGTTGGGCTGAGATGGGTCCTGGAAAAATCCGCACTAGTAGTATCACCATCACGAGCAGCAAACCCAAACCAGCAGGGCGGAGCTGCAGCAAACTGTCCGGCTATTGCAGGGGATTGGACAGCTAATGAGATATACGATACTGCTAGTACGAGTTGACCTCGATTTTGAGCTGCACTATCAGAGTAATCCTGAGACCGGTTAAGCAGCCTCGACCGATTCTGGAGTGTAAATCCGATGTAGAGCATGGTGTCGGGAATAGTTTCACCAGGAGATCTCCGTGGTTCGTGGAATGCTCTCACAAGTTTTTCCAAGATTCCAAAGAGATCTACAAAGTGGCTGGAAACCCTACTCTAATATGAACAGAGGAAACATGGATAGACAACCTGGCAAGGTCATGCTGATATAGTTTAGTCACTATAGTGCTGATCCCGGACTTGTCTGATACAAGTTGATGGCTAGCCAGAGCTCACTGACATTAGTGTCTCGTAATGATGTTGTAGTATTCCAGCAAAAAAGAAATGAAGCTTCTTCTCGCCCTATCACGGCCGTCAGCTCGCCTAACCCACAACCATGCAAAGGTCCCCAACCGTGTCATGCTCGCTCCAGGGTCCGGTCCCACACCGTCAGATAGCTAACGCTTCCAATGCCAGCGTGGCTGAGCCTCCATGCTGACCGGCCCGCTGCTAGGCTGATTCTAAATTTACCCATCGATGCTCGATAGGTCTTTGCTACAGGGGCATTAGGGTTGGCGTTGGGAAGAGCAGCTGGCTTCATTTATTCTGGCAGACGGCCTTTTTCTGTTGAAGAAACTGTTGAAGACTTGTTGCATGCAGAGAGTTCTGATAAACACTCGCTTGCTCTGCGCACGCCCTGCCTAAGCTTCGAGCTGCTGCTTTATCCTTGGCTGGAAAGAGTGGGCTTACCTACTACATGTGATATTGAAGAATCTGGGTCTCTTTGCTCTGATCCCTCTTCATTCTCCTGCTTGTCAAACCTTCAGCATAGCATCAGAGAACAGCCGAAATGGTCAAGGCAGGTCGCATCGCGTGTATCGCGGTGCCGTATCTGTGGACGATAGGAGCTCTGGTCGCGCTCATCTTCGTGGGCTTGGGCTCAACGGACGAAGATTCTTCTACGTTGAACAAGTTGTATTTCATGAGGGTAGGTTTTGGTCAAGAAATTGTCCAGTGGTAAAAGCCACGACATCGGGTCCCAATCCTCGCCCGTTGATCCAACATCCCAATCTGACCAATTCATCATAGGCCGACCTTTCAAATGTCACCCACGTCGAAGCAACGAGATTCGGCGACCGGCTACTTAACATCACATACACCGCCATGAGAAATGCCACTGAGGAGCTCGCCAAGGCCCTGGAAGAGGCAGAGGAGGACTCGGAGCTGCGCGACTTCTACAACATTGGTCTCTTTGGCTACTGCACGGGCGACAAAGAGGGCGACGATTTCAAGGTGGACTTTTGCAGCAAGCCCAAGGGCAGCTTCTGGTTCAACCCACTCGAGGTCTGGCACTTGAACATCAGCGGCGTGCCCGACTTGCTGCCGTCGCATCTCCAGTCGGAGCTGAAGACGTACCAGAAGGTTTCGCACTGGATGTTTGTTGCATATGTGCTTGCGTTCGCCACTACTTGCATCCAGCTGCTGGTGGGCTTTTCGGCCATCTTTAGCCGCATTGGAAGCTTATTCACAACCATTGTGGCAGTGGTAAGTTGAAGATCCCTCCGTATTATAATGAGCTTTGAATGAGTTCCCACTGACACAAATCTACAGGTTACAACCGTCTTCATGCTGGCCGCGAACATCACTGCGACCGCTCTATTCGTGGTCCTGACTGGCGTCTTCAACTCTTCCCTCAAAGAATACGGCGTGACCGCCCATCTTGGCGGAAACCTCCTTGCTGCTTCATGGCTTGCCGTTGCCCTGTCCATGGCAAGCGCCGTTCTGTGGCTCTTCAGCTCATGCTGTTGCTCTGGTCGCACTGAAGCCCGTCGTGTTTCGCCAAAGGGCACCTACGAGAAAGTTGACATGGGAGCCGGCTCATCACAACACAACGGCCATACCACGGCGCCAGCTCCCACTTTCGATAAGACGAATACGGCGTATGAACCCTACCGCCACCAGTGAACACGATTGGAGTGTCGGGTTGATTTGACGTGAAAATAAAAGGAAAATAGAAGGAAGGAGATTAATATGGCGTACATAGTAAACAGATAAGGGAAGCGCTGGATTGTTCATGTTCTCGTTCATGTCATGACCATCCGTGATGGGATCATCAATGTTGTTTAGAGCGTGCTTTTGTCGATGGATTGGGATGGCCTTGGGTCGTGCCAAGTCTCTCTTATTAGATTTGTTATACCCAAGCAATAAACCATGTATAATTGTACCATGTTCAACACCGTGCTGCAACGGTATACAGCATCGCCTTTTCTCTGCCCACGTTGTGAGTGTAAACTGGAGGAGTCTTGTATTCATAGACCGCCTCAGGCTTTATGAGAAGCATCACATAGTCAACTATGGGACCAGTACATCAACCAGGGCAAATACAAATGGCAGTATTGCTGGAAAGATGCGCTTTATAACGGCCCGCAATACCCCTGGCTTCAGCCCTACAAGAATCTAGATACACAATAGCCCCATTTTACATTGAGGGCGCCAAGTGAATCAGCGATGGAGTAAGGCTTGGATCCCAACAACCCCTTGTCTGTCACATGCGACAAGTTAGTCCCCCATAGCTGCTGTGGCGGTGCCTGAGATATATCAGCGCGGGGATGTAGGATTCGGCAAGTGCAAAACTTCTGTATAAGTAACAATAGCAGCAGCTGGAATCATGACGCCCAGCAGAGCTCTTTACGCCGATTTTGCTGACCTTTATCTAATAATAGGCCCGGCAAGTCTTCCATAAGGTAGTAAGTTGATACTCCAGGCTTGTACTCAACGCGCGTGACATCAGCTTAGGGCAGGTTGAGCAAATCGGTCATATTCCTGCACTTCACCTCTGAAGAATTTGCAGCAAGTCGTTGCTGCCAGTACAGTGGTGTCAAGGTACTTCATCTCGGTACTGATAGCATGCAGCACAACCACCCCTTGCTTAGACTCCCGAGCGTTGTGCCCGGCTCATAGGGATATTATTCGATAGCTAGAAGATTGGCAAACGAATGCCGCGGCACTGACAGAAGCCCAATGGAGTTGGGCTTGGTATGACGTTGCTAATGTTCCATATTTCGTATCCGTGTCACTGAGTATCACTGATAAGGGGCATGAGACTCAGCCTAAGCTGAAAGCCCAAGCTGTAGTAAAGTCTCTTTATCCAATACGGAACTCGAGGTGCCATGCAGAATCGGAGCAACTATTCATAATATGGCCAGTTGCTAAAAGAAGTCCCATCTTTCCCTCAACTGGACTGGTAGGCCTGACCCCGTTGCGTCTCTGACAAGAGAAAAAGAAGCGGCAGAAGCTGCTCCTTTTATGTTGCCATATGCTGACAGCTCTTAAGTTGCTTGTTAACCTATCTGTGAGACAGACGATAGTACTTGCGCCGATGCCATCCCTAAGCGATCTTCTAAAACCTGAAATTTATCGTATGGTAATTTCCATTCAAAGCAGGAGGCAAAGGAGACATTGGGCTTCCCAGAAAGTGGATATCTTGGCAGTTGTTCGCAGCTTTCTGGTTGCGATATGTGGCTGTCGTGGGTCTTTACTACTCTACAAACATGACCCGTTCACCCCGTGTAGCTATAACAGTAAACGGAATAAATCATTGCTCTGACTGGCAGTTTGCGTCTTTATTTTTCCTCGAATACAGGAGATTGATCTTGTTAACTGGAGCTTATTTATAGGGTTAACGTGCCGAGTGGATGACCGTTAGGGGATACCCTGGTCAGCGCATTACGCCTCCAGATGACGACGACTGACTTTGTATATCCACTCGACACGCGGCAAAGACAGGTATTGTCAAATTTTGTCTGCCACCAATGCAACACAAACATACAAATTAAGGGGTTTGTGTTTAGATATCGTTACTGCAGCCCTCTGTTGTGCCAAGAGAATTGCAGCCTTGCATCACCGAGGAAGTAATTGCAAAATCCCGTATACGACCCGAAAGCGAGGACGTTGCTGACGAATTCGCCAACCGGGCGAGTTTATGTTAACCATATCAATAGCCTATACTGAGTATCAACCATACCAATAGCCTATGCTGAGAGCTAACCATATCAAGAGCCTATGCTGAGGCTACACAAAGAGGCGAGAACGAAAGGCCCACTTGAGCTGAACCGCATCTTCCGTATCTGGCCAATTGTTGTGCTCGTCAGCCCTGGGGGAAGCAGCGCCGGGCTGTAGCAACCTCTTCGTATTCCGAAAAGAGAGTACGTCTAAGCTTCCTCTTACTTCGTGGTGGGGAGGCACACTGCGAGCACCATTGTTCCTGGCTTGTATCCCGTTAAGTCTAAGTCTGCAGGAAATAGCAGAAACTTTCACTATCATTAAATGTTCTGTAGTTGTACAATAGAAAGGATAGGCAGAGAAACTACTGCATATATCACAGCTTCTAGACAGATAAGTTGCAACATAAGCCAGAGCGATATCAAGATCTGCCCGAGTAACTATCCCATAACGCAGCAAGTCTCCTCCGTTTACAGAGGTTAAAAAGCCCTTAACTACAAGGACCATCAATCAAACCCGAAGACAAATAGGTTGTCATTGAATCCGTACCATTGATGGCTCTGACATGCGTATAGGGAACGCGGAAGCTAATGCCAAGGGCCAGGATGGGCCAGTCAGATGAAGGCGTCTATCCCCCGTAGGTATTCGATGGACCCCAGGCATACGATCTCGGCAGTTCCGCCCCAGTTGTCGGAAGTTTCTCTATACAAGCCATCAAATTTTCCGTTCCTTGGCACCTTCTTTATCGGAGGCCTTCTTCATGGCTCACATGAGGACCAATTGCCGATTGATTCTCCTTGCAAAGGCTACTGCTTCGTTCACAGACGAGGATTAGCTCGTTGACGAGAATAACAACTCGGCTGTGCACCGACCATTGTCACGATAACACCACTTACGCGTCATGGTAATAATTCCGCCGAAAGCATACAGTCTTTCCCTATTTGTATAGTCAATTCATAGCCGAGGCGTTACCAGGATTTCTTGGGGCGGGCCGTCCCTCGCACTGCCCGTTCTTTTTCCTATAATATGGACGATATGGATACCAAACTCTCAGTCGGCGCTTCGAATATCACAGTTCAATACAATATTGAGAGTCTTTGGTATAAACTTGCCTGAAATGCACCTTTCTCGCCTTTTCCATGTGGCATCACTCGTCGGGTCCGTTTCTGCCGAAACAATGACTGGTAAGTGCCACACCACCTCTTTATAGATGTAACTTTACTGTCTCTTACATAACATAGCAACTTTCAACCCTCTTTACGACGACCCCTCTCGCTCTTTGAGTGAGGTTACCTGCTGGAGGAAGAATATTGGGTTTATGCCCAACTTGGACTGGACTCTCCAACAGGACGCGGCTGGGTTTATTGGCATCGACAAGATCAATGGCTTGAACTCTGGCAAGTGTCTAACTTGCTGGACGCTCAGCTACGAAGGCAGGGCTATCTCACTGCTTGCTCTTGATGGTGCTGATTCTGGCATTGCCATGTCTTTCAGCGCTTTGCAATATCTTACCGATGGACGAGCTAAGGAGCTGGGTCGAGTCCTGATCGATGCAGTCGAGGTGGATACTTCGGAGTGTGGAGTTCCGGCGAGCAAGCTGCATGCGTATGACTTCTAGTCTATCGTACTGGTTGGTATGGTTTAGTTACTGGTACCTCTAGGTATCGGAAAATGCCAAAACCCCAACGATTACCCCCATAGCGTGCGTTGAAGCTTGTCTGTTGCGTGGTCAACGTAGTCGATCGTGCATAAGTGTGCTTCTACCAAACACTATGCTAGCTATTTCATTCTAAAGGCACCCTTTTATCAATCTATTTATCAAATTAAACGCTACAGATCAAGTCTGCAACACGTTGTGTTTCTGCGTAGATGTAGGTTATTGCAAGGCCGACTAAGTGGACATCTCACATCAATTGACCGATCAACCCTGTTGATATGGGCATTGCATTAGGCGTTTGCCGTAAGGAATCCAGGATTTAAGGTGCGACGTGACCGGTGCGGTGATTGCATTAATCACCTCTACACGACTTGCCGAGGTCTACGTTAGATTATGACAGCGCAACTCTACGTTCTTCCAAGTCAACTTCGCAGCTCGCAGCTTTCACATCTGAGTCTCATGATCTCGAGCTCAATTTCTCACGAACCAATGCGTGTCCAGCGAGACTTCAAACATGGTTTAACTTTGGACATTTCATGTGAATACAAACTCCACGTTGTATACGGGCTCAATGCCAGCTGCGAGGGCATCGATCATCACTCAAGCCGTGTGACTGCAGAAAAGGCCCATTTTTGGCACATATTAATCAGCTCTGTCAAGGCGTATTATATTCCGCGAATCAAACTGAGCATTATTTCAACAAGAACCCCGTCTCACATGGGACAGACTGCTTCCTTTGAGTCGTTGCGCTCTAAGTCTCATCCGTGGGCGTCTGCTTTCGAGCAGTGTCCTCAATGTAGGTAGTCGAGGGGGTCGTCCTCGTCTTGCTAAAGTCTCGCAGCGCTGTTCCAGCAGCGAATAGCTCGTCAACCTCTTCAAGACTTCGGCCTTTCATCTCCGGAATGAAGAAGTAGGCCACACCAACCATCACCCAGTTAATGGAGCCGTAGATGAATCCGACCTTGGCGCCCAAATTGGCATACGGCGCGTTGAGGAGATATGGGATAGTGAAGGATGTGACGAAGGTTGTGATGATGGAGATGACGGATGCAAAGAGGTTTGTCTTTTCCTTGACACGAGTGGAAGCGGCCTCAGATACTACCACGTATGATACAGGGGCCCACGAAAGGTTATAAGCGCAAGTGAACAAGATGAAAGACGCCACCTAGCAGATTGTAAGCATGGATGCCGAAAGAGACTTGAGGAAGGAAGACTTACCAATGCTCCTCTCTCAGAGTCGTTAGGGGTTTTCTCCAGTCCAACCCCACCGACGACAAAGAGGAAGATGGCCATTCCAGAGCCACCAATCATCAGCATGGGGCGTCTGCCGACCTGATCAATCAGGAACCAAGTAGTGATGAGGCAGACGAGACCGGTGACGTTGCTCAGAATGTTGAACAGGAAAGCCTGGCTCTTGTAGCCCTGGGACTGGTAGAAGACGACAGAGTACTGGCTGGAAAAGGCCTGACCGGTAATCTGCTGGCCGAACATGGCAATGACAGCAACCATAGTTCGCTTTCGGTTGTCCACATTGAAAACTTCTGCCCAGGAGCCCTTTTGCTCTGTAGAGTGAGCATGACGGAGGATGTCGATCTCTTGCTCGATTTCGGCCTCGGTGTGGTTCTTGTAGAGTCTTCGCAGGGACACCTTTGCTTCTTCGACCTTGCTCTGAGAGAGGAGCCTGTAGTTTACAGTTGATTAGTTTGGTATGCTTCCAAAGAAATCTTTCTCTGAAAATTTGGTAGGCTGCTTACCATCGTGGAGATTCGGGAACAAGGGGCAGCAGGCCCACGATGAGTGCCGGAGCGATGAATTGCAGTCCCACAGGAATCTGCCAGCCCTTGTCACCGGAGATGTGCTGAGTGCCAAAAGTAACCAGCGAAGCAACCAGTTGACCAAAGACAATCATGAGTTGCAGAGTGGACGTCATCATACCGCGGAGAACCTTGGGTGACGTCTCGGACAGGTAAATGGGGACGACGACAATGGACATTCCCGTCATGGCGAAGCTGATGAATCTGCCCACGGTGAACTGTGCGCTCGTCGTTGCGGTTGTCTGCAGAAGAACGCCACTGCAGAATTCGGTGTTAGTGGTACTTCCATCATTACATGCCATATAAATCAAAAGGGAGGCGACTCACATGAAGGACAAGCAAGCCAGGACCAAGACACACATCTTGCGTCCGAATCGCTCCGCAATCGGTCCACAGGCAATGGCACCCAGAGCCTTGCCCAGGAAGGGCAGAGAAGTCATCAGAGAAGACAGCCATGGGGGCAGCTTGCAGACGCCAGCTTCATTGCATTCACCAAACCGCTTGCCGAAGCTCTGCATGCCTTGGACTCCTCCAAAGTTGCCGACATCGTAACCAAAGTTGAAGGCGCAACTGCACATGTAACTGGGGAGTTGTATGGTGATTAGAAATTCATTGATTAAAGGCGTGATTTGAATGCTATCAGATAGGGACTTACAGCATGATGAACAAGATGGTGCTGTTGAACTGCTTCAACCGGTAACCCACAGAGAGGTCTACCGACGAGGTGTCGCCCGCCATCTTGATGGTTCAGTATGGCAATACTGAGAATATCAAGGTGATGATGATAACCGTGATGAAGAAGGAGGAGATTCGATAAATGTTGTTGGCCGGAATCGAGGATTCTACCAATATGAGTGTCTGTAACCTTGCAGCAAAACCTCGATCGCGTTAGACCGCGTTCCCGATGCTACCGTTTCTGCCACCATCTCAGGCGATAAAAACGACAGGATCATTCACGACATATATAGATTGTTTGAGGCATCGACGCCTTGAGCAGCCACAGCTGGTTTCCCTGTTGATGGCTGGATCGTTGAGCTTGGAAAACTGTTTGTAAATCGCATTGCACCATCTCGACGGTTCAACTCGCAATGGACGTTGTCCGCAGCAAAGCGCTAGAACAGCGCCCGAATTCCGTCAGCTAGGGGGCCGAAGTCCGGTGCGAGAGCCGTCACTTGCGAGGCCCGCGAGTCAGAATCTTGTCACGGCTGCTCGGCTCTCTCCGCAAAATCCAGGGCATCATTGCGGAGGGAAAGTTGTCTAGAGGGAACTATTACTTACAAAGTAGGGGGAACACGCCTCGTCCCCACGATCTCGTGCCTTCGGAAGGCTGACTTTGCCATGGGGAAGTGCAAGATTTGGGGGAAACCCCATAATCTACTCGTGGAGGCGAGAACCAGAAACTTGGGAGAAAGCTGGGGTGGAACAGCGATTCCCGCAAGAGGCCCCCGACTTCCATGTGGTCATGCTCAGCTTCTGACCAGGACGAATGCCGATGGCAGCTACTAGTAGTAGGATGGAGGGATGGAGATAGTATGGAGAAGTAATAGTCGTACCACGAGCTCTTTGGCCGTCTCGCAATAGCTCAAGCAGCTCTTATGGATCCCACGCCTTCTTCTCCATGCATGATATGGGAAAAGTGTCTCCTCTGCATATATTGAACTTGGTCTCATGATCGACGTCTCTTCGACCACTCTCTTTCTCTCCAACGCATCTCGGCCCTCCTGCAACTGAACGCCAGGTCAATCTGTACGCAATGGGCAGCCAGAAGGACTCTCGTCCTAACTTCCTAGTTATTGTCGCCGATGATCTCGGCTTCAGCGACCTTGGCTGCTATGGCTCCGAAATAGCAACCCCTCACATCGACGCGCTGGCCTCGCAGCAAGGCGCGCTGCGCTTCACGCAATTCCACGTCGCCGCAGCTTGCAGTCCGACTCGTTCAATGCTCATGACGGGGACGGACCACCACATCGCCGGGCTGGGACAGTTGCACGAGTTTGTGCGCAGCTCCCCTGCTCACCAGGGCCAGCCGGGCCATGAGGGCTACCTGAATGAGAAGGTGGTTGCTCTACCAGAGCTTCTATCTGCTGGTGGCTACTTCACTGTCATGAGCGGCAAATGGCATTTAGGTCTCCAGAAGCACCATCTGCCCATTAAGCGCGGCTTCAAGAAGAGTCTGGCGCTGCTGCCGGGGTGTGCGAACCACTATGGTAATATTTACTGCCGACACAGTCCTCCCGCAATGAGTTGAGAGCTCTAGCTAACAAAGAGGCATTACACAGCCTATGAGCCTGATTACCAGGATCCCTCTACAGAGCCCGGGCGTTTCTTCGAAACCGCGACACGAGCGTTACATGCAGAAGATGATCGGTATCTCAACGAGAAAGAGCTGGGCGAGGATTGGTACTCATCAGATGGCTATGCCAGCCGCATGATTTCGTACCTGGAGAACCGCACTGAAGAGGAGCGTCAGCAACCCTTCTTCGCCTATCTCCCCTTTTCCGCGCCGCATTGGCCTCTGCAGGCGCCCAAGGAGGTGTGCGACAAGTACAAGGGTCTTTATTCCGACGGGCCTGAGGCTCTGCGCCAGAAGCGTCTGGAGCGGCTCAAGGCTCTTGGGCTCGTCAGCAAAGATGCCGTGGCCCACCCTGTTGTCACGACCGGCAACGAGGTGAAGAACTGGGAATCTCTCGATGCAGAGACCCAAGCTGCGTCCGCGAGGGCAATGGAGGTGTATGCAGGCATGGTGGATCGCATGGACTGGAACATTGGCCGTGTCATTGAGCATCTGCGCAAGAGTGGCGAGCTGGACAATACCTTTGTCATGTTCATGAGCGACAATGGCGCCGAGGGGGCGAGTTATGAGGCGAGCCCCCTGGTTGGCGATAGCATCATGGCGCACGTCAACAAGTACTACAACAACAGCCTGGACAACATTGGTCGAGGAGATTCCTTTGTGTGGTACGGCCCTCTTTGGGCACAGGCCGCAACTGCGCCGTCACGGCTGTACAAGATGTTCTCTACCGAGGGAGGCTGCAGAGTTCCCCTGGTCGTCAAGCCTCACTCAAGCATCAACAACCAGCGCGGCAATGCTGATGGCGGTGTCATCACTGACGCGTTCTGTACGGTCATGGACATCGTGCCCACAGTCTTGGATCTTGCTGGGCTGAAGCATCCGGGCACGGAGTACAACGGCCGCAAGATTGCCTCCCTCCGTGGCCACAGTTGGAGAAGCTATCTTGAATCTGCCAGCGGCTGGAGTCGCAAGTCTCCGATCCACGACGCTGACTACGTCGCCGGCTTTGAGATTGCCGGATCAGGAGCGCTGCGTCGCGGCAACTGGAAGATTACGTTTGTGCCTGCCCCCAAGGGTCCTCAGCGGTGGGAACTGTTTAACATCGAGGCTGATCCTGGCGAGACGAACGACCTGAGCAAGGAGGAGCCGGAGAGGTTCCAGGAGATGCTTGGCCTTTGGGAGGAGTATAGGAAGGAGGTGGGCGTTGTTGGCCTTGCTGGTGAGTACCCGAGGGCCGTTCAAGGGGCTCAGAAGACGACTCTGAAGGACGAGATGGAGGATCCTTATGCCTGGATCAAGTATATAGGCCGACCAGAGATAACACCTAAAGAGCTGGCAGGAATTGTCCCGTCCGCATGAAGGGTTATGGTGAAAGCAGTAAAAGCCAATACATAGAGCAAGAGGGAATCATACTCCAAACATGCCGGAATCACTTTATAATTGGTTTCCCAGCAGGTAAAAGTTGACATCTGTAATGCTCCTCTCCGTCGTGTGTATTACCTACCTAGTCAAGGATGTCGCTGCTTCATAAATCAGTCGAACTCATGTCAAAATCCAACCACGCAGGCGGCTCCGAAATGTCCCAGGAGATGTAGTTGGACATCTCGCCTGCCATCCGGATGTAGTCCTCCGCCAAATCCGACAAGTCCACCATCTCCTTCGGGACTCCCCCCTGAATCGTCGATGCATCCTGGTCGTTGACGCTAGGAGGCGTAGGATGAGAAGCGCTCGCAGATGCTAGCTGCATACGGTCTAGAGAGAACGCGACACCGTCCAAAACATCGCCGCTTCCAATGCCGCCACCGTCGCCGCCGAGGGCTGTGCCCTTCTGGGGCATCGAGACGATGGGCGGCGGGCGGGCAGTGACTGTTGCGGGCGAGTCGGGTAGGTCGTTTCTTGCGGCTGGTGATGAGCCCCTTCTCTGTCTTCTTTGGGCACGGATTTCTTCTTTGGCGAGGCGGAATGGGGCAAGACTGCTGAGGAAGCCGGTGTCTTCTGGGCCAGTCACTTCGGCCTGTTCTGTGTTCATGGATCTGGGGACCAAGTGTTAGACGTTGTAGTTCAGGAAATGATGGTGGAGCGACGAACATTGGGCTTGGATAGGCTTGCCACTCGGATACAACGTTGTTGAAGTCGAACTTCTCCAGCAACGGTATCAAGGCTTTGTGCTGTCATGACACTCAAGTCAGCTATAATCTTCGTCTTCATTCTCACGACCAGTGTGGTCAACTCACGTAAGGATTAGGCTTGTCCTTCTGAAGGTGAAGGATATCCAGTGCCCTCATGTTTAACCGGATATTGTAGCTCGCTTGCTCTCTCACATCAGTGGCGTTTGATGTGGCCGTAGCAGTGTGAATGATCTGGATCTTGGTCGACTCGAATGTTGCCATCAAGCTGTGTAAATCATCGAAAACGCGAATGCCGTAGCCGAACCCAACGCGAACAAGCCGCGATACTTCGTCTGCGTGAAAGCGACACCGCTCCTGGCATTGCCTGCGAAATTCATGAGGGGCGGAATGAAAGGCGGCGGATAGCGGAAAGACGTATCCGGGTAGTGACACTCGGAGGAGATCACAGGCAATTGAGTGGTAGAGGAAATGAAGCATAAAGACGGCGCCGATGATGCTAAGTTCTTTGTGGACGTATGCGTTGAGGTCGGATATCACCAGCTGTTCGGGTAAGCCGGCGTACCACATTTCCAGGCGTTGAATGATGTCGAGAAAGGCGGAGCCAGGATCCCAGATGTTGGCCTCTTGGCTGTTGCTTCGAATAAGTCTGAAGATAGGTGTTAGCGATGCGCGTCTGGAGAATCTCATTAATCTCCAGTTATCAGCAACTGACCTCAATACCCGCGTCCGAAGCTGTACAAGATATATCGTGTGAGACCGAAGATTAAGGTAGCTTCGATCCGGGAAGATCTCGAATGTGCTCAGCCTCGGCGCGTTGATGTCGCTGATATACTGCTCCTGGGCGATAAAGTTGGCATCTGAGCAAGGCAGCGGCACGCATGGGAAATCGTCTCTCCAATAAAGGTTCCCATCTACTCCACCACCAAGGAAGCTGTCCAGGATGTAACATGACCACAAGAGCCTTCTCTCGGTCTCCAGTTGAGTCGTCTGGGCGAGTCCTGGTGCGTCTGACACCTTCTTGAGAGAATCGAGACTGAGCAGCCTCATGATACGCACGCAGCATCCAAAGACCACAAACGCGAGAGCATGCTGATCCATGGAGATGGAATGCTCGCAGATCAGAACCATTGCCTATCATTCTCGAATCAGATATCTGTAGCCCGGGGTGTGAGGTCGCATATCACAAACCATCAATGTCGAAAGGGAAGGGTTCGCTATCTCTGTCATGGCCAGGTCTCTAGCTCGTCCAGCCCAAGCTGCCCCGGGGATGCCGTAAGATGCATTGAGCTCGGTAGCATCATCTAACAGGTACATTCTAATGCGGTAGTCAGCCAACGATACTCCACGCAAACGCGATATATGTTGCCTTTACCTTGCACCAAGCGCAGCAACTATGTAGATCACGGCCTCTCCAAAGTCCTCGTTGAGGGTGCCTCTGTCCAGTGCCTGGTAGAAGGTCGGCTTGTGAATGAATCCTAGGCAACGTAGACTCGATATCCGATCAAAGAACTTATCGGCCAGTGATCGTAGGCGAAGCCTATCCTGCGGTAGAGTATCCGCGAACAGCCTGCAATTGGAAGGATGAACATGGTCAGCTTTCTTCGTCCTACCGCTTTCTCCTTCTCTTGTTTCTCCTCTTCATTCTCAGCCCTATCCCCAATTCATACATACCATTTCAGATCATGTGGAATTCCCACCGATAGAGAAACAGAAGTCCCTTTAGTTTGACTCCCAGGTGTGGAAACGCTGCCGCTGCGATTAGACGAAGCTGTCGTCGTCGACACTTGGTCTTGCCCTATCATCATCGAGGGTGTTCCCGATTGGCCAGTGCCGGCATCGTATTTAGGGTTGTATTTGCACGTAAAGCCCTTGTTCATGCACCGCCTGCAAACGGGCCGTGAGCGGGAGCAACGACTCTTTGTGCGGCGGCATTCGTCGCAGGATCCGACCTTTCGCTTCTCGACGCCCGAAGCCCGGTAGATGGTGTCCACCGAGTCCTGAATACGCTGCCGCGATCCATCCTTTTGCGATAGCACTGGTATGTCACTATAACCGGGGCACTTTACTCCAAGGCGATCGCAGTTGTGGCATGTTGGCGAGTTGCGATCGCACCGAACCTGCTGGGAATGTAAGTTACAAGTCCATACTCAGCGAGGGCTTATACGAAGACTCGTAGATGAATCGGCCGGATGTGAGTGGACAATGGACGACATGGATGGGGGGGTTTAGTTGGTCAGCTTGCCTTTCTTGAGCGGCACACAACGCATCCTGTTGACATTGTATCTTATTTCCTCCTCGGCGGCTGCTTATGCAGATGAAGGTGGGTGAGTAAGGGGTCTTCAAGGCACAGGAATTGGAGATCCGGGGTAGCGGAGAAGTGGAGCGGCGAGCATGACACATTCCATCGCAAAATACAAGTTGGAAATGGCGTAATGGAATTTGTCCAGGATGGAGAGGCAGTATGGAGAAAAGCTGTACGCAGTAGCTCCGACGCTCTCTTGGAACGGCGACCGGGACCAACGCCGGCTCTACCCCTGCTCATGCGGCTTCATGCGTGTTCATCGTTGTGGCAAGGTGCCGCATTCTCTATAAAGGGGCAATAAGTCTGCCCTCGATTCTCTGAGCTGTCCTTCCGTCAGCAGCCTGATTTGGCCACAAAGTCGGGGGATCTAGGCCTTCCCAGCAACTTCACCAATACCAATACTGCTAGCTTCTGCACACCAGCATATGTCCTAGTGCTCCGGCTACCGACCACGCGGCTACCATTGGCTTCTGACGGGGACAAACTTCGCTGTGCTGCTCTCGTGAGTAGCCGTACCAACATTCCCCGTGTGCTGAAAACGATGGCTTTCCTCTGCCAAGCTGCGAAATCCGACGCGTCTACCCCGCATCCGACATAGCGCCGTTCTGGTGAGGCTCATCGGTGCCCCTCGGTTACACACCCTCTTTGAGCGAGCTGCTTACGATACATCAAAATGTAACCTGGAAACCCTTAGTACATATATAAGTCGTGATACTTCGTCGTGCAGCAACGAGCCGCCTGAGCTCAACCTGGGGATTGCTTCGGCATTCTGTTCCGCCTGGTTAGCTCAATCGGTAGAGCGTGAGACTCTTATCAGAGATTCACGTTCTGAATATAGACAATCTCAAGGTTGCGGGTTCGACCCCCGCATCGGGCTTTTCCTATAACCCCTCGGGTTGAGATGTCAAGGCGGCATTCATTTTTTGCACTTTTTTGCATCATAAAACAAACAAACCAATGGTGAAGCAAATTCGTAGAACCTTCATGAAGTACAATGGTATATTTGTGAACAACTGTGGTTCACTTTTGTGAAATTTCAGGTTCTTTTTACTATGACTAGTCCCCACCTGTTATTACATGTGAGGTTTTTCGCCCCGTCTATTATATGAACGTACAGCTCCCTCCCCTAGAAAGGTAGAGAAAGATTGTGCCTACTTTACCTCAAAGCAGCATAAAGTTGTCCATAGTATGTACATCATGTGTCGAATTTCCACCCGAAAGATAACGGTCACTAGAGCCTTGAGGGGCCCCTATAGATTCTCCTGCATCTCATCATTCTCGCGATTCGTCTCATGATTCGTTCTTCTGCGAAATCGTCCCACGAAGTCAATAGCTCCCGCCCGAATTGCCAGCCACATATCGTGAAACAAGTTCTTGCAGCCCACCCAGGACGTGACGACGTAGACGACACAGTTCCAGAAGCCCTGTAGAGGAATCACAAAGACGCTCACAAACTGCAGAGGAACGCTGATGTTGTTGTTGTGGGTAAGAGAGTACAGCCGGTTGGCGCTCGACGGTATCCATGTGATGAGCATGGCCCCAAAGAAGAGGAGAGCACACTTGGTGTATGACCAGGCGGCATTGTTTCGCTCGTGATTCCGTCGGCGCAAGGCACGAAGAGCTCGGGATGCGGCGGATTGATGTGAGGGATGCCGCGGCCGCGGCGGGTCTGATCCTCTGTGAGTACCATCCGCGTAAAAGTAAAAGGGTGGATGTGTCCCGTCTGAATGATTTGATGGATCAGACTGGTTCGACTTGTTGGATGCGACATGTATGGGGGGAGGTCTTGCGGTTGGCGATTCTGAAGTTGAGCCAGCTGCATGACTATCGGGCTGGCTCAGGGTGTAGTCAATGGTCGCGCGTTCGGGGTCGGTCATGGGCCCTACGGTGTGGACTTCATCACCGGATTGTAGGGGACTCGTTGTTTCGTCGACTGAGATGGGATCAAGGTCGGATGACTGGAAGATGTAGACCTGCTTTCGTACCGTGTAGATGGTTCGGCCAGCGCGAATGTAGATGCTGAAAATGATTAAGATGACAACCCTTCTTTGCAGTTAGCAGCTGAGCCTTTCTCTCTTGCTTCTTTTTTGTGTTGAGGAGCTTCGTCGGAAACACTCACCAAATCGGGGCATAGAAGATCAAAATACGAAGGAGAGCCCAGTCCGATGATATCCAACAATAAGCGATAGCAGGTCCGTAAATGCGAACTCCATGATGGCCCTTTGCAAAGAGTAGTGCGAACCCCGGGATCAGAGGAATACCGTAGCAGCATATCAGATAGACGGGTTCTAGCTTGCGCACGTCTCTGGCTTCGTATTTGTGGTAGAGGGTAAGATAGACGTTGATAGCCATAGCCAACGTCCACAATACATCGGATGACAAAAAGCTGGATTGACCTTGTTAGTCCGCTGAGAGTTCTGGTGCCACTGGTATTTGCTGGGACAAGCTTTCCAATAACAACATACACTTGAATGATGAACGCCTGAATCTGACACCCTGCCGAGTCTGGGTTGTCTATGAATTCGCGAGACATGATGATGGCGACATCCGACAAGAGGTTGCCAAATGACGCATAAAAGGCCAGCCGATTAATGGCTTTGCTGAAATATTTGGAGAAGCAGAAAGTAAGAATCGTAAACGCGCATGCCACTATCGATATGATTGCATTGGTACGCTCGATGGTGGTGAGGACCTTGGCCTGATCCTCCGTAAGGTTGCGCGTCATGGCTTGATCGGTATCGCCGTTGATGCATCTGTAGATTCGAAACCGTGGCCAACGACTCTGCTTGAAATGAGGCTGACGGCTATCAAATGCCCTCGCGGACTGTGCCGCGAGTCGATGTGTTTTCGTAGATGAGAATGGGGGGGAAAGCGACGGGAGAGGCAATACCGTCACGTTCGCGCGGAGTCCTCTCGGATTGAAGAATAATGGTGAACGTGACGAGGATTGGTGCTATTAATGGTCTGATGGTGTAGATTGTCCTCTTAATGACGGTCCCCTAATCGAATCGAATACGAGTCCAGCGAAGCGTCCTCGCCGCCTGAGAGGTGAGCCTTTAGCTTCCATGCTCAAACATTCTGACGATTGACAGATGTGCCGGGAAGATCTCGAGTTGAGGGTCAAGACGATGACTGCTTTCACAGAGGGCAGAAAATGATTGGCGACAAGCTGCCGCAACGCGTTCTCGGAGTTGAATCCAAAGATGCGATGTACGAAGTAGATGCAAGGCGAATTACGGCATTCAGGTCTTCTCTCTTCTACCCCTGCATACGTGGTATGGAGTAGGAGGTAAGTCCGGGGGCACAATCTCGTCTCAGCCTCTCCGATCTCGAAATCTCCCACAAGTGGCGCCAAGCTGTCATTTAATATTACAACATGGGGCAAGGTGTGGTCATTCTACTGCTAGCACCCTGCTCTGCCTGCATGCGGGTAATCACTGCCGAGGCCTAGCTCTGACAATATGGCTTGTAAGTAATGGATGTACTAGCTCCGAGGCGGAAGCGGTGAATACGTGCAGCCCAGATGGCGGAGTTGCCGCCGCTCCTCAGCTCTGGGGAAAAAGTGCCGACAGCTGGTTCCGACCCCAGTCAGGGCTCTCCTTCATTCGCCGATGCCTCTTCGCTTGTCAGCCATTGGCTGGCTGTCAATCCGGGGGTGTGGCGGCATGGCTTTTCTTCGTCTTCAGCGATATCGCGGCTGAGAGTAGGAAGGCTGTCGTCTCCCTTGCCGATCTGGACGGAACATTACGCCCGCCACGAGTCATCTAGGGTTTCGGTGTTCACATAGAGCTTCAACTGCCGTACAACATGTTCTCTATTATCTAGTTTGTACAATTCTTCCTCCTTGGCAAAAGACCAGTTACTCGGAACCGGCTGCCACGCGATCAACGGCCGATCTCGTTCAACCACATGCATCAAGATCTTGGCATTGCCGCCCCGGGAAGGGACAAGGCACGTCAAGGCGTTGAACGTTGGCTGGGCGGATCCTGTCATGAAACAAGGCATCTTCACCCTCCTAATTCAGAAGGTGAAAAAAATGCTCGCTCTGCCACTTGTAATGATGTCTGAGCCTTCGACGTCAGCAGAGCATCATCAAGGTCGCCAAACCGCTTTCGGCGCCGAGAGCAATTGGTGCCCGCATCATGTCTAAGCCCTCTGCGTAGCTGAACTGGATTAGCGCCCCTCAAGGTTGCTTCCTTTAGATTTGCCCTCTCCTATGCGAAATTGACCTCACGAAGGGCTTGCCTTGGGCTTTGAGCAAATCTGCGGGGGTGATTGTCACTTACATCCGTCATCCGGTCCTCCTGTGGGAGATTAGCTGAGAAGCTGCTTGATTGCCATTGATCCTTTTCCGTTGTTATAGATCTGATTGGAGAGTGAAACACAGGTGTCTAAAACTCATCAACCGGTGTTATTCGCACTCGTGCAGTGTGTAAGTCGCTAGCATTATCATGCAGCAGCTCAAGGAGTAAGGTGGTGGTGACTGGAAGGATGAACAGTTTTTTCCCCTGGACATTGTTTGGACTTTCGCGGCAGCAGGCGTGGTTTTGCATCACGAAGGAATACGCAGAGGCAGGAAATGAGCGTATTGGACCACTAAAAATACGCCCTCAATCATGGATTTGATGCGGTAGGCGTCAATAGCCTTCATGAGAACCATGAGATCATGGCAGTTACCAGCGCCGATGACTCGGCTGGTAGCTTGGCGTGCAAGAAGATCCATTGGACTAAATGGCAGATCCAATAGGGCGATTTGAGGAGGCCAACGAGGGAAATGATGCCGCCCTGGGCAGATGGCCTTGGAGATCTGCCGCAGCGATGCCGCTCACCCTACCTAGAGTGGTGCCGCACGCATGAGAACCCTGTATCGTGACAGTTCCGAAGGGGAGCACAGGCTATGTATGTATGAAGTAATAAGGTAGCTGGGAGAGGAGGTTAATTAGGGAGGAGATCACTGCTTACATGTGCAATCACCTCGGTGTCGGCTTCATTTCCGGCCGGATTCTTTGCCGTCTCACCCCAGTTCTTGTTCTCGGTGGAATGACCACATATTTGGCCCCCAAACTCTTCAAACCCCCAAACCTCTCTGACGAGTACATCATAACAATCAAAGTAGCGCCGGATGCGACTGCTAGTTGCCAAATGTATCAGCGGATAAAGCAACTCCACGCGAACTTCTATCAAGGTGGTGTACCTGCAAGGCAAACAATCCAACTCCACCTGTCCCTCGTGTCAGCACAACGTCGCCCGGCCATAGAGAACTTCCCCATAGAGTGAGGTCCAAGCCGACATGCCGGCGTATGGCAGCGGAATAATCTCCAGCAAGCTTAGGTAGTCTGGGACACGAACGAGGCTACATGTATGCTCCGGATACACATCCGTACTCCCGCAGATATCCATCAACGACGGCTCCTGGGGATGGAAGAATTATCACTGCTGATATAGGATCTCGCATGAATATCGATGCGGTTCTATCGCCGACATGGAGCTCTGTGACTCTAGAGCCTGTGGACACGATGAAGACAGCTTCGTCGGATACGGGAACTACACCGTCTCAGCGGGAAGACGTTTCTGCCCTATGTTTCTATTTATTGCCGATATTGATAGGCTCACCACTCTCTTATTATTGACTGCTAAAGACTTGGCTGCTTTATTCACCAATACTGCTCACGATGAAAAAAAAACGGAATGCTGATGTAAGTGGGTGCAATTCGTTCCATTTTCTGTGGGAGATGAGTTAGGGCCGGAAAGATGGCAAATTGTTTCTTTAAGCTGCAGTCTTTAAGCTGCAATAACACTGCCAAGTGGTGGTGATATTAGATCGACGGGACAGCATGGTAGGCAAGAACACTGATTGCCTGCAATTACCCAAAGATATGGAATTAAACTTTGATGTGATTCAGTTCAAACCTACGATTGCAGAACAACCCATGTACCGTATCAAGTCTTGACATCTCTCAAGAACACAGTGTTCATGACCAGTTTATGCATACTCATACACGTCGGAAACTTCCGATGTCTGTCAAGAATTACTAGGCTTTCCTACGACGTTCTCTAAACTTACTTCACTTTAGAGGCCCTCAAGTTGCAGCGGTAATGGCATCAGAAATCCGAATAGTGTCATTGTTCTGTAGCCCTACTACAAACTGTAATACGTAGTTTGCCAGAATAAAGACAAAATGAAGAGACAGCATATTGCAGTTTACAGAAATACTTTTAATAAGCAGTATAAATTTGACATAAGCTTGAAGACTCAGGTCGATAGTATGCCGTGTACTTGAAGCCAAGTTTAAACTTGGCAACCCGTGGCGGAACTCCGCTCTCACTTCCACATGTCTTCACAGTTCTATCAGTAATTGGCACAGACCCCGGAATCCGGTCCGTAGCCTCGATCTGAAAATGGAGGAACGGCCAAAACTCCCATCGATGCTGATTAGTAACCAAGCCACTCCTGTCAGAAATCTCCGCCGGTGCTTCAAGTTATGACCTTCTGAAAGTTGGTAAGGGGTCAGAAACCGTCATGGAAGCACTTCGAACTGTAGGAAATCGGACCGTCAAAACAACTTAAAAGCCTCTTTGTAGTAGAAGAACCTTGCCTCCACTTGTATCACATCACTCCAAGGAAGGCTAACGGAGCAGCAAAGCAATTTTGGCGTGCCAACAATGCGAGACTTCCTAGAGGCCCGAAATGAAGAGAATCAAGACTAGACTACTCCAGAGGGCCAGGAGTAAGTATCGACGCCCACGGAAATACCATGTGGTAGATTATGCATGAACTGGGAAGTTGGCAAAATTGGCTGTTCACCAGTGGCCCCTCTAAAAGCAAAGCGATGAACGCTGCAGACCAGCTCTGCAACAGCTCAAACAGTGTCTTCACCGGACACAACACGGCCATCAACTAGCAAAGTTTTTCAGTGGATGATACCATAGTTGGATCTTCTTTGCCGCCGTCGTACAACTAGTTTCCATGGAACAGACCCTCCGGACAGCACTGCTGGAGGCACATGCTAATCAAGACCTATCGACCGCATCTCCAGCAGCTGAAGTTCTGTGTCGGGCCATTAGGGTAACCTTTCCAAGAACTCCACCGTCCAACTTCGACAGGAATTCCATCTCATAGCATTCACCAGCATCGTTGCTGCCTTCATCGCGATTGCGACTCTCCTTCATTTCTCCTCCGCATCCACCCATCTCCAGACATGTCATGTATCTCAAATCAACTGTGCCATCTTCACTTGCATTCGCCATCTTACAGAAGACAGTACCTCAACCTCCAAGTATAAACCTCACATTATTTCCAGGAGTTTGTAATCGACTCATCCGCTCCCTTGAAGTGACTGGCTTGGCAAATCATCGCAGGACTTGGGTGATGGTGCCTTTCGAGCTTGGGGCCAGGCAACTAAGGACGGCATGGGCTGGGAAGTTTTTGGGGCATTTTGCGGGGGGGCAGAAACTGGAAGACGCGCTACCTTAAGCAACGGCGGTGAGATATCTGTCGTGGAGTAGATGGATGCTAGAAGTTGATGAATGGCACAGCCTTGATGAATGGTGTCCATAATGACACGCCCCCATTGCTGCCACGAATGTTTCAAGGACAGAGCCGATCCTTGCGGACCTGGGGAAGTGGGTAGGCGTTGTACAGTATAGTGGTTGGTGATCGGAAACAGGGAGCCCAGAAGCCCGTCTTTTCTACAACGCCTAACAAGCTACGTCCTTGTTGGCATAGAGTCTCTCCATAGCTTCTATAATGTCTACTTTCTCATCACACATGTTCATGGCCTTACGAGGTAGTGACAAATATTAAGCATGTCCATCAGCATCTGGATCACCCCGTCTAGTTTGTGAAACGTGGGGATTCCACATCGTGAACGCCTGGCTTCCGGCGACGGATGGTGCCGGCGCACCAGGGCACCAGGGCCTTCACTCCAGCGATCTCAAGGAAGGTGTCCTCTTAGAATAAGAGCTCCAGATCTGCAACTAGTTGAGCAGCATTTTGAGAGGAACTGAGTAATGTTGAGGGAATCTCCAAGATCGCCTCCGCGGATAGGGAGTAGATGAGATGCTAGTTCTGAAAGCATGGACCTCTCTCATCTCATTGAAATCGACGCCAGATCTGAGATCCGATGCTAGATCCTGGACCAATTTAGGCCAAGACAGGGCATCCTGGTCACTGCAGCAAAGGTAATCTCTCGGACCAGCCGAGATCATCGACATGCCATAAGTTCTATTACTAGAACTAGTTGGAGCGCACTTGAATAATGCATAATTATTCCAAGAGATGTAGAGATTGCATGTACTCTCTCATTTCAGACAATTGCCACACCATTTGCCCTGCAAACTACAGCAACAGGCTACTCTAATGTACACTAACTGTTGGGTAGATGAATCGTCAAGAATTTGCAACGCCAGAAGAAATTTCGGCGACAGATGACTAAGGAGGGCACATAGCCGTTTGCCGAGCCAAGTTCGATTCCCTTGACCAAGCAGCCGGTTGAGAATTCTTGTTAATCGCGCATTTGGGATCGTTAACTCCCCGTGTCTGGGCTCCACGATCGTGATGGAGTAGTGGGAGAATCGGGCTCTCCCCAGTTTTGGATGGAGCATTGACCCGGTATTGCTTGCAGGACTCCACAAGAAGTCCACTCGGGAACTGCAAGATGATTCACTTGAGATGTGATTAGCCACGGATGTCTGTCCGTGAAATCTTTGAGCAAAATCGTTCTGAAAATTTTGTGAAAAGAGGCACTTTGGTTTTAGGGCATTTTTATTCATGCCAAACACTGTTTCAGGTCCTCCAATAGGGTCCACTCGACCTCAGATTGCTACCGAGTCGTTAACAATGGATCCACGAGGATCGTTCTGGAAAAAGGGCCGGTGTTCGACACGGTGTTACAATACTGTCCACGGCTGAGATAGACGTGGCTTTTCATAGGATATTCAAAGGCAAGGACTACGCAGTAGAGATTTTCCAAGCCTCTTCGGAGGTGGCTTGACCTCCTCAGGGGGAAGCAACCGCCATTGTGAGAATTTTGTATGGAACGCGGAAGCCCGCTCCGGGTTCCGCTCTTTCTCGAAGCCTCAAGAACGTCAGGAGGCGTTAAATTTGGTTTGTTTACAATGAAAATGTTTCTCCTTTCTCTTTGTCGCTCTTTGTTTCCCAATTGATGGCTGTCCGATGGTGGCGCGTCGACTCTGTGTGGTGGCGTTTAACGTCGACAAATCACCACCCACCATCATTGTTAGCCAGCGACCAAAGGGTTCAAATTTTTCATCCACCAACGGCCGGAAAAATTTGAAGGTTCTCCTTTTCGGAATAGTTTTCCGAATGTAGAATATGAATGGAAGTTGCCTGAAGCAACCTGGTACATGTTTGTTGAATGGATGTGAAGCCACAGGGACGAGGCACGCGACCACCTACAAACTTCGCAGCACTTATATGATTCATCGCAGACCAGCTTGGCATTTTCGACTGGTTTACAAGGGATTCATTATCATATCACACGGGAGAGAGAGAAACATGTGTTAACGCTGGCTGAATCCCATGTCCATAGCAGTCAGTCCCCCGGGTCTATTCTGCGGCTGGTGAGAGCATGGTGATTACCACTTGAAGTCACCATATCCGGGCCGAACTTGAATGAGACGTGGGCGTTTGACTTTGGACAAAAGAATCCATCAAAGGACCACTCTTCACGTGAAGGCGTTGATTCAGACAAAGGAGCTGAGCTCCGATGCACACAATCGAGGTGGAGCCACGTGGAAGAGGGCCGCGTACCTGCTTTTCTCCCCTGGTGGGCGCCGCTGTCACACCCGGAGTCAACAACGTGTCCCGGCCGGCTCGGTGCCTGAGCCCAAACTGTCTTGAGTTTAGGTGCGCCATTTAAAAATTGGGCCCCTTTTGCCGTCTGATGGCTGAATGGGGGATGGCTTGTTGCCAACGAGACACGACTAGCCTTTTCTATTGCCACACCGGCTCACCGTGATTGTCCCGAGTGGGAAGCTGGAGCCTGGGAGCAAACATCTTCGTGGACACTGTGATGGAGATGGAAACAATCGACCGTGACCCGCAACCCGCAACCCGCGCGGCTCTCCAGCGTACCGTCGGTCCGTAGGGCATCGTCGCCTCGATGGGTCGAGAAATCTCTGCAACGCTTGCGGGGGAAACGGGTCAAACACTCGTGTTTCTATAGAGCCCAGACGAATATAAATAAGGCCTCGATTCTCTCTCTCAAGGACTGATATTCTCCTCATCACTCCCTCCTACAAGGCAAACAATCATTTCTTTGTATCCTCTTCAGCTTCAATTCATTCCTTCATATTGAAGCTCCTGTCTCCATTCCTTTCGGGACTTATACAACAACAACACTCGGTTCGACAACCACTTCAAACACACACACTCCCTCTTTCACAAAGCATTTAACTTGCTTTCCACCTTCAAAATGTTCTCCGCTGTCGCTGCTATCCTGGCTGCCTCTGCTGCCACCGTCTCTGCCGTTGCCGTCCCCCGTGGCGGAGGTGGAAGCGGAAGCGCAAGCGTCACTCCCCACGAGCAATACTCTTCCTCCATCGGCGTGCTGGGCTGCCTCATCAACACCAACCGTGTTGCCTACTGGCCCATGGGCGTTGACTGCAACAACATCTGCGTCAAGGTCACCAACGGCGACCGAAGCCTCAACCTCCTTAAGATCGACCAGTCCGGCGGTGCCTACGACATCTCCTACGACGCCTGGAACTACCTTGGCTTCGGCGAGGGTGCCGAGCAGGACCCTCACACCGGCGGCGGCATCCCCATGACCTACGAGTTCGTCGATGCCAGCGAGTGCAGCGACCTCCTCCACGACGGCAAGCTGCCCCTGTCCGCCTCCAACAGCATGAACTACGTGGCCAGCTGCATGAGCGAGCCCAACAGCTGGGTCAACAAGAACCACGAGCTCATCAACATGGCCGACCCCCTGTGCAAGTACGGATACGACGAGGTCTGCACTCTGGACTTGAACGTCAGCAACCAGCCTTCTTGCCCTCACACTCTGGGTGCTCAGGTCGCCTACAGTGGTAAGGGCGTTACCAACATTGCTTACGGCACCGGCAAGACCGAGGCTGCTCAGTAGACTGGTTCTACACAATCTAGATATGTCATTAGATATGGAAAGCACCACGATAGAATGATTAGAAGCAACGAATAAATGTCCTTTACGAACCAAGCAATTATACTTGTACCATGTCGACCTTGACTAGATCGCTTAACTTGTGAGACTTACACTGACTACCTACACACACAAACACATCACTTGAGTGTGCTTTTCTGACAGGAGGCCTGATTGGCTCACTGAGCGCCTCATTCTCTTGGATAGCTGAAAATGAAAGAGCCCATGATCAAAGTGCTGCAGTGCAAAGCGCGTACATGTAAGGCGCTATGGCTGGATGACGTCTGGGGCTGAGAACGAATGAAGATGAATGGCTCCGGTGCTCGGCATGGTCGGTAAGTTCTTGTGTTAGGTAACGCCCTTGGTTAGGCAATAAGCCGGTTAAAAGAATCCTAAGCGAGTGATGTCGCATGTGAGTGTATCGAATTAAGGGGATGGCGAAGTGGGGGATAGTGAAGCCGAGCCGAGGCCCTCTCTCTTCCCCGTGCTGGTGATGCTTCTGTTTGAGGCGGTCCGGGGATGAAGAGTCGCTGGGACAATTCCCGTGGCTAGCCTATCAATTGCTCAGCAGCTGTTGAATGCTTCAAGTGAGTGACAGTATCGGTTGGAGCGGGAGACCATACAATTCATCAGCGGAAATGCCCGGTTCATTCCCCGACGTCATTTTCCATCTACGACAAATTGAATGCGCGAGCCGCTGCAGAGGCCCGCACTTTTGCTCTGGATGTTGCGCGGCTTTGCTTCTCTTCCTTCGGCTTCTACGAATGCGATTTCCTCTCCCCTGCTCTCTGGATCCCTTTTCCGCAGAATTGAGGCTCGTGCCCGCATGAACAGAGACGGAATCCCGAACCTGCGCACTCCGAGTCGCCGACCCCACTGTTTTGCGCATGCTAGCCGGACTCTTAGTCATTGTGCGAGAGCATCGCCGCGCAAATTGATAATCAGCATCACACACTCGCGCGCGCTTGTTTTGCGAATACTGTAGAGGCACTCCGCTGCGATTCCGAAATAAGACGGTACGTTGCTGCATCTAACAGCCAGCATCTCTATTCACCTCTCCTATTGCCATCCCTCTTACTCGCCCGTTGTCCTCGCTTTATGCGCCGCTCTTGTCTTGTTTCTCCGCATCCTCCGACTCAAAATCGTCGGTCCACTAATCATCATGCCCTCAGCTCTTGAGACACAGGCCGTGCGCCCCAGTCCTTACAAAATGACGTCGGATGCGTCTTTCGGTGCTGGCGATACCGCTCAGCTGCCGTCGTTCTACTCTCCTCGAACCGCCGCCGTCGACACGCCCCGGAGCCGCGATGGCCAGCCGATTGACGACTTGTCGCTGTCAAGATCGAGTCATATCGATTCCCCAAAGACTCAGCCGCCCCCGCCATCGCTTCTCTCACCAGCCTTTACTCCTCCGGCCACTCCGGGAAATCAGACGCCCACAACTGCCGGACTGCGAGGAATCCCCGTCGACAGCTCGATTGCGTCTGGTGGATGTGGAAGCAAGAAGCCGAAGCTGCTTGAAACATTACCCGAGGTACAATGCGTTGTGCGCGCCCGCATCCCCACAGTCAACGGGACCGAGATGTTCTTGCATCTATATACCAACAACGTCGATAACAAGGAGCATCTAGCGATTGTGTTTGGGAACCATATTCGAAGCAAATCGTTAGATGCTCCCCGCGAGGGCGAAACCGAGATGGATCGCATGATTCGCGGTGCATACACAGGCCGGCTCTATCCGGGCCGGACAACAAGCGGCATGGGCGGCCCTTCATCAGAGACAGAGTCACAGCAAGGGCAGTACGGCCGTCAAGATCCGCCATTGGTGCGCATCCATTCGGAATGCTATACCGGGGAGACTGCGTGGTCGGCGAGGTGCGACTGCGGCGAACAGCTGGACGAGGCTGCGCGACTCATGTCGCTACCGGGTAACAAAGCCGGAGGCATCATCATTTATCTGCGACAGGAGGGCCGTGGTATTGGGCTTGGCGAGAAACTCAAGGCATACAATCTGCAAGATCTTGGATCTGATACCGTTGAGGCGAACCTGCTACTGCGACACCCAGCCGATGCTCGTAGCTACGGCTTGGCCACCGCTATGTTGATGGACCTAGGCCAGAAAGACGTACGCCTATTGACCAACAACCCCGACAAGATTCGTGCTATTGAAGGCCCCAACCGGGAAATTGTCGTAACGGAGCGAGTTGCCATGGTGCCCTTATCATGGAAGGGCAAAGGGGGCTTCCGGAGTCAGGAAGTAGAGGGCTATTTGAAGACAAAAGTGAGAATTTGTCACTTCCCTGTTTCTCTCTTCGACTGAGGTTACACAAGAGCCGTTCACTGACATCTGCTGCGCTTAGATCGAAAAGATGGGCCACATGCTAGATATGGCAGGGCTTCCTCATTAGACGAGGCATCCATCAGAGGGGCAGAGAGAATGCTGGGTACTTTTTCTTCTTCGAATACTGGACACTGGAGCATAAGAAGGCGTTTACTTGTTGTTTTTCTCTTCGATTTCATGTTTCTTCACGGTCACAAATGGGCACTATGACTGCCTACGATGCCGCATATACCTATCTATATCCATTGGACGGCTGGACGAGGCCAGTCGCAAACAACCACATACTACATGTAATCTATCAGCCAGCAATGTCGAGCACCAATGATGACTTATCTAGACACTTTCTGGATAAAAAAAAGTACAGGACCAGTACCACTACAAAATAAACCACCAACTTTACAAGTAGCACGTCAAGAAGGGTTTGCAGGTGATTCCGCCTCTTTTCATTCATTGGCCATTCTGTCGAGTTTGACGCAAGACGAATTCGACGTCGTCGCACGGCCCCACCTCTTCCACGACCCACTAAATTTTTCAGCAGCGTGAGGCAGAAGCACAGCAGCTGATGGGGCTTCTGTAGCGCGTCAAGGCTGCAACTTTCGAGGCGCCCGGCATTTTTGAACCTACCTATTAAATTTCACCTGAACCCTGAAACCTCAACTCTCCTTGTCCTTGATATCTGCCATTTTGTGACTTTTTTCAGCACTACACACGTGTCTGTCTTTATCGCATCACTTTGACAGTCATGCTGCTGAAGTAATATCGCCGCGCCGTCAAATATGCAGCCTCAGGACATCCGCCTTCGGCTGGTGATCCGTCGCCACGGACTCCCAGAGGTCAAGCTTGTGTGGCCGTGTTCCTGCTCGGAGGACTTCACCATCGCAAAGCTTCTGGAGCAGGTCAACGAGGTTGTGCCCCTCGAGAGCGGCGAATGGGGCCTTGAGGACTACGCCGTCGAGCTTGCGGACGGAAAGGGCGGCAGCTTCGAGTGTCTGCATTTCCAACAAGTTGGCCGGATTTTGAAGGATGAAGACCAAGTCCTGTGAGTAGCCTCTCTCTTTTCCTTGCTATTTTCTGGATAACGTTCTCTCCTGATATAGCGCACCGTCATTCTAACCTAAACTCCCTGGCAGTATCCGGTCTCTCCTAACCGGAGACCTCAAGCGACGTCGACTCAGCGGCCGACACCAAATCTCGGATGACGGGCGGCATCTTGTTGATGGCCTCGCTTTCGGGAGATCGTGGATTAGAGCTCCGCATGATCGCCCTCACGTCGAGCTGCCCCCTCGAAAACGCATTCGGGTCAACTACGAAGACGACGACGATGAAGAAGAAGAAGAGCAAGAACCGTTTCTCATCGGCGCCCCTCGTTCGGCCCGATACGATATGCCCAAGAAGGCTCATTCCAAAAATCCATGGGACGGGTCGCTCGCCGCCGAGCTCTACGAACAATATCTCAATGAGAGCTCAGCCTCAAGCTCCGTATCCGAGACCCCCCGTTACGGAAAGGGCTATGTCGTGAATGAATCGGAAGACGACGAGATGGAAGATGATACCGACGTGGAGGATTCTACCGACGAAGAAGACGAAGATGAGGGCGAAGATGATGATCTCGAAACAGAGCTGCAGCTTCTTAGGGAGGAAGCCGGCGCCGATCTCAACAGCTACGCACATGCACACTCTAACCTTTCTGAGGACGAAATTGGGGAGACGGATGCAAGAGGTTACTCTGGAGGATTTAACCCAAACATGATGCTAGACTCCGCAAGCGAAGGTCCGGACACTCCAAGCCTGTACAGTGGAATGTTCAGTACTTCTTTCACTCCGTCAACTGCGCAAGGATATGGTACTGTGCCCATGGAAGTCCTCATTACCGTCTTTCAGACAGCCTTCCCGGAGTTGTATAGCGACATCAGGACGACACTCAAGCGAACAAACAGGGACCTACGAAAAGCATACATGTCGCTCACCATGCTGTGTGAACCTTCTCTTACTTTTGAACAAATGATGGACGGTGCCTCTCTTATTCTCGCTCCCTTTACACGTCGCGGCGGCAGTGGTCACGTCTCCAAACCAACTGTGGAAGACGAACCGTCTCCATCCCCCCTGGAGATTGTCAACCGTGGGGTTAGAAAGCGGCTCATAGAAGAGATTGAAGAAGATGTCGAAGGCGATGGCTCCCCGGAGACTACTACAAATGGTGTCCCATTGTTCGATTTACAATTGAGCCGGAGCCAGCATACAAACAGGAACGAGACTCCAGGAACCAACTCTGACGACTTGGAATCAGCAGAGGACGAAGATTCTTCAGAGGAAGAGAGCTCATCGGAGTCTGAAAGCGACTCCAGTGATGATTCCCTAGAGAGTGGATCATCGAGCGAAGAAGAAGGCCACCAGATGCGCGATCTACCTGCAGCAAGCTTTCCCAAGGACGATGGGTCAAGCGATCCCGAAGATGAAACATCTGATGACGATAGCGACAGCAGCATCGACGTTGACACTCAACACAACGCCCAACATGCGGGGAATGATGGAGGGGAAAGTTCGTCGAGCTCTTCCGATGCGAGCAGTAGTGAACCAAGCGATTCAAGTTCAGCAGATGATTCAGACCCCACATCCGAATCTGAATCCGAATCTGAATCGGAGTCAGGATCTGAATCTGAATCTGAATCCGAAGTGGAAGAAGTCTCATCAAAGAAGCCAGTGCAGTTAGCAGTTGAACAGCCCACTGCCAAGACGGCACTTCCACTTCCCAGACAGACATCTCACGTCGAGACGTCCCGGATCCAGACTTCTGACAAGCCACCGGCCACCGGTCTCACACGTACGCAAAAACGGAATGCGAGAAGGAAACGCAACAAAGCTTTGAAGGAACTGCAAGCCAATCAACCCGAGTTGACAAACGGCACCGAGGGAGACGTCACGAGCGAAGATTTCCTAGCACGGAAGAAAGCTCTCTTGGCTGCGATCCTCGACGAGGCCCACGAGGGCGATACAGCGAACAATGAAGCCCAGATGCGAGACGCTCCTCCATCCGATAAAGCGGGGGAGGCGACAAGTACTTCCGCGGATGCAGACCAAGCCGCAACACCAGACCCCAAAGACACGCCAGCAAAGCGTCACAGCCGCATTGACATGGGCGCAGGCCGACGCCTTGTATTCGGCGCACTGGGTTTGAAGCCTCCGTCCAACAAGGCAGACGAGCAAAAGATCCGTGATACCCTGATGAAAGACGTTCGACCACTAGTTAATCCACGAACTCTACCGAACAATGGCGGTAATGAACCTACGCCTAATGCTGACCAGAACGAGGAAGAGGATGAGAATGCCTGGCGGGAAAAGATCAACTACAGGGCTGTGGAATGTTGCCACGAGGATATGATTCTCAGCGAACCTCCCTTCCCCTTTGTGCAGCGCTGGGATCCCCAGCAAAGACGCGACGCCATCCGGAAACGCAAGCGCGCGTCGGAGACCTACGAAGCCGATACTTCCTACGATGACTCGACATACTACTATGATGAGGAGCCCGAAGACGGCCACTCCGCCCCAGAGCCAAGGAAGAGGAGCAGAACCAGTAAGGGGAAGTCTGTGAACCTGCAGAGAGGCAGCCCAAATCAGGAGGAAGAAGATGTGATACTCAATTATGATGATGCGCCTGCAAAGAGCAGCCAGTTCACGGATGTGGATGATCTCCCGTCACTTCCCAAAGACGTAAAGTCACTACCCCCTCTGGCACCTGGGACTGCTCAGCCGGGCATGGTCATTACCTGGAATCAGTTGGTCATGTCCAAGGCCACAAACTGGCAACCGGAAATGTTACCGATGACGGGCCTAGTCGTCCCTGGAGGCGAAGATGGCGAGGTCCACGTCATTTTGGCAAGGCGAGACCGCGACGATTACGAGAAAACGTACGACGAGGTGACTGGAGAGCGAGTGTATGGCAAGTTCGAGGTGCCTGATCTGGACGACGAGGAGCAGGAAGAAGATACTGGGTTCAGGTCACTCAAATGGTCGGAGATGATGGATCCTCGCCTGTTGCAACAGGCGCCTGCCGATGTGATGGCTCAGACGGCCTTGGGCAAAACAGAGGTGATTGCGGAGGATGAGACGACGTTGTCGGGTCAAGACAAGGTAAGCGGCTTCCCGTCGGGGGAGGATGGCTTGGACAACGGCTTCAGCACGGGGGAAGTGCGAGCTGCTATTGAAGATGAGTTGATGCACGATTCTTTTGGCACCCAAGCCAACTTAGAGACTCTTTCGATACAGTCGGGCCAGCGGCTGCCAAGGCTGGACGTGTCCATGTCCGAGGTACAGATTAGCACGGCCAGCAATAGCTTCGAACATGTCGGACATGCGCATAGCAAGCCAGACGCTCGATCGGAACACGTGTTGACTGCCACGTCCAACCTTCAGAAAGCACACTCTCCAAAGTTGAACCATTGGATTGAGCGTGACGACGAACCAGCTGCTGACCAGGAGGCAGAACTAGGGCCCAGCCTAGCGGATGCCATGGCGGAGGAAAGTTCCAACACGCTTGCGTCGAAGAGGTCAGAGGAGGCATCTGCTGCTGAGATGGAAAGAGGGGACGAAGGAGATGGAGGAGACGAAGGAGAACGAGAATCGACTCATGGCGATAGTGGCTTGTCGATGGCGAAACCCTCAGACACGGTTATCACCTCATCGCATTTCAGCGTTCCTAGTGGGCGACAACCACAGACCAGCTATTCCATCCAAGCCGGTCTCCAAGACGAGACGATTATCCCCGAAACTTTACCGCGACCCCGCGAGACCACGCCGATACAGAGTCGCTCGAGATCACAGACGTCGCCATCGAGCCATGCAAGCAGCAGCCCCTTCCCATCGCTGGAACAGATATTCATGTCGGCTCAACCCACTCAAAGCTCTAGAGGGAAGAAAGAATCGCCTTCGATGTCAGCTAGCCAATCTGGCCCTACGCGGGATGCGGAATACGAGGAAGCCATGCGCAAGCTGGATGAGGGACACGAGTCTGACGTTCCGCCCGAGATCAAAGAGCAAGACGAAGAAGACTTGGTGGTAGAGAGAAAGCTATTTCCAAACGCGACGCAACCCCCATCCCGCATCAAAGCTTTGGACCAGAGCGTCACTCTGCCGCAGCCTCCTCTTTCTCAAACCGAGAAGAGCAAGGATGGCAAGCCGGCGTTTGCCATTCCGGCCGGGAGCCAGGTCATTGTTCTGAGCTCTAGCCCACCTTCTAGCAACGGGGTGCCGGATGAAAGTCATGAAGTAATGGAGCCTGAAGAGACAAGAGTGGCGCCAGCGAGAGGCTCGTTGCCTACTGGCCCGGGCTGGGTCAGGAAGGGTAATGGACACGAAAGGCACGTGTCGAGCACGAAGAAAGCCGATGCCACAACGGCATCTCCGAGAAGCGGGCGAAGGAGTCGTCGAGGAAAGGAACCCCTGTCGATGGCGCCGCTTGTGAGCCCTGTGAGCAAGCACAAAGGCCGGCGTGGCGGCTCTTCTATGTGGCAATAATGGTACATATGTCTACGACACTTGATGTAGTGGGAGGAAGCATTTGATGATATCAGCTTGTACAAATACGGTTCTAGATGGATCTAGCCAATACCTTAGTAATTGAGCATTATACCAAGTGTATTGAAGAGGTGGTGACACATGCGTAGTGCGGCGTTTGTTGGTGAGCAAGATTGAGGAACCGTTTCACCGAGGATTATACTGGGTTGCTCCGATGGTGAATACGAGTTGCCTTTGATGTTATCCCGGGCAAAAGTCACTGTTTCAGAATGACGTTGCTTGGAATATGTTTCACGTGCATGTGGACATTCGAAACAAGTGACTGCCGGAGCGGTGTCGGCATCAACGCTGGGTAACGAGCCGCCAAGACACGACGCATGGACGAAGAGCCATTGGAGAAAGTGAAGTGTGAAGGGAATGTTTATAAATTGAGTTGGTGTTACGCGACGTCAAGCTGTTGTCCGGAGTATTGCTGAAGAGAGCACGGACAGACGCGTTTCATTATTAGGGGTATCACGTCGCTGAGTTGTTGGTGGTATGATTGGACAAGGGTCTTTGCTGAACGTGGAAGTTTTGGCTATGGTGAGCTGGTGCTGTTTTGGGTAATGTTTGATGTTGAGGGAAGATGGTAATGCAGCTTGTGGAACGAAATGCAAGACCACTGGTGCTCGGGTGTAGCTGACGAAGTTTAAAGCACATGTAGGCTGCTAATACGGTACCAAGAAAATTTTAGAGCTAGAGGATGGTGTAGGAAAACAAAGGAAAATTGACGACATCGCGAGGCGGCAGAATTGACTTCACGAGTACAGGGTGGGTAGAAAAGGCGAGGATTGTCAGCCAACCATTGCACTGACTCACTCAAAGTGAACGCTCACATGTGGTCGGTGGCGTGTCGGGATGGAAGTATTAGTCCGTTTGATGATTGGTGAAGGGGGATGGATGGATGACGCGAGAATGTTATGCGCGGGTTGGATTTACCTTTAACAAGCACCAGCGGAATGTCGTCCCTCGATTGTCCGTGAATGTGCGATGGAGCCCAGAGTGAAGAGAAAAGCATGTACGCACGAGGAGGACATAATCATATAAAGGCGCTGATGGAAGGACAGTGAAACGTCTGATGGAGCAGCTCTCCATCGTTTGTCTGGCACAAACGGGCGGATTAACTCCCTTCTCTATTGTTTGCTTTCTTCTGTCGCTCCCTCTCCTTTTTATTCTTTTCAAAAGTCCACTCCTATTATTTTCTGTCGATTTTCATATGATTCCTTTTCACTTTGGTGTTTCTTGCGTTGGTGTACAGAGCTTTGCCTGACTTGGCTGCGATATTCACGAATCCCCGATTTTCTTTGCAGCTCCCACTCTCTTGCTGCGCTCCTTAATAGATATATATCTGGGCAAACTTGGCCGCGTGCCTGATGCGATTCCAATCCATTGCATTGCTTCAGACATTGAGGATTAACATTACCATTCGCGCATCTCAACTCGCTGCATTCCTCCATCGTCATCTGAAACAGAAAGGTCTCGCTTCAGTCAGCTCTCTGGCGCTGATCTGACGCCAGTCCCAGTTCATAATTCTGACGTCTTCGAATACCGGAAGCAGAGAGTTTTTGTCTGCGCCCGGTGGGGCCGAACTCGCCGTCCGTCCCATCAAATCAGGGCGTCATGCGACACTCTGCGCAAAAGCGGCGGCTGCGGCTGCGGCCTTGGTCGTGTGCCATCATCATCTTCTGCGGCCTCTCCCTCCTGGCCTGTGCACTTCCTACAACGTCTGTTTCTGCTTCTTCACGATTACTGTCTTCAGCATCTGCGGCGTCGACATTGGCATTTGCAGCATCTACAGCGTCTGCAGCACCTCCCATTAGCATCAGCGCAAACTCCCGCAGACCCTCACCAGCTCCAGCTCCAGCTCCAGCTCCAGCGCCGTCGCCGGGCCACGGCAGCGAGTCCGAAACCCCACAGGCGACCGAAACCAGCACCGAAGGCGCCGCTTCAGCGACTCGCGCAGCACAACAGCAGCAGCAACAGCAGCATCACCCCCTTCCTCTCGAGCTCCAGCATTTGGCCGTCGAGGGGCAAGCATCTCCAGCCTCGGAGCCTCTCTCCATCCCGCCCTACAAGCCCATCGTGACGCCGCCGCCGGACCAGGACGCGCAGCTGGCCGAGATGGGCTACAGCATGACGACGTTTTACACCTGCGACACGGTGGGTGGACAGGAACACTGCGGGTGGCATGTACCGGTGCTCAAGGCGGATGCGCCGACGAGGAGGACGGATGTGCGGGTTGTCCTGGCGGTGGTGAGCTGTTTGGCCGGGATTCTGGCCTGGGGGTTGGTTTGAGCGATGACGTCGGTCATGGTGATGATGGGCAGTCACGGTATTAAGGACGAGAGATGATGAGAGGGGATATGATTTTGAGGAAGACGACGACACGCAGACAACGGTACACTGCATTATTATGTGGTATGCTTTTGCCATCCTTTGCATTGTATGGGTTTATTGGACTGGATGGGAACACGATGGGACGAGATGGCTGCTGGCTTATTATTACAGAGGTGCTACTGGTTAGTGTCTCTCACATGGCATGGCTGCGGATCATCCTTAATGGACGGGCGTGGCTTTATTAGACGAGACGTTATCGGCGCAAAGCTGGACGAAACAGGCGTTTGGGCGAGCTGCTATACGACAATAAATCAACTTCATTATTCCAATCTATTTCATCCGCCCTCTTGTCGATTCCAAGCTTCATCTTCATGTGCAAAATAGAAGCGTCTGCAGTACGAGTACAACCAGGTCCACAGCGGGGTTGCAGTTTAGGGCGGGGTCGCAGCAACTGCTGGGACGGTAGCTGTTGCCCAAAGCTCCAATCACAGCTCCATCATCGCCAACGCCCTTCTCTGTCTGCATCGGATTGACCTTTGCCGCGTCTTCGTATTGCACCTCTCGGTTCCCCGACTTTCCTTTCTTCAACGTTGCACTCTTCTCTACCAGATACCCCATAACCTCAATCACCATCACAATGCAGGTCCCTCTCATCCGTCTGCAGTGCGGCGTCAACTCGTACGAATGGGGCAAAAAGGGGAGCGAGTCGGCCGCCGCCAGGTTCGCCGCCGCCACGCCCTCGGACGACCTGTCCATCCAGTCTGACAAGCCCTACGCCGAGGTACGCTGATTTCTACCCTTTCACACTCTCGCACTCTGTCGCGTCTGCAGCCTCTAACCTTCCCAGCTATGGATGGGCACGCACCCCTCCAACCCCTCCAAAGACGTCAACACCGGCCGGACCCTCCTCGACCTCTGCTCCGAAAACCAGCTCCTCCTCTCCCAGTCCGTCGCCGCCAAATATGGCGCCAAGCTGCCCTTCCTCTTCAAAGTCCTCTCCATCAACAAGGCCCTCTCCATCCAGGCCCATCCCAACAAGAAGCTGGCCGAGCAGCTGCACGCACGGGACCCCAAGAACTACCCCGATGACAACCACAAGCCCGAGATGGCCATTGCGATTACTCCCTTTGAGGGGCTGTGCGGATTCCGACCTCTGGAGGAAATTGCGCACTTTCTGGAGAACGTCAAGCCCCTCAGAACGCTGGTAGGGGAGGAAGAGGCGGCGCAGTTTGTCCAGGCTGCCAAGCAAGAGGGCGGCGACGAGGCGGCCAAGAAGAAGGCCCTGCAAAAGGCCTTCGGAGGCTTGATGTCATCCTCACCCGAGGACATTGACAGGGAAACGGCCAACCTCGTTGCGCTCGCCAAGTCTGAGGGCGAAAATTTCGCTGCCGGTGGCGTGTCATCCACCAAAGGTGCAGTCCTTGCCGAGCTTGTCACCCGTCTTCACGGCCAGTTTGGCTCCGACATTGGTATCTTTGTCCTCTTCTTCCTCAACTTCGTCACGCTACAGCCCGGAGAGGCGCTGTTCCTTGTTGCCGACGACATCCACGCCTACGTTTCTGGTGATATTGTCGAATGCATGGCGGCTTCCGACAACGTTGTCCGCGCTGGCCTGACGCCCAAGTTCAAGGACGTGTCCACGCTCGTCGACATGCTCACATACAACTATGCGCCCATCGACCAGCAGAAGATGTCGCCGACCGATTACCCTTACGCGACGCTTAACCGTGCTGGCTATAGCTCTGGATCATCCGTCCTGCTGTACGATCCGCCCATTGACGAGTTCAGCGTTGTGCGCACGCTGCTTCGCGGCGACGGCGCCAAGGCCACCTTTGAGCCTCTTGAGGGCCCCAGCATTATCATCTGCACAAGCGGCAAGGGTACAATTGCCGTAGGACCGACAAAGCACGAGATAAAGGAAGGTTACGTGTTCTTCGTCGGATCTACCGCGGAGCTGGTCTTGGAGTCCAGTGGCGGACAGGACGACGAGTTTATCACGTACAAGGCATTCTGCGAGATTGACTCGTCCGGAAAGGACAAGTTATAATCTTTGAAACTGCAACTACCTTTTTTTATGACCCTTCATTTATGACGTCTTGGAATGACACGAGTTGATGTGCGAGTGGAATTTTACAAGGCGACAATCAAACAGGTACCTTAAGCTAGATTTGACTTCTATACACGCTTTTGTGGACAATCGACCTACGGATATCGCCGCGTCATTCCTGCTCCTCTGCCTCTTGCAATTGCTCATGAACCTTTGAAGTCATGGTTGAAAGACGTCCCACCATTGGCCGGCATCACACAATTGTACTCTTGATTTCTGCATACATCCGACATCTCCTGACTCACGGTTGATATCATCTCCTGTTCCTGGACTTTCACGTGACAGCTGCCGGATGAGTCATCCAATGCCCCGCCAAAAATTCATATTCAAGAAACACCTACCCCACGTTCGTGATAGCAGCGACTCATCAACCATTTTTCGACAAACCGGAGTTCACAATGGCTGAAGAATCGAACCCCCCAGCTCCTCCTGCGGGAGACAATGCCGCTGCCGCCACCGCCGACGCTGCCGGCCCATCGAAGAAGGCCGCCAAGAAGGCCGAGGCCAAGGCCAAGAAAGAAGCTCTGAAGGCCCAGCGAGCTGCCGAGCGAATCGCCGTTGCCGCAACCTCCAACGAGCCCGAAGAAGACCCCGCCAAAGACTACTATGGCGCTGCCACTCCCGCCTTGCTCTCGTCGTTCCCGGCCGGTGTCGAATATGTCCACCTCAAGGATATCAACGAGTCTCATCTTGGAAAGACGGTCGTCATCCGGGCGTGGCTGCAGAACACGCGCATGCAGGGCGCCAAGATGGCCTTTGTCGAGCTGCGCGAGGAGGGTAACTGGGCCATCCAGGGCATCGTTAGCGCCACGGCCGAGAATAAGGCGGAGGATGGAAAGCCTGTCATTAGCAAGCGCATGGTCAAGTGGGTGGGCGGCGTCAACCCGGAGAGCTTCGTGACCGTCGAGGCCACGGTCGAGAAGCCCTTTGCGCCCGTCAAGAGCTGCCGTGTGTCTGATTTCGAGCTGCACATCACCAAGCTCTATGTCATTGCTGCTGCTCCGGCGACTCTTGGCATGACTCTGGCTGCTGCGAACCGTGCCGTGACCAACTTTAGCGACGAGGAGGCGAAGCCTGAGGAGGGCGCCCAGGAGAAGGAGGCCGAGGGTGGTCCTCCCGCGGCGTCCATGTTGACTCACTTGGACAACATTGTCATGCACAAGCGGTCGCCCGTCCAGCAGGCTATTGCTGTATGTCCTTCCCACAATCCTGAAAATGGCATGGTTAGCGCGCTAACACAGATATTTGCAGGATATCCGCGTGGAGGTCAAGCACTTGTTCCGCTCGTACCTGAGGGAGCATGGATTCAAGGAGTTTGAGCCGCCGTGCCTCATCGGAGCTGCTTCCGAAGGCGGCGCCAACGTCTTCTCTATGCCCTACTTCAACCAGACGGCCTACCTCGCCCAGTCACCACAGTTTTATAAGCAGTTCGAGATTGCTGGTGGCCGAAAGCGCGTCTTCAGCATTGGACCCGTCTTCAGAGCCGAGAACTCCAACACCCCGAGACACATGACCGAGGTATGCTAGTCTCCTTCCCGTTCTCATTTCGTCAATACTTACTGCTTTCCAGTTTACCGGTCTTGATATGGAGATGGAGATCCAGAAAGACTACCACGAGGTCCTTTCTATGCTGGAGGGCGTCCTGTTGCACATCTTCCGCGGCATTGAGAGTATGTCCTCTGAATCCTTGCCCGAGCTCAACCCTTAGACTTAGTGTTGCGGGCGCCTCTTACTGACTAATGTGCACAGAGAACTGCGCCGCTGAAATCGAGCTGGTTCGCTCCGTCTATCCTTCACCCGAGATCCTCCTCCCCGAACCCGGAAAGGAGTTGCGCTTGACCTTTGCAGAGGCCCAGAAGCTGCTCCGGGAGGAAGGTCCCGAAGAGTTCCGCAACGTTCGCGATGACGAAGACATGTCAACACCGCAAGAGAAGGCACTGGGCGCGCTGGTCCGTGAAAAGTACAAGACCGACTTCTTCGCCGTCGACAAATTCCCCGAAGCCGCGAGACCCTTCTATGCCAAGGTTGACCCTGCGAGCAAGCCCAACGAGCCAGTAACCAACGCATTCGACATGTTCCTGCGTGGACAGGAGATTCTGTCCGGTGGTGAGCGTATTGCCGACCCTGATGAGCTTGAGGCTCGCATCCGCTTCAAGGGTGTTGATCCCACCAGCGCCGGTATCAAAGAATACATCCAAGTCTTCCGCGAGGCGGGTGTTCCTCCTCACGGTGGCGGTGGTATCGGTCTTGACCGTGTTGTCGCTTGGTACCTTGCCCTTCCCAGCGTGCACTTGGCGGCGTATTACCCCAGAACACCAAAGAGACTGCTGCCATAAATGTAGATATCTAGAAAGGGAGATGATATAAAGATTTGTGGAAGAAGAAATGAAGAAATAAATAGAAACCTCTCCTAAATGGCTACGATTGGGTTGGCTCTTCCCTTGTTTGGAAGCATACCAATAAGTATCCTGGGCTAGGCCCTTGGTACTGTGTTAGTCAGAAGAATTGACGGCGAATCGCATTACTTGGGAAGATCTCCAAATCATACATCAGTATTATACTCCGTATGTACCTTGTCGTAAGAGCTCTCAAGGCTCTTTTCTGACGCGTATTCATCTCCGCAGGCACGGGAAGCCAACCCAGGCGTCTATCAGGGGTTCAGATCTGATGATTAGCCCGGGCCGACACCAATCTACGCCGTTGCCACCATGACCGACACGCGAAGCTTCTCCTGGACGATGCTGCTAACAATGGTCTTAGCTTGGGTCCATTGTCGTGGCGTGGGATGACGGTGAAGGATGCAAGACATGGCGGTCTGAATTACATGCGAAGTTATAGATCAGTCGCTGCCTTTGATTAAGAACCTTGCCGGGTTGACATTCTGAGGCGGATCCAAGCTTGATGGCCGTGGATCGGGTTCTCCGTGACATCTAACAAGCTGTGAGGCCTTATTATCATTGCTTTCTCGTCTTTGTACGCGCCTGACGGAGTCATCCGACAGTTCTTGGCACACGTGGAGGCTATATGAGCGATTTCGCGATAACAAGAAGCTCTGCCTGGTGACATGGTCTGTATGCCATGATCCATATCCACGAGTCAATATCACAGGCAACGCATATTCCTTATTCGAGTGCTGCGTGCCTGGAAAAGATTGTGGCACGCTTATTAGTAGATCTCCAACCACGCAAGGTGCCACCAGACGTCTTCTTGTTGGCGCACTCACCGCCGTATTCGTGCTCGGTATTCACTGGGCTGTTAGCTGGCCCATGTGCCGCCGGGCTATTCCGCAATGGCTGGGTTAAGCTGCAGGGGTATTTTACGCCCCCTTGACCTTATTTTGTTGCCCCAGAGCTTAATAAAATGTTTGCCTGGACGATGAGGAAATTAAATCAAAAGAAGAGAGAATAAAAGTCGCTGAGCTCGTTGTTCTTCAAACTTGAACCTGCATTCAAAGATTTGGCCACAAGTGAGGCTAGCTTGTTCTGTGTCACGACGTTCCCTGGCTATTGCGACTTGCATGACGATACGACACGATCCGAAAGTTAGCAGTTCGCTCAAGAAGCGCACCATCTTAGCGATGGCGGTGCCTGAAGATCCAGAAACAGGGGACTTTGACCCTTCAACTCTGGCGTCAGCCGAGAAACCACCTCTCGAACCGATATTTGACGCAAACGCGAAAGAGCAGCAGAAACCACAAACTTCGGAGGACATAGAAGAGATAGCCAGCACAAATGTCGAAGCCAGTCCGAATTTCACGGGCCACCAGCTCTTTTACATCTTTGGCGTACATGGAGTTGGCGCTTTGATCATCTCCGGTGGCATCAATCTCGCTATTGCGTATGGTGAGTCTTTTACTAGCCGCGTTCCCCGAGGGCACCTTGAACGGATTGCTAATTTGAGATTGCGCAGCCATGTATTCTACGCAAGACACAGCTACGAAACCCATTCGGCTCTGGCAGCTTCCCAATACGTTGGCGGGCGATGCTGCTGTCACCATGATTATACAGTGCATCATTACCTGGTTCGTCGAGCTTTTGATTCTTCGCTTCGACCTCAGCCAGCGCTCCGTTCAACCCATCGGCTTTATTTCACGGCCTGCAAATCCTTTGCTGCGATGCTTCTTCTTTCTTCCGCGAGACTCGACAGCTGAGGCCAAGACGCAGCCTCGGCCATGGTCGTTGGTTGAAGTCATTCAGCAGGCTCTGAGAGGGTTCTGTTTCGCTGTAGCGGGCTTTCTGTTGCTGTGGCCCGTCTTCGTGGGCGTATTGACGGCTTTCGGCGACAAGGAGGGCGGCGATTATTACTATCATCGAAAATGGGTGCCCGAGATCTTCAAGCTGGTCTTGGGTGGAGTTCTGGGGCTGCTCACGACGCCGTGGATGGCGATGTTTTGGCTGGTCAAGGCTGGGTGGGAGGAGACGAAGGATGTTCCGGTGATTGCGGAAGTATAACGACGAATACGATTGAACGAACGAATGCGAACGTGATGGGTAATGACCAATATAATACCACCGCCATTAGAGTAATGTTTAATAGATAACAAAGACATACAGCCAAATAAGATCGTCTCTTGCATGTGATGTTTGGCCTTCCTATGAGCTCCTCGCTCTTGTCGATATCGGACTGCGGATAGGTCGTGAAGAGCCTGTCTCGTATACCCGTCTTTCATTCTTTCCGTGATTTTGTTTGTCGTCCCTATTGAACAGCGGTGCCCAGAGTGGACGAAATGTCGGATCTCCGCGGCGTCAGTAATTGCAAGTCCTGAAAGTGAACAATTTTCTGCAATGTTTCAGGTATGTGAATAAGCGGAATCATGAGGCTCTCAAGTTTCCCCAAGAAAATAGCGGCTTCTTGGAGCAAATCATGAGCTGCCCCATCGTCAACATTTAATCGGTTTAGGAAAGTCCCAGATGGGGCTACACAGGACGACGATTTCGCTCTCGTTCAACCCTCCACAGCATTATGACTAAGTAGTCACCATCATCATCGAGCCAAGCGGCTGTTGCTCTATAAAAGAAAGACAAGAGATACAGTTCTCATCGTATTGAGCAGAAGGTTTCCCAGAAAACAATTCTTCTGCATCTTTTCAAGCTAGGGAGTTGCCTAATCAAGATCTCCTCGAGTAATATCGACTGCTATGGCCGTACAAGTCGCAGTTGCGGGTGCCACGGGTGCTGTAGGCATCCCGGTGGTCGTCGAGCTCCTGAAAGCAGGGCATTTTGTTACCGCTCTCACTCGAAGTGGGCGTAGCTGCTCTGCCAAGCTTCCCAAGCATCATCCGCATCTGAGCACTGCCGAGGTCGACTATGACTCCGTGGCTTCGCTCACGGCCGCTCTGCAGGGTCATGCAGTTGTTATTGCGGCCCTACCCGGTGCAACACCAATCGGTAGCCAGGACACGCTCATCGACGCCGCCGTTGCCGCAGGTGTGATACGCTTCTTGCCGGCAGAGTTTGGCACGGACACCAACAATGACAACTGCATGAAGCTGCCGGTTTTCGCAAACAAGGTGCACGTCCTTTTACCTGAAAGACCAGGTCGCAAATCACTCCAGTTTCAGCTACACGGCTCTATGCACTGGTTCGGACTGGGTCGGCGGCTGGCTTCTTGGTTCACCCTAAAGCGCATACTGCTACGATCTACGATGACGGCAACCTTCCCTTTAGTACAACTATTCTATCCACAATCAGCGAAGCGGTCGCATCAATCATTGATCATCTCGAGGAGACAAAGAATAGACATGTCTACATCCATGATGCAGTCATCGCACAGAACAAGCTCATCGGATTCATGAAGAGAATTATTGGCAAAGACTGGCAGTTAACGTACATCGACTCATCCGTTGTCTCTGCGGAGGGCCAACTTGAGTTTCAGAAGCCACACGCAGACATCAACACAGGGCTTATGCCCCTTTTGCATATCTCTGTGCTCGGGAAGGGCTATGGAGGGGATTTTTCGGGCCATCTGGACAACGAGCTTCTTGGCATAAAGGAGATGAGTGACGAGGAGCTAGAGGATGTTATTGCCAGATTCTTGTAACATTTGAGTGAAGAGGCTAGCTAGCCTTGAAGGAAAGCCAGGTTATATCTACATATGCATACCTTAAGGTACAAACCGTCCCAACTCCGACATCCGTATCAGTGTAACGAAGACGCGCAATCAGTTATCACGCCCTAATCCCAGCTTTCGGAATACTGATCTGTGCAACTTCCTGTGCCTCTTCTTGCCAATGGTACCATAGTCTTTAAGTACGTGAGAAGACTGCGATATTAGCCAAGTGTGCCAACAACTAAAGGTTGACTCTTCGCCATCATTCTTGTTGACTTACCATCTTTTTAACAGTCAATGTGTTGGTAAGGATCAGAAACTGTCTTTCTGTAGGAACGGGATAATAAACAAGATTCCAAGCAGCTTTTCGAGTTCAACGGATGGGTCTGTCGATATCTGCACATTGACCATCGCCTCCAGAGATATAGCCCCAGGCAGGAACCCTTCAACGAACGACCTTATGAGATTCTTTTTGTGCGATATCAATGCGCGCGCATGAGGCGACATTTGACAAAAGTATAGTCGGAGGCGCAAAGCTTTAAACACTGATGCTCAATTTTGTTCGGATCAGTAATTGTCACTGATCTGGTATATCGCGGTGACAAACATGGTCTGCAGCACTATGTCGTCACCTCAACACCGCAGCGCAGAATCGTCGCCCAAGCGTGTCATCTTTACGCATCAATATTGGCTGATGCACTGGGATGTGCACTTGGTATTTCTTCTGGAACACGTCGCCTTACACATATAGTAATAAACCAAAAGAGTCATCACCGAAGACGCGTACCGCATTCTTTGTCCGCATACCCCACGCACCGGTCAGTAATTTCAAATAAAATGTTGTCACCAGGCTACAGCTCCAAGATGGCGAGGTTAATAGAGGATTGAGTGCGTAAACTCTCGGTCAGGATTCATCAAACATGAGATGGCAGGAGAGACGAGGCTGGCGCTGGATGGCGGTGCAGTCTAGTGTAAAGCGTATGTCGTACAAGCAATGGAGCGTATGCGGGCGTATTATTCTACATGGCTGTGCATGCTTTTAAGTCTGCGCCTATTGAATTTGGAATTAAGCTTGACTTTAAACAATCCGCGTAAAACCTCCGAGAGACTTCAATTTTACACCTTACCTAGATCTCTTATTATATATATGACCTCTTTCCGTCTTCATAAATCTGAGAACCAGCAACACTTCTTTTACGATCTTGTGAAACACTACCTACCACGACACACCAAGTTTACACTCCCTTGCACCCAAACTCAGGACTTTCCGCAGCATAATGGCGTCCGTTCTCATTGTCGGCGTCCTTCTGATCCTCCGGGCCGTTTCTGCTTCACCGAGTGTCAGCCACCGACCTCATGGGTATTGCAAGCAGCTGGACATTCCGTTGCCTGTCACTGCAGAAACCGCTGTTTACGATATACCCAGAGTAGACAACGACATCGAAGCGGCTGCTTGGGCAATCTACGACGCCACTCGAACTACGGTGCATGGCCCCGGGAGCATCATCAAGAATACTACGACTTCCAGAACTTTCAACATTCATGCCCAGCTGTGCATCCCCAATGGTGCCCAGAAGAGCAAGAACAATACCTTGCAAATCGCCACCCACGGAGTCCACTACGACTCCAGATACTGGGACTCGACGTACAGGCCCGAGAAGCACTCTTATGTGGAGGCAGCTCTTAAGGCTGGATACTCGATCCTCACGTATGATCGTTTGGGAGTAGGCGAATCCGATCATCCGGACGCATACACCGTGGTCCAGGCTCCTCTTGAGCTGGAGATCCTCCGTCAATTGACTTTGATGGCCCGCAATGGCACTCTGTATGACTTTGCGAGCCATACCGAGCCCTCCGATGCTGCCTTCAATCAGTTGGAGGTCCCGCACAAAGTCGTTCACATCGGACACAGCTTCGGGTCATTCCTTACCTCCGCCTTCATTGCCAGGTACGGCCCTCTTACCGACGGAGCAATCATCACGGGCTATCTCTTGACGGAATTTCTCGCGAGCGCTGGTTCGACATCCTTCAGCGTCGAATATGCTGCCACAGGATCGCCTCCTTTTAACCGCTCAAGTGGTTATGTTGTGTGCCAGAGAGACGGTATCCAGAACATCTTCTTTGGGGGTAATCCGAAGACCGCCTTCACACCAGAGCTGCTCAACTACGGTATCAGCATCAAGCAACCTGTTCCCATCGGAGAGTTCGCCTCGGCCTTTTCCCTGATAGGCAACCCCGGGCCGTCTTTCAAAGCTCCCGTCCAGTTCTTCCTACCGGAGTTTGACTTCTACATCTGTCGTGGTGACTGCCGGGGTTTGGCGAATATCACAGCCTTGAACGAGACCTACCCCCACGCTACTGCTATTGAGGTGGCCATCCAGCCCAACACCGGACATGCGCTGCCACTGCACAACAATGCCACAGCAGGCTTTAAGGTCATGTTTGACTTCTTCTCCCGACATGGCCTCTAGCTGCCTAAATGGCGAACATGTATTTGCTAGTCGAGGAAACCGTCGATCTTCGGTCAAAGTGTTGATAGCTCTGTGTAGGGTCGTCTTTGTATCTAGAGCGTTATCTGGAGTAGCCAGTTATTAGAAATGAGAATAGACTTTCATGTACCGGGCTTGCCCCTGCCTCCGTGAGATTTTCCATGTTGCACTGTCACATAGTCATGGACGTGGACTATCTACCATAGTTACTGGCTTTGCAAACATGATAATTGCCGCATGTACCCCTGGCTGGTTAATTCACAAAAGTGAGGCATTGACTAGATTGGAAAACTTCATCTTTGCAAACTTCTTCGTGCTCGCCCCATCAAACGCACCTAGTTCGTGATGCAGACATAATTGTAATTTCTCTTGGCAATGAAATATCTTGAACTTGGAGGCGACATCTAACTTGATTGGAAGAAACTTATGTTCATATTGAGTTACAATTCATAAAGCTCAAAGGAGAGCATGTGCTATTCTAGAAAGCCCAAACAAAACCCATTCGCTCTCTCTCGCTTTCTAATATCTAGTATCTCCAACGACCGTCAGGATAGCCATTATGACGAATCGCCAATGGCGGATTGCTGTAATCACACCTGCACTGCCTGAATCTTTGCGAACATGGCATTGATATCGTCATTGGTCTTTTGCCTCAGCGGTCTCGAAAAAGGGAGGCGCTCCCACTCTGCTTGGTGATTAGCCCGACTCCAGCAAACAAAGAATCTCGAGACTTACCGAAGAACGTTTTGACCCACTCCTTGGGAGCAGCTCCCGCGGCATCGTCCCACAATGTCGTCAAGTATAAGGCTGTCGTCCCAAGGCTGCCCATCTGTTGGTTTTTTGAAGCATTGAAGGCGTCGTTGGCCCTCATGGCGTCTGCTACGCGGGCGGCCCTCGCCTTGGCCGCTCGTTCCACGGTCAGATACTTGGACTTTGGATCACGTCCGATATCGTCCAGGCCTAGCCTCTTGGATGTCGTCTTCCAGATTCTCGGGTTAAAGTGTAGGTTATCTCCAAGAGCAAAGTCGTTTCGGGACAGCGATCCGTCAAACTCGATGCAATCATGCTTCGCCAGGTCGGCCAAATTGAACGTCGAATAGTTGCCCGTTGTCGTGAGATTGCAGTCTTGGGCTTGTTTGAAAATATCGTCAAAGGAGTTGGGGGCGTAGTTGTAGGCACCGGCAACGGCATCTTGGAGAGTTGGCAGATCGATGTTCCTCCCTGAGCGAGGAAGCCAGCCGTGGTTAGCGAGGACGTTCAGGCCTGGGCATGGCGATCGGCCTAAGGACGGTTTTTTGTTAGTCGTCTGCAGATGCAGAGCTCAAGTGTTGATTTGGTAGCGCACTATCTCCTGGCCCAGCTGGAATCCATTCATGGCCTTTGCTAGGATGAAAATTGGGCAGTCCCGAGACGAGACTGCTTAACAGCACGGTGATGAACAGAGATCGCATCTTGGTTGATAAGAGAGTAATTCGTTGGGTTCTCAAGTGGCAACGCCGTTGTCTTTCTGCATTGTTTACTTCCATTCCATGACTGACGACGAATATTTATACCGGCCTCAAGCTTCTGGGATCGCATCTTGTCATATTCTAATCTGGCTTAGCACAGAGCGTATCGACGTAAATCACAAAGGTAATCAGGAGATACGGTACTCCGTACTCCTTACGTAGAGAAGCAACCAATAGGGGTCCATCTATCTGTAATCCTACTCGACTGGCGGGAGATTTTGAGGCAATGCCCGACCTACCGAAGCCTGTTCGTAGCCCACGAGCTCCAGCAGACTCAGCCTTCTGGCAATTATTTGTCAGGCTCAGGAGAAGTGACTACTGTACCTGTGTCGCAGGAACGATAGGTGATACTAGGCACACATGCTTATTATACGCTTGAAGGAATACGCCCGTGGCGATACGCCCCAAGGAATACGCTCGGCGATTGCTAGGATTGGGTGCAGTGTCAGCCCTAGGAGAATTTGGGCAAACCCCGGCGCCTTTGGCGTAGTCGCCCAATTGCGCGTTCTGCAAGCTGCGGAGAAAGCCGAAGCATTTAAACACTGTAAATCAGGTTGCTGGTGTGCTCAGAGATGCAGGCTGTCCACAAGCATGACTGCATGTGATGGTGAGCCCAGCCTTGTTTTTCAATAATATCTGTGACCCGGCCAGCTGGCGAGAATGAGGATCAATAGGCTCTCGTCCGATACCCGGCTATGCTTGTGCCAGTCGGGCGAACTGTTGGGTGACGGTGCTGGCCTTCTCATTGACTTGGAAGTTGAAGTGGCATTACTCTCAATCATGTTTGAAGGCATTGAAGCTTTTAGTTTGAGACTTTGAGTCTCTTTGCAACTGGGCATCGGCTCGTCCTCCGACGATGAGACTTCAAGTTATGTAATCTCACCGCCTCTCCAACCTCTTCAACGCACTGAGCAACAGCAATGGCACGATCGGACTCTCTCCCGGTAGCTACCGGCACTTTCTCGAAGAATTTCTGAAAAGATAATATTGTACGTCTTTTTTCCTCTTCACTTCTCTTTCAAAATGAATCTGGAACGCTCTAAGTTTGCATTGCCCCAGATTAACTGAGTCCAAGTTCGAGAGTCTCTCAGATGACGTCTCTCGGCCACAGTCGAAAAGGGAATAGCACCTTCAGCTGGCAGTTAGCAGGAGAGGCGGTGCAATACGTAAGACAATGAATTCCAAATTCCGATTCCAAATTCAGGAAGTTTAGCTCTAATAAATAAGCATATTTCACTATCACCTTGTATCGCCAACCTACGAGTTGACAATCAGTTATGGCTCAACAACTCATCATGCCCACCAGAGAGTTCAAGCAGCGTCGGTCACATGAAAAGTCAAGAAAGGGTTGCACAAGATGCAAGACACAGAGGAAAAAGGTTCCGTGCAGTGCATCATCGAGACACCGCTACGATTGCTGACAAGAGAAGCAGTGCGACGAGGCGCGTCCTATCTGCACCCGGTGCAAGAAGCGAAACCATTGTTGCAGGTACACGTTCGAGGATGATCGCTTTCGATCAGAGTCAACCGAAACCGGCGCTGGGCGAGACGTACTATCACTGGAAACCCCGTATTTAGATTATCTGAGCCTCCCCGAACCAAGCCCACGCAGCTCCGAGACAAGCTCAGATGAGATCTGCCTCAGTGATTCGGGCTTCTTCCCCGCATCCCCGTACCCTGCTTCTGGAGCTTCGGAAACGCGTCAGCAGCCCTCCACATTGAGCTCCGAAGAGCTGGAGCTGCTCAGCCACTACATCACACATACGAGTCGCGCCATTCCTTCCGATGCAGACGAGTTATACGCCCTTCACGTGGGAATCCCAAATCTCGCCTTCGGCAGCAGACCGGTCATGGGCTCGATGCTGGCACTTTCAGCAGTCTGCAAGTGCTACGACATTGTGCGGCATTCGCGCGCGCCTCTGGAGAGATTAGAGGAGATCAATGGCCTGTTCGTCCTGGCAGATCGACATCACAGAACATCGCTCCACCAGATACAAGCGGCCTTACACGATGACCATTTCGACACTGTTCTTGCCAATGCTCCCTTGATGGTGCTGTATGCATTGGCTGGCCATTCTGCTCGAGTGTTATTGGCCAAGAAGGCGAGGAGAAGCGGGAAAATTCTCTCCAACGAGATGTTTCCACTGCAATCGCAGTGGATAACCTCAATTCGTGCTGCCTACGTAGCCTACGTTGGGGTACACAACAGTTCGAGCCCCTGCAGCGATTTTGGAAATATCATACCGAATTCTCCTTGCGCTGTAAAAGACGACTCTGCTTCACATACAGCCGCTCTATCAGGAGGTAACCTCTATCCCCCTGAGGATGGCCCTTCTGAAGGGACAAGGCGGCTACTGCTGCCGATCGTGTCCGCCACATATGGGGCCGCCTTGGAGAAGCTCAATGCACGAGCGCAAACTGTCTGGATTGGAGAGGGCGACTTAAACATACACGCACGAAGTCTCCCCAACTCAGAGCTGCACGCGTGCCTTGCGTCTCTCAAACTTCTGGATGAACTGTTCACCACAGTATTTGCCCCTAATCAGTCAAGTCACGAACTACCTCCGCCAGCATCTTCTACGTCCAACTTCCAATTGAACGGACTAGAAAAGGCATCCCCTTGGTTGAGGAGATACTTGGCTCGTGTTACTTCTGCCACGCCATCCAAACTCTGGCGACGGACCATCATGGCTTTCTTGAATCGCGTTCCACTCGAGTATCTCCAGCTTGTTCAATCAGCCCTCGATCATATGCCAGTCGCGACACACCAAACCGACTCTGGTTCTCTCGATAAACCTATACCGCTGGGTACGGCACAACAGCTGGCAATGAACATCTTTTCTCATTGGCTGGTTCTTGTTATGCTTCTAGACGGAGTCTGGTGGATTGGAAGCATTGGCCAGTGGGAACTTGGGAGGGTCCTCTCGTTTGCGGAAGCCCAACGCTGGACTCTCGAACCAGCAGAGACTGGGGAATCTTGGTGGCCTGAGAGCATGTATGCTGTCCAGAAAGCAATTGCAGAGCCTCTAGAATGATTGCATCGCTACTACAATCTCCATTATGAAATACCCCATGGACCTAGTCCGAGCAACTCTGAGATATATGCCCGAACACGACGCGAATTGCTGATAGACAACGCCTACTTTAGCGGGCTATGCTAAGCATATGGACAATGAGTATCTAGTTTTGCGAATCGAAGATATGTTGTAAATCGAAATTGACGTCTCGTTGACACTTGTGAAACACGGGAACCTCTTGCGCGATACTGCGCTGGATAAATTGGTGAGTTACTCGAGTGGTTTGCATTATACGCTGGATCCTGTGAAAATCGCGGAGTAGAATCGAAAACACCGTAATTCTATAATAAGTCATAGTAAAACATAATAGCAAACACACGATAGCCTCTATCTGATTAGCCGCAGCATAGAAATGCGGCAGGTATTTGACGAAACAGATATAACCAATCGAACTTTGAACCGCCTCTCTACTCGGAGCCCACCGATTTATCCAACTCGACCAAATAGCCGATACTCCTCTCCGCCTCCGAGGCAAAGACTGCGTCGCTCATGGCTTTGTCGAACTCCTCCTTGCCAACGCCATCACCATTGGGACCCCATTTGCGGCCAAACTCGCCCACGAAGTTATCATAGGTCGTCGCTGGCTTTTCACGGCAGATGTCGCACATGACGCCCTTGAAGCCGTTATAGTCAAAACCGGCGCGAGGAAAGCGCTTCATCACAGCGTGGTACTCTTCGACGGTGATCACATTGCTCTCTGGAGCAACGATAGGAGCATACTTTGGCCCGTAGAAGTCGGCGCCGATAGCCATACTGGTTAGGGACACATCGGGTTCGGTGTAGGGCGTCAAGGTGAAGTTTGTGTGCAGCGCAATGGCATACCAAGATCTTTGGAGCCTGTCTTCGCTCCATTCTTTGGCAGGGGTCAAGTTATCCAGCTTGCTGCGAAGCCAGTCTCGTGCGAGGTCTGCTCCATCGACCTCGAAGCGCTTATGGGCGGAAAGGAGTTCCTTTGTCGAGGCCCAGCCCAAGTCGTGAAGCATGCAGCTCAGGGTGACCAATTCGAGATCCGGGTTGCCATAGACATGGGGAAGCTTCTTTGCGAGTATGAGGGCCCAATAAGCCGAGCGAACGGTATGGTTATGAACCAATGGGGCGCAGTGCTTCTCGGAGTACTTGAAAGCTGCTTCGGCAAGCGGAGAGCGTGGGAAGACAAGGCCGATTTCAGGGATGTCGGGAAGCGAGGTGGCTGCCATGATAAGGTTTGCGGGTGATTGATTGACAGACTTTTTATCGATGGGGTTTCCTATCTTGCTTCTTTTGTTGAATGCGTTGTAGGTGCTAAAAGAAGACTTGCAGCATTGCTCTCTGATACACAGTGCTTTTATAGTTGATGGCGAGATATAGTATTATGTAAAATATCCGATTCTTGTCGGATACTCACCATAGGCTTCAATGGCGAAGTATGGGAGCTTATAAAGCGTCAGATTATCAAATTGGTCTTTCGTAATCGCTCCAAGCCTGTATATCAGGCCACATGAGAGTATTCGGCCGGAGGTCGAGTGGGTTGTTAGTCGAGATGTCGTCAGGGAAATGCAGACAGTATGAAGCTATACAAGTTTACTTCATACTAGTGAGAGAATGCTAGGTGTCGCGATGTATGGAAGAAGTATTCCTTAGATCGAACTTTATTCACCACCTCTGTTGAGGTCCTTTGTAATCGGTCATTGAGACAAACACTATGAGGAGTCTAAAACATGTCACAGTTTGTCATAGTTTGGCCATTGCTACGGAGTACTAGGGCGTCGTTCCATAATGCTGATGACTTGATACTGCCCGCCAATATATTCGGAGAAAAGAATATTACATAGTTCGATACACCTATAGTGACAATACCTGCTTGTCTTGTGCCAACCTGCTGCTTAGCTCAGCTCTGTCCACATCCTGAATGTTGACACATTGCTCAATCGCCATTACGGCAGCCGTCGCCGCGCTTTGTCCCATGATCATATACGTTGGTTCCATCCGAATTGCTGCAAAGGCCACATGCGTGCTGCTCATCGTGACTGGGTTGAGAAAGTTGACGGCCTCGGTAGAGCGAGGAATAATACTCCCGAACGGAATGGGGAAGGGCTGCGGAACCGGAGTATGCACCAATCCTTCATTACGAATCCCCGAGTCAACAACGACTCTCTCCACTTCGTGCGAGTCAAGCGTGTAGGATCCGAGGCCGATGATGCTGTCCTCGGGGAATGTTTGAGGACTCTGTACGTCGCTTTGTTTCATAGTGTAATTTCCCTGCATGCGTCTTGCTTCCCGGATGTAGATTTCGTAAGGCCAGTTTCCGTTCGAGGTCCATTCATCTTTGGCGTATCCCCAAGTGCTTGCGGAATCCCTAAATCGCTGAGGGACTCGCGGATGGTTGGCAAGCGTCCAGAAAAAGCCCTGTGTATATGTTTTGTAGTTTTGAGCGATAGCTGCGCGGTCTGCGAAGCTCTCCTCGATGTAGTTTGTTTTCTTGACTGGGTCATAATTTCCACCAAGGAAGTCAGTGCTTACCCCGCCGTTCGAGTTGGTGTCTGTCTTGAGGTTCGGCATAAGCTGCTTTGTGAAAAATAGATCATGGTAGCCGGCTTCGATGTAGCGGAGTAGAATCTCATACAGATCTTCGTCATAGTCATCCGGTTTAGAAAAGGGCACTTGGTTGTCAGTTATCTGAGTCAAACTAAGTCGATAGTTGAATGCTTGAAGCCGAAAATTGTCGGCTGTACCATTGATTTTCTGGACGTCCCCGGCCGCAACAATATGGTCGATCCCCTTTATAAGCCCGCTGTTGGGATCATCGGGTGTAAGGTATGGTGACATCCCGAGATAGCCTTCCTCCGCGGCAATCAACACCCCTGCTAACGACTCGTCGAAATCTGATCGAGCTTCGCGGCCAATACTGTAGGAAATTTGAGCCGCAGCCATGAAGTCCCCCTCATAGCTAGTATCCATGAACATCAATGCGTCGTATACATGGCCTGAATGCGTCTTGATGGAGGTAATCCGGTTGTTTTTGATTGTGACACTACCGGCTGACGGGATAATAGTCTCATTCCGGAAAATGGGTATCTTCAACTCCTTCATCCAGTCCTCGAATATGCTCTCCGCTACATGGGGCTCGAACGTCCATTGTACCTGCTGAGATTCGTCTACCGCGGGCCCTGGCTGAGCAGCTATGTTTTTGGCTATGTACTGCGATCTTGTCTCTCTGGACCATGCAGAATCGGATTCATAGTACTGGTATACCCGACTGTAGAACTCTCTCGCAATGCCCCCGATAGCATTTCCATTCTTGGAGTCCGTCCAGCCAAGGCCAGATACGGTCATGCCGCCAATATGACTGGTCGGAGATACAATCGCAACGGTTCTGTTCATGCGTGTCGTCTGAATGGCCGCAGCAAGGGCTGCTGGGGTGGACCCGTATATGATGATGTCGTATGTTGCAGATTCAGATTGCGGGCAATCCGTTCTTTTTCCGCCTTGAGGGCGCAGGGGAGCTGAATCACTAATATGAGGAAGCATGGTAAAGATTAATATGAATAATGTTCTGAAGTAAAAGTTACGGAAACATGAGAATGGTCCGTACAGTCGTTGAGCTGCCATCTTGAATAATGGGCTCTTGGTATATGTCCTCGATCCAAAAAGAGTAGCAAGGGTGACCACTCATGAAATTGGAAGAGGAGCGGCTTCAAAGGTATTTATACCCGCCGAGTAATTGCGTCTTTTGCCGTGATTGTCCAACTTGAGAAGTATCACTATATCCTGGAATCAGTTGCTGGTAACACGTGTCTCACTACCTACGTAGGGGGAGCTCAATAACTTCCTGCATGTTTTACTCACAATAGTCCGTATGGTCTGTCTTAGAATCCTAAGCAAAAGTCATTTCTCAGCGCGCAACTCTTCAAAACTGTAAAACAATGTTGATTGATTCCGTGTTACCCGGTGTCTTTACTTCCATTGTGTGCGCATGGCAGCCTATGCACCTCCATTACCGTCGCAACGTGACCAACTCGACACCACAATGTGGACCAAATCTCAACGTTGCCATAAAGCCTTTTGTCAGCAGATGTGAGTTTGTGATATTGTCAGTTAATGGAATTTTGGCAATCTGTGGCTCGGGACAGCTTCCCCATCAAGTGCGAAGACGGACTCACGACAGTGATTGCCCTCTCTCGTCAACGGCGCATTGCGCAGTTTTCAAGTGGCCAGCTTCAGAACAGATCCAATGAAGCCAGCGAAGCCCATTCATCAGAGAAACAGATCACAGATCACCGTCGTGCCAGGAAGACAAACCAGGAACCCGGTATTGTGCTACCTCACCTTGCGTTGGACTCAACGCAACGCAGCGCTATCACAATGCCGGAAGATGTGATGAGACTGGTCTACGCGAAAAGAATGAGGAGGTGTTTCTCGCACAAAGCCGAACGCCAGCCTTTTTGGCGGGGTAGCGGCAACGGGTTAAAGCGATCAGCGCCTTCAGTGTAACAAAGTGTCCCTGTCAGCTACGCCAAGATCGGTTCTTGTGCCGCTGAGAATGGCACCTTGATCTACGAGCCAAGATGCTTCCCCGCCTCAGCATGGAAGAAGTGTCTCATGACCAGAGACTGTCCGAATTTATTAGCCAATGGCTCACCTGATAACTCCCTTGATGAATGTATGACGTTCTATCTCGATCTAGATGCATTAAATGGCATCATAACGTTGCAGCGGATGTCGCCTGCTCACGACTCTCCAGCGGATGAGTGTATAATCCAGCCACATCAACTTTGCTTGAACTGGCTAACCACTACTGAAGACTCTACTGAGCGGCGTCATATGAGGACCTTTTTCATACAAAGCCAGGATCCTAGATTGCATCAGGTCTTGGGACTTCCTTCTGTTGCCCATCTCATGCCAATATAGCGAAACCCAAACTTTTCGTTATTCCTCGTTTTGTCGCGAAGTGCACGCAGCTGAGGATAGTTAGATACTTGCGACCAAGTATAATCGCCGGTAGATATCCAACATCCGCTTTTATGATTTCCATGGACAACCTGCCACCGTGAACAGTTCGCAGACTTAAGTTAATGGCTTCAAATCATCCATGCCGACTGTGGTATTCCAGTTCATGCCGCCGTACATTCCATCATGCACTTGGTTGGGGAATTCTAGATCGTAAAGCCAGTGGTGATGGACTCCCGGTGTTTCCTCTGACGCGGCGTACATGCAATCCAGTGCCGCATGGTTGATGAAATGCCCCAAGTCTGATGTTTCGTTATCTGCAGATATGCCGAGCTCTTCATGTGCAATCGTGTGTGTTGCGCCTACGCCAGGGCCCTGGGGAACAATTCCTTTCAGTAGAGGTGCTCGGGATCTGGCGGCTCGGTCTTTCCCTATCAACCGCCGTAATGGCTTATATTCATCGCAGCAAATTTCGTCGATGTCCGATGGCCCCCTTTGACTCTTAGCACTTCTCATATGGCAAGAGCTTGAGAGCTTGTGTCCCAGCCTAAGCCTCGTATCTACTGCAGTTCATGCCCTGTCGACATGTTCGCCTTCAGCCCGAACACACAAGGCAGAGAGCAAGAAAGGTAAGCGCATACCATTGTGTATGTGTCTCGTATAGCCACCTCCATTTCTAGGTCTTCTTTGTGGGCTTAGAGCCAGGCAGTATTTTGGAATACTGATAGACGCATAGAAAGCCGATCCTGGGTATTTTGAGGCAGTCTCGCGAAAGCGGCGGGACGCAGCGAAGGATGGTGAGCAACAAGCCGCGTTTTTGTGAATTCGATTTGCGAGATGGTATATATTTACCAAAGAAATAGTTCAGATAGGTTGCAATATTTCAGGTAAAATTCACGAAGTCGCTGTTGGCTTTCGAAAACTCGATTTAACTATTCTACAAGGTCGACAACTTTCCCCCATTTCCCCAATGGACTGGTCGAGGAGTATTGGAGTTGTCGAAACAGAGATGTCGCCTCAAAGCCAATCAGGTTGAAGCTCATTTCCGTGAGGTCAAACCGCGATTGGTGAGTCTCTTTCATGCGTACGGACAAGTCCGAATCGTTGATGTTGAATGGTATAGGGGTGTTTGCACCGCTGTGAGGAAGCGTAGCGTCGTGGCCAGAATCTTCGCATGGGCGGAAATCAAGGACGCAGATACTCCACCGCAATATGCGCCTCAATTCAAAGATCAAGGGAGACAAGTCGAAGTGAGAACATCCCGGCGAACTCTACCGTTCTGTGCAAGACGAACCACCAGAGCGGCCAGGTTCCACATGAGCCTGATGATGCCGTAATTCCGGAAGCTCGTGAGAAAGATGACAAAAGCTTGCAACACTATTAACTCATTCGTTTCAATGAATTGGGCTCTAGCCTATGCCTGCTGTGTAGCAAATTTGTACCTGTCGATGAGAGCCCCCTTGTGATTACCGAAGATGTCGCAGCATTCGCTTTCCGTGAGACTCTCTATAGCGGCGAAGTAAATGGAGAATATGAGTGCCTCAAGTCCTTTAGGTATACAATTTGATTGCTTGATGGCTCGTAAAATGATCGGCTCCGTTGTAGGTATAGATAGAATTGTTATAAGCCTGTCGCAGTTTTCCTTGGACAAGCGCCATCAAAGCAGTGCCTGGTTAGGTAGCGGTTGGAGGCTGACCACGGAATGATGCTGAGCACCTATCCCAAAGATGAAGCTCTGGTCGGTAGGTCTGGAGTTTGACGTGATGGGTGCGTTCGAAGTCTCTGTATCATCCGGGAAGTCCATCAGTAAACTCTTCAGGTCATCCACCTAGTCAAGGCGAAGGGGAGAATTACGGAAATATAAAAGAAAAGAAAAAGATCATCGTAGTCTGCCGTCAGCCAGATGACGTACCTCTTCGTCCAAGATTGCCCAGAAGCCACTGCTGATGTGTCTGATTCGTCCATCTCCCACAGCCAGCCTGCCAAGCTCCGTGCCCAATTCAGTTACTGCATCACTCTGTGATCATTCGCTGTTGTTCATATCAGAACGAGGTCTAGAATCAGCCTCTCGAATACCTAAAGTTGGCCGTAGCTCTGCATCCTGAGAGGATGGTTGCGTGGCTATTTGGTTGTAGTTGTCTCGTCATTGGCCGATTACTCCCTCAAGATGCTGCAGCCTCTCCAGCATCCCTTACGTGATTCTTGGCCTGGTTGAGGGTCGTCTCGGCAAGAACAAGCAATCTGTGCCAACTAGGTGACAGTTGTCGCAAGGGTAGACTCTATCGCACTTTTTCTTCTTTCTTCCACACGATAGGCACGAGTATGGGCTCAACTATGCATGTCCAGTGTATTGTTCGGTTGTTCGGCCATTGGGTCGCGGAGAACCTGGCTTATCGGCTTTGGTGGGCAGCGTAAAATGCGCGGAGTCCATTTGTTATACTTCATTTGCTTTCTCCACGGCTGTTTGCAAAGAAGAATGTTCGGCCAGAATTAATTGCAGCTGAGGCAGCCTTATTAGAGTGGGAGGCTCTGGAGGTCAGCCTTAAATGAGCTGACTGAAGGACCGGGGGTTGCCAAACGGTTCAATCTGAGCGTACTCTTGGCAAACATCGCCAAGTCTGTTTGGCGATGGTTGTGGAGATCAGCCACTGTAAGCCGCAAGAATAAGGTTGGTCCCAACTCTGTTCTTACAGTCTCAATTGTTGGTGAACCAACCAAAAGATTAGGTAGGTCATGGAATTGACCGTTAATTAGCAACGAAGAGATTCGTAGTTGAAAACTAGAGTACTATTATTCATCTTCTTTCGTCATTTGTTTAGCTTTCTGGGATATTGCCCGATTAGAAGCAGTTGGCTTGACTCTCAAAGTTCCCGTCGTCGTAATCACCACGAAAGAAAGTGTGTGGGGCCCCCTGATTCCTGGGATTCAGGAGATGTTTCCCGGCATTGAGCGAATTGAATGCACAACCGTCAATGTTTGGGACGATCCGCGCGTCGTCGGCCCTGTGAAGGCCACAGGACAACCGACGTGTGCCTGGCTTTTCCAGCAATAGCTGCCCTCATGGACGGCTATACAACTAGGATATCATGGATGCCTCTGGAGATTACTTTTAGGCTAAAAATCGGCGCATTGCTGGGTCTAGATCGATATAAAGATGTTTCATGCCATAAGGGCTGACATAGTGTGATGTCCAACATGGTGATTATAACTGCATTGCTACCAAGGAAGATTTTGTAGGACAATTCTGCCAGATGGACATCGAGAAGAAACGATTAGGGAAAATAGTCGCCGTTGTTTCCCTTGATACGCTCGTATAGATGCCTTGAGAACAACAAGCAACTCTCCATGAACGTCTATGCCTTTTCCATACGAGTCTATACACTTGAGACAACTGGGCAAGGACAATAGCTAGCTCTGCCTGTTGGAGTAGGCAAGGTATGGATATACAGTTGGGTATATCCCTATACCAGTAGACGAATAAGTTTAAAAGATACCTCATTTAGTAGTTAGAGGTCCCGTCATGAAATTTTGTCTTACATCCCGTCAACCATCTGACACGAGGCAGTGCCACTGATCACGAGCTTACCTACTTAGGGTATGTTAGACGAAGAAGGTTATGGATGTTTATATGAGACATAAGAGAAGTTCTGGTTTGCAAGACTTACACTGGTTGAATAAGGGCATATGGCGATAATCGATCAGGGTATTAGATCAATAGATAACGTAACTAAGTAGCTTATGAATTCTGGAATACTAAGCATAACTCCACAGGGTACTATTACCATAGGACTGCCCAACGTAGGCGGTCCTCCTGTCACAAATTCTCCAATCGCTCTGCAGACAGAATGAATCACCCTATGCATGTTGGTTTCCTGCTATACTAAATATGGAAGTTGCAGGGTCAATGAGCCTTAGCCAAGAAATGCCTAGACGAGAGAAAACGCTTGTTCACATTACTCCGCAGCATGGCTGCATGGCTACCTTTGTAATTGCTCTGCAAACACTTTTCGTTGATTAACTCACTTGTTCCAATTACGTTGCTCCCCGAAAGGATACCGAAAGGAAGAAAAGAAACCCCTTCAGCCCCTGACACTGCTGCACTCCCTCATTTGTCTACCCCATAGTATTTAGTCACCGAGTAGGTATGGCGCGATTCTCGGCAGATTGTATATTTCTGCTCTCTCACTATTCTAAAACGTCTTTAACCTGACTACCGACTTTCTAAAGAACTGGCAACGGCAGTGGAAGCGGCCAGGGAAAGTCCACTGAGTCTCAACGTGGTTTTGTATTCCAGCCTTTGCTCGGTATAACCACTATGGCTTCTCCACAAGTGTTATCACACTCTAACGACATGGTTCCTCGGGATTTGCAGCTTGATGACTACCTTGTTTGCTATGGGATTGATGGCTTATAAAACCTCCAGTATACACAGTAAGGTTCCTTTGTAAATAGGCAATGGCAATTGACAGCGCCATTGTGCGATCAACTATGAAACGTCTCCTGTTCAGACTCAGTTGCAAGCCCTAAAGCTATGTGGCATTCTATTTATAAAGGCGTGTCCCCACAGCATTTGAGTCATCAACGCTGTGGACGACAGGGTGATTACTACAGGAGCGCACGTTTCAGGACTACTAATGCATTCCAGTCAGCCCTACAACTCCTACAATTACAAGGAGCAGTTGGAAAGCTGTGGAGAGGCTTTCTTGGCCACCACATTGAGGATTCAGAATATAGCACTATATAACTCGACGTGTCTCGATTGTTCCAATGATATCTCTTTCGCAAAGTACTCCGTAGGCATATTTGGGCCGTGTCTCTTTCTAAGTGACGACCAGGGGCCCTGTAAGCTTATCCTCGAGAGCCGCTTTCACGACGCCTCTATACGATGTTTGTCAGACAACTCTCAATTTTCGTATTACCGACCAATCCGAACAACCCCAATCTGCTAGTGGGCTTGCAGATTTCTAGCTTCAGTTACAACGGCGGTGCAGACTAAGCCTTCATCATTATGAAAGGATTCACGCCACTCCGTTGCTATTGGTCAACGCCAGATTACAAACAGCAACAACAACGGACGGTGCAGGCTCTCAACTTTCCTTCAATCTGCCCATTGACACCACTGAATACCATCATTTGGACATTTGGCGCCCCCTCAACCTTATAAAGACTACATGATGAGAAGGGTGCGGTAACCGTGCGCTTGGCATCAATCTGAAGTCAATTCACCTTCCCGCCGTGCTAAGCCTGGTTTGTCGCTCGCGGAAGCCCTTATTCGACCATGCCCTTGCGTAAGCATGCGAAGCCTCCTCCAAGGTTCACTTTCGTGATACCGGAATTCGAAGGGAATCAAATGAGATGGTTGAAAACCCATTCCGACGCAACAAGAAGCCACGCCGCGTACTGGAGCGGCCCTGCAAAGCGTCAGTGGCAGGTTGGCAAGGAGAGAAAGCAGAAGCAAGATAACGCCAACGTACCTAAACACGATGCGGATGAGCGCTTTGAATCCCAGGGCGTCGAGTCTGAAGGTCGCGACTCTGAATTTTCGACTACCCAATCCAGGCGGACAACAAAGCGAGCGAAAAAGAAGGGTTTACCACTGAGGCAGGACGATGCAACACCGCCTCACATCGCACCTATGGTCACACGATATCTTTCTGCTATCACATCCGAGGCGAAATCGACGAGCTCCTTTTCGGCCGATGTGGCAGCGTTGAGATTCTATAATGTCGAGTTTGTGAGGAGATTTGTCATGGTTGACAATGAAGACAGTGCCATGATGTTTAGTAGCTGCCTAATGGTAGGCTATGCTCATTACATAGCACTAACAGGACAAGGGACAACGACAACATTGCTGGAATTGAAGAGTCAAGTTATCCGCTACTTGACTTCCAAGATGAACTCCCCAGACGCATTGCTAAGTCCTCGCTGTCTGGTTGCCATACTGGCACTGGGAGCTCCCATTGTATGTCTGGTCTCCAGAGACTTTCCAAGAGGGCTCAGCATCAGAGAGTACATCAATGTAACTCTGGAAGAAGATTACTTATGCAATGAAGAGTCTGCAGTTGTAGCTCTAAGCTCGTACAACGAACAAAGACTTCACCGGCAAGCACTACGCAGACTACTTTTGAGAACGAAGACCGGTTTCCAGGATGGGGACAGCATCGCGCTACTTCAGTACATCTCTAACTACATGAAACTGTAGGTTTTTCCACTATTTTCAACTCTTCATAGCCTGCTAACATATTCGACAGTTCCATCTCTATAGAGGCCGCTGATTATCTACATACCCCTTCAGCAGACATTGAGACACTATTTCCAGTGACGGGTTTATCTCATGACTGCCCTATTGCCGAGCAATGGATATCACCTCTCACTCTTCAGTGGATCGACAAGACCTCTACGGTACACATTGAGGCCCAAATGCTGCTACTTGCGAGGCTGGTGCACAGTTGGCTTGCGACATTCTCTGACGATGGGAAACAAGGATCAGGGTCCACCGTGGAGGTACTACAAATGAGAGCAAATCTCCGTCAACAAATTGAAAGTTTTACACCTGCGGCAAAGGGCCAATACGAGGAAGCTGAAGCCATGTATGAGTGCTGCCGACGAGCAACGCTGGTATTGCTGGCCGCTGAACGGCTGCGCATTCCCATTTATGCCGCGGCGAAGCACGTGGAAACCAGGCCAAAAATCACGAAGCTGTTCCGTAAGACTGATCTGGCAAACCTTTGGGGAAACCACATAGGCTTGCTGTTTTGGGTTGCCGCAACATGTCAATTTGCAACTGCGGGTCACTGTTTTCCTCTCTTGTGTACAACGCTTCTGGCGAGGCTGGTACAGGAGCTTTCGCTGTCGGACCTGTACACCGAGGTGGCTATTGCTTCTCTCAAACGACTGAAGCGGTTTGAATCGTCATGCTGTTCTGTTGGAATCTGGTCCAGGAACTACTGCGAGCAGATCTCGAGTATTGGGGCGGGCTTATAGAGACTGTTTCGGTTACGGCTTCCTGACCGTTGAGAATATGTACCTCAAGTCAAGCTGATGTTTGGAAATATCAAATTCTTGTTGAGCCGGCTTACCCTGCGATTCCAGCCAGCGATGTTCTGGCGCCGTTGCCGAGGCCCGTGACACGGTACGCTGCGCTTAGCCACTTTCACTTCCAGAGACCAAGTTTCATTTTCTTGTAAGACTGTCAACCAATGTGACATCTCTTACCAAACCTAGCTTCCTACATGACAGCTCTGAAACACAACGCAAGACCAAGAAGACAGTACTCGTCACCGGCACAACCGAGTTTAGAGACCAGTAGATCCTGACACGGCTTGCTAACGAGTCGAGTAGATATAATCTATGATGTTGCGATGTGTGACCACGCTACTTGGAGTGCTCGAAGGTTGCCATCTTTGCCAGGGAACTAAATAACAGGGGCGACGTGTCCTGGCCTCTGCATGGCTTAATAAAAGAGGGATTTATCGATCTTTCTAGCATAGTAAATATGATCCTGTATATGGGTGTGATTTGTTCCTTCTGGGGGAGTTATAACGTGCTCGGTCAAGCAGTATCCAGTTGACTAAGGAGCTTGTCTAAATGGCAACTCCTCGCCATATCCCTGGCCACTACACTCCAACGGCCAGTGAGCTGCTCCGAAGCATCACCGAACGCCGTTTCGTCTACTGCTTTTAGCTCTTAATAGATGGAAGCAACGGCTATGCCCTCTCTTAATGGGCTGGCGAACGTGTCCTTTGTCACCTATCCGAGAAGTTGGGAATGCCACTGTCTATCTACCGCTTCTTTCCAGCCTCGCAGAAATCGCCGCTAACAGGGGTGCTGCATAGCTTTGTCCTCTTCGTTGATATCCTGAGCATTAGGGCCCAGATGAATGATTGGGAGGGCCACATCGGCAGTCCCACATGCAGCTGAGTAGGTTCCTGAACCTGTTCGAAATCAGCACCAGCGTGCGCGTCTCGCAATCTGAGAGCCTCATTGCCACCGAATGTCCCTGAAATGGGGCAGACCTTGAGGAAAAGCGAGGAGAAAGGGGCTTGGGTATGTTTGTGATCCTTGCTAGATTAGACGAACCGATGCTAATGGAATCATCTAACTCCTGGCCTCTCAGCAGGTTACGGCTGGGAGTAGCACGGGCCGTTTAAACCGTGATGGTAGATGACGGATTTGGGAGAAGGACCCTTTTGGGACAGCAATATTGTCCAGAAACTACAACACCGTATCTCCCTGACTGTTTTCACGCCACCTATAAGCGATGACTTGTGTGTCCATTTCTTTCTTTCCAAGTGCATATAATATCAGGTTGCATGAGGTACATGGCCACTGGTCACTTGCTCTCATGGCGATCTTAAACGATCAACATATGAAACATTTCTCTATCTGCCTTCGATGTAATAAAATTATCATGTAACTTAGAGAGCGATGCTCACATTGTCTGAAGGACCTAATAACTGCGTTAGTGTAGTATACCTTGAGGTAGTCAGCCAGCGACAATCCCGATCTGGTGAGCGGCTAGCTTTCTATTTCACCCATATTTCGCAATGCCATCGGAAGATCTCCCACTGTAGATGCAGACGGCGTGAGAATGATGTTTGAGACCCAAATTCCAATCTTCAGTATATTCCACCATCAGACTGAATTGGAGACTAAACTAATCATTACAAGGGCTACTATAGAGGTACTTTCGGAGCGCCAGGGTTATCATGAGGGAGACATTCTTCCTCGGTTTCTCATGATAAAGTTTCTGCGGCTTGTCTCTGATAGAAGTTTACGACGAACCAGCATGAAGTCTCCAGTGGATTTCGGCAGACTGGTTAGGAAATAGGTGTTGAACCCACTCAACCCACCTCGCATCTTCCCGGGTCAATAGCGGGGTTGTAATATTTTAGTTCGTAACGTTCTTCGCTGGGTCAAAACCTTACTTCCATCAATGGCGAGCAATTTGGAGTTCTACCAATCAAAAAGGCCAGAATTGGACCGAATGCTCCGCGTATCTCAACGGTTTACACTCGTCTGATCGAGGTTTTGTTGGCTGATCGAGGCAAGCTGAACTGCCACTTCACCCCAAGTCGGGGTATGTTGCCTAAAGTCTAGTGTCTGAGAACGTAGATTGATCAACTACGCGCTTGTTATTCCTGAGGTAAGAAATCGAGATTATACAGACTACTCGCAGTGGCGTTATCAGCCGTAGCATATACTCTCATGTGTGCTTTTAAGGCTGCTTCCCACAACATGCACCTCAGTCGTCCTCTTTTGCCTCGACGCAGCCACTACCCTATGAATGACATCATGTGTAGTTGGACCATAACATGCCAATCTGTGCCATCAAATATGAATGTTTGGCACTGTAGTAGTCTACGCCTTTTCCTAAGTGACCCCTTGAGCTGGGCGTGCCTGGCTGCCGATTGAATAGCATAGGGGCACACATTCGCAAGTATGGCCTGCTCAGAAGTAGTATAAGAGCTTGAGAAGCTTCAAGTCCCGATTTACCTACTCAGAACAGTCAGCAATTACCAGAAGCCTCAGATTGCCATTTCCAAAGAGCCTTCTATTACAGCCTTGGTCAAAATGGTCGTTCTTATCACAGGCAGCACCGGCTTCCTCGGCGGCCACTTGGTTAAGGAAGCCTTCACACGCGGCCACAGCGTCCGCGCCGTCGTGAGAACGGAAGCTTCATTCAAGAAGCTCGTCGATCAATTCCCTCAGTTCGCATCGAAGCTTTCCCATGTCGTTGTGACGGACCTCACCAAGCCAGAATCGTTTCAAGAGGCGTTTGAGGGCGTGACCGGCGTCGTTCATGCCGCTTCTCCCTTCAATCTTGAGCCAAAGAATAATGAGGAAGATTTGCTCAAACCTGCTATTCAAGGATCGGTAGCCATACTCGATGCTGCCCTACGTTACGGAAAGGACGTCAAGCGAGTTGTCGTCACGTCGTCGCACGCCTCTGTCGCGGATATTACCAAAGGGAAACGAGTCGGCTATGTGTACAACGAAAAGGACTGGAACCCCATCACTTATGAGCAGGCCGCCGACCCATCTACAGACGGCGTAACTGCGTATTGCGCTTCAAAGGCCCTGGCCGAGCGTGCCGTCTGGAAATGGGCAGAGGAGCACCCCGACGCACCATTCGACGTTGTCACGATAACTCCGCCGTGGATCTTTGGCCCCTATGCCACTGAACTGACCTCCACGAAGCACCTCAGTGAAAGTGTCCGCCTCATCTACAACCTCTTGGGCGCCAAAGACGTGCCCGAGTTTGACTTTGGCGGGTATGCAGATGTTCGCGAGGTCAGTGCCGCCCATCTACTTGCCCTTGAAGTGCCGGCGGCCGGTGGAGAGCGCTTCTGGGTTGGGCAGCCTCTCCGCTGGCAAACTGTGGTGGATATCGGGAGAGAAGAATTTCCCGAACTGAGATCGAGACTGCCAGTGGGAAAGCCAGGATGGAGAGAGGATGCCTACGGTGTGGATGGCAGCAAAGCAGAGAGGGTCTTGGGTCTGAAGTATTTGACAATGAGAGACACTATCAAGGACACATTTTCCCAGCTTTTATCGGCGGAACGAGCTGAAGCAGCGGCAGCATAAACAGCCTGCACGTTTTGGTGAGGAGTGTTCCGATCTCGAGCAGATCTCTTATTCGTACTGTACTCCTGGCACACAGATTGAGCAAGGATGCTGATGCCAGAATCCTCTACTAGGTTACATGTAACAAACTATGTCGCTCAAGTGCTCTGAATGATCATCACTCATCCATCCACCATTCTTCACAGTCGGTGTTAGAAAGGATAAATAAAAGCGGCTGAAGGCCAAAGTCCTCTGCAGTCCGCATCAAACTCCAAAAGCCCTGCGAAACAGGCATCACCAGTGCTACCTCAATGACTACCTTACCTTGTACTTCGTAAGATGCTCAACAGATATTACTGCAATAGAACGATACTGGAACTGCTACGTAACAAAAGGTTAGAGAAGTAACTCGTATGTATAGGGGACTGAAAAGCCAGTAGGGCTACGTCGTACTATCCAGGCAACTCTCTACGGAGTACAGTACAATTTACTCCACCTTTGCCTTATTGGTAGTATTCTGATCCCAAAGCAACCCTCCCACATTCATTTTCCACCACAACAGCAGCTCCTTGACAGGCGTACGGTCCCTATGCCGAAACGTTCTCCCCGCGGCGGTCTGGGGCGTAAGCTCCAGTCTCTTACCCAGCGAAAACTGCTCCACATGTTTTATGCACCGGTCGATTGCCATGTGAACACTTCGTGCATACAGCGTCTCCTCACTGTCCCCTGGCAGGATTGGGGGAGAAACAGTATCCAGCACATCGCCCCCGTCCAGATGCGGTGTTAGCTGGTGTAAAGTCGCCGACACCTTGTCCAATGCCCCATCGTAAAGCGCAAAGAAGATGCAGTGGTTCCCCTTGTACTCCGGCAGATGTCCGATGTGAAGGTTGATCATCAAGCCGCCGCGCTCGTTCAGTTTCCGACCGATGAATTTAGTGCCCGAAACGATCGTCAGCTCAGGCTTCCACTGTTCCACCGCATCCCACACCTCGCGGCAGTTGACGCTGTCCACCGTGAGGTCTGGGGACGTGAAGACGTGATCCCGGGGGACCAAGCGGTCGAAGTAAGCCTTGCGCTGCTGGTCATGTCCAGAATAATGGCGTCGCAGGCCGTGATACTTCATGTAGCATGCGTCGACGAAGCGACGTTTTTCCACCAACTGGCGGATCTGGCCTTGGTTTGTCTCCAAGATGCAACGGTATCCTGGAAAAGCCTGGTCGAGACGGTATCGGAGGTAGCTGTGCTGAGGGCCGTCTGAGCAGAGTACGAGCACCCTCATCGGCTGCCGAGCTTCCAGTCCGCGCAGGGACAGCGGCTCAGGGAATCGAGACTTGTACCTCTTAGCAACGGGAAGCCTGCCGCGATCGGGGTGGAAGAGCACATGCATGGGGTCATGCTCGCCGACCAATGATCGCCACACAGCCCGAGCGATAGCGGGTGCCTGCGCAAAACCGCCGGTGTTGTTGCCACCGGTGATGATGAGCTGACCGCCCCTTGCAGTAGGGATTCTTTCGAAAACCCCCAGCCCAGTAGCTGTGAATGGCCGGACGCAAAACTTGCGGTTTCCGCCTGGGTACAAACTGCCACGCTCCTTGGCTGCCGCATATCCCTGTGGGAAGTAAATGCTTGCCACTTTCTCGAGCTCGTCGAACAAGGCTCTGAGCTCTGGGGAGTCATGGGCGGGACGATCTAGCCCAACGAAGCCGTACCCACCTCCAAACATCAGGATGTCTTCCCCTGTCTGCACGTCTTTGGCAACGGTGACATTGATGTCCTCTACAAGGTGATGCCGGCGGTGGATCTTCATGGAATGTTGCAACTGCGGGTGCAGGTTGGGAATCTGCAACCAGATGCCGAGCACACCTTGGATGAGGTTCTCGGACGCACTTCCAGCGAGCAAGGCATTGCCGGTCACTCCGGCATTTACCACAACGTGGTCCGCCTCCAGAGGGCCAAGCTCTGACTCTACCGTGGTCACTTCGCCCACAGCATTTCGCTCGATGCTCTGCACCTCACAATCCCAGACGAACTCCCCGCCCAGCGCCGTGATGTGGTCGATCAATTTTGCCATAAAGGGGTGGATATTGACTGTAAATCCGTCCACAGTGATGCCTCCAGCGAGGTGGTCCGACTCGGCTGCGGAGCGGAAGCCGGGGTTTGCAAGAAGAAACTCCTCTGGAGTGGTGGCATGGACCATGGCACCCAGTTTGTTGTGTAAGTTGATTGCTGCTTCCAGAGCAATCGGCTCCACGTACAGGCGGAGGATGTCCTTGCGAAATTCGACATCTTGAAAAAGCTGTGGAGTTGTCTCAATGAGTTCGTTCCACAGCTTGCCGGCTTCTTGGTTGATGTGATGTATGTTCTCTCTGAAGGCTAATGCCATCCAAGCTGGAACCTGCTCAAAGGTGTTCACCCAACTAAGTTCCGCAGCAGTAAAGTCTTTGGGTGGCTTTACGCTCCATCCGCCATTGCGGGCAGTCTTGCGGAAGATGGACTGCATGTTCTGATAGAGCTTGCTACCCTTCTCGTTGTAGTTGTCGGCCTCGGTTTGAGTAAACATGCGGGCGTTGCCACCACCATTGGTAACGCCGAGTCGTGTCCAGTCCTTGCAAAGGCGAGGATTCGGACCGGCATCTACGATGCGTACTCGATATCCACGTGAAACCAGAAACAGTGAAGTAATCAAGTTCACAATGCCGGCTCCAACGAGCAGGATAGACTTCTTGCTGTCGTGTTCCTTTATGCTATTCGGCCTGTGGACCCCAGCATTGGCGCGAGCACTCGCGTAGAGCAGTTCTGCCTCTCGAAGTATTGACTCCTCCCATTCTGTTGCAGTACCCTTTTGCTCTGGGAATTCTTTTATCTCAGCCACGCGGCCATTGGCATATTCTTGAAGACGGCCAATGCTTCCTGTGTCTCTGACCAGCATGGACTTGGGAATGTGGGAAGCTTGGTTCAGCCAGAGATTCAACAGATCACTGGTAGCTTCTGGACCATCGCATATCCAAACATCCACAGTCTCTGGACTGGCCAGTGGAATGGAAAGGTCGGATGTAGCATCACAAGCGTGTATGTATGCAGACAAGTTGGGCTCAGAAGGAAAGGAGGGGAGACTGGTGGTAACAAGGAGCTTCATGGTCAGCTCTATAAAGCTTTGGTCTTCCAAAGCTTTTGACTGTGCTTGGAAATTTCTGGCCTGCTGGATGTTGTTCAATGACTGTTTCCTCGAATCAATACTCGCAACTGAGTCTTATATAGTAGTACGAAATACTCTCAACGCTCTACTTCACGATCTTTGTATGACCCCCACACATTGTAGATGGATTGTGGTTACGTACAATTATATTCTAGGCTATATGCATCTACTGGGTATATTTTGAGCACATGCCGAATCTCCTGAATCCATGTGATTCTCGTACGAGGACGATGAGTCTTCTCGGTTACACTGGGATCAGCATCGGTTGCCCTCCAGCCCACTCGAAAGGCCAAGGAGCCAAGTTCAAGGACCAGCCCTTGCCCACCAGAGACGTGTTATCCAACGTTACGGCCCGCACCGAAGCCTCACGCATTGTAGATTGCTTTTCTTCTATCATTTGAGCTTGTAGATAGAATCATTTACATGAAGTGGAATCCACGCCCAAGACTCTTCCATAGAGGAATTGAGCGAAGTTGAGATGACAAACTCTCTTATGGAGCTACCTCCATTATCCAGGCAGTCCATAGGCCAGTTTGAACAAGGATACAATGTCATAATTGCAACGAGATATTGCTACTGTAAAGTATCATTCGTCTCACGTCAGACAATGCGATCATCTCCAAAACTCCTACATATGAACCTTTATGCCTGATTGTATACACATAACTACCGTTGCAGGGTCTCGGTTGTTTCTCCGAGCATGTGAGACATGCCTGCTACAGAAGGACGCTCTCCGCCACAATAAGTACATTGCCGAGCCATGTACAATAGAGCGTACAAGTACTCCGCAAACCATCCCACCATATTAAGGTAGTACATAAGGTACTTCGTACGAAGTAAGGTAGTATGTATAGTCTCATCAAACAGGGATGCATGAGCTTTTCCTGACA